CACTCGCATTCCCAAGCACCAGCACATGCACATTCACATTCATCACCAGCAAGCATTCCTCACACCACCACCACCACCACCGCCGACCTCGACGCCGACGAGCAGGCACACCGCGCTGCCACCGAAGCGCTCCACGTCCAGGCCACACAGGCTGCACAGCGCATCACTGTTGCTGGGCTTGCCCTGAACGTGACCCTGTCGACGGGAAAAATCGTCGTCGGCACTCTGGCTCATTCTGCCGCCATGATTGCAGACGCGGCCCACTCTTTTACCGACCTGGTGTCGGACTTTACCACGCTGGCAGCCGTGCGATACTCTCGCCGCCCACCCAGCGCAGCATTTCCATTCGGCCTCGGCAAGCTCGAAACGGTCGCGTCACTTTTCGTGTCGGGCATGCTCATGGTCACTGGCGGCGGCTTGATTGCCCACTCGCTGGACATTATTGCCAACCCCGCGCCTCCTGCGTCTGCGCTGTTGACCCAGCTCGCCCTTGGCACTGCAGTCGTGTCCATTATCAGCAAAGAGCTCATCTACCGTGTGACCGTCCGGTTGGGCAACACGTTGAGCAGTCCTGCGCTGATTGCCAACGCGTGGCACCACCGCATCGACGCCTACTCGTCAGTTGTTGCTCTCGTCGGTATTGGCGGCCAGGCGCTGTCTGTGCCGATTCTCGACCCGCTGGCAGGCATGCTGGTTGCCGCCATGATTTTCAGAACCGGCCTGAGCATTGGCAAGGACAACATGAAGGAGCTTCTTGATGGTTCTCTCTCCCCCGAAGTCCTTGCCCACCTGTCTTCCGCGGTCGACACGGCAGCAGGGAGCGTCGCCGGTAGCGCGAGCCATCTCCGTGGTCGTCACGCTGGTCCGTTCATTGTCGCCGACGTTCGCCTGCTGCTACCCGCTCATACCGATCTTGCCGCTGCCCAACAGCGCGCCCACACGTTCCGCAACGAAGTGATTGAGCGAGTTCCCCACTTGCGCGAGCTGTTGGTTGAGCTTCACGTCGCCAGCGAGTCTTCTTCTCATGCTTCCGAACCGCATTCGCAGCAGCAAGACACGCACAAGCAATGAATCTTTGTCATCATCACCACCTCCACCAACATCTTATCATTTCACCAACACGGTGATTCTTCTTCACTGCGTGTTTGGCTTTGTTGTACCATAAATCTCTTTGTGACATGCCCTTTGATTTTCTTTGTTATTGCCAACTCCATTTTCCTATTCAGCTCAGCTCAGTTATTGTTATTGTTAATACCTTTATTGTTATTTTTCAGATGGCCCTGTCTCAGCACATTCGCGGGGCTGATCTGTCCAAGCTGCACGCGTTCGTGGACTGTGCTGGCCAGTCCAACCACGACCAAGCGTCTCGCTACATTCTCTACTCCAAGCTGACCGACGGACGCTCGGAGCACGCCGTGGACGATGGCGCCAGCTGGACGCTCTGGTGAGCCACGATTGCTTGAAAGTGAATCAGACTGACTGACTGACTGACTGACTTGACTGACTGACTGACTGGACTGACTGACCGACTGACTGATGGTTGGACGTTCGTCGTGTTTCGCTCATCACGGTGGACTGTGAACGCAGCATGACGGACGGATTTCAGGTATGGACGGTCGACATGACTCTCGCAGACGCGCAAGAGCACCGCGATCTGTTCCAAGTCAGCTTTGAGCGGTACTTTCAACATATTCGCACAAGCATGCTCACAAGTCAAGTCAAAGGAACGGTTTCGCCGGGTCGGGATACCATCCAACTCCAATTGCCACCGCTGGGGAGCACCCCGCGCGAGGTTGGCAACGCAATGACAGAGCCCGTCGTCCTCCAACTCAATGCGGTCGATGAAGGACGCGGACAAGTCCATCTAGCAGATATGCTCATGGGAATCGCACAGCGCTGCAACGACGCCGTCAGGCGTGCAGACCGGGCGGACGCAGATCTCGCTCGAGCCCGCGCTGGCGAAGGGTCTGGCGGCGGTCGGCACGGAGGAAGGTACCATCGCCACACACGACCCGCTTCAGAAGCCTTCCGGGACGATGACGATGACATGCTGCAGGCCAAATCTGCGCGAGACAGCGCTGCCAGTGCTTCCGGCATGGTGGCCCCTCCCAAGCGAAAACCCGGCTTTTCGCTGATCAATCCGTCTGTGCAACGGCGAACTGCTCGTGGTGTCAAGTTTGGAGCGAGTGGCGATGACGGCGCGGACGAGTGAGGCCGCCTGCAGTTCGTCACTGAGATTTTTGCAACTGGGTGGCTCGACGAAGTGCAGCAAAAGGGCGGGGGAAAAGATATATTGCTGCGCCGCTACTCCTTGCACGGTCTCAGCTCGACCACTTTTGCTTTGCGATGCTTCATAGCGTTGAGGGTTGGCATTGCCCAGCTGGCTGTACATTCTGCCGACAAATATACATGCCGAAACATGAAATTGAACACAAACTGACCACAAATTGTTTGAAATGAAACTTCTCGTCTTGTTTTTTTTGTTTTCGGTTTATTGACACGTTGAATGAACAAACAACAGCGCTTAGAACTGGTCAAGTCGGCCAGATCTCGTTGCTCAAAACTCAAACTCCCGCTCATCGTCACCCAGCGCATCACAGTCTTCTTCCTCCGAGTCGTTCTCCTCGCTCGGCATGTGCTGTTGCTCGTGTGTACTCTGACAAGCCACATTGCCGACTTCTGCAGCGTCGTCTGCCTCTTCGTCCAAACAATCATCAAACAGGACAGCGGTCGTCCCGTCACCGAGAGGCTGCATTGTTTCCTGCATGGACATGCGGACTTGCTTTTGCCAGCGCAAGCCGCACGCGTTGCACAACGAAGCTGTGCCATCGGGGCCCTTGCGCCACTGAGGCACTTTCTTTGTGTGGCACATTTGGCACGCGCGCGTGCGCTTCTTCTTGTTGACATGTCGCCGACGCCCTGTCCGACGGCGTGGCTTGCATGCCGGTTTGGCCAGGACAGGCACGTTTTCGCCCATGTGCAACTCAAGATTGGCGTTGGCACTGGCAAACAAGGCGCTGGCCAGCATGGCGGAGGCGATAGACTCTGCCTCGGATGCCGCCGAACAACGCCTGCATAGGGGTCCTTCTGGAACATACGTGCGGTTGCTCGAATTCACCTCTGACAGCTGACTAGCGGTTGCCAGTGTGGTCATCAAGTCTGGAAGCTCTGCGGCAGGAAGCAGCGTTTCGCCGTGATTGTCATTCGCATTCCACAGTTCGATTTCTTGCCTGTCGTGCTCCAACAATGGTAAGGCTTGTGATTGGCCATCCACGTGATTGATAGTGTTGTATGAAGCTTCTGGAATGATGATGTCGAGCAAGAGGGCGTCCAAGTCCAGAGAGGCTTGCGAAGGTTGAACCACAGGCGGATGGTCAACAAGATCGTCCTCTTGCTCCATCAAGAAGGGCACTTCTTCTTCTTGTTGTAATTGTTGTTGTTGCCGCTGCTGCGGTTGGTATTGTTGCTGTTGACTCAATATCGCAGAAAAGTTGTTCGTCTCTGTTTGTGCAGGCCTTGGACGCGAGCGCGGTTCGGATTGCGTGAGCGCAGCTTGTGCCCAAGTCCTATCAAGGGTCATGGATGCCTCGATTTGAGCCGAAGGGGTCGGCGAGTCGCGTCCAAGCTCTGCATTCAAGAAAAAGTCGCGCAATATTGCCGACGACAGTCCTGGCGCCGATGCAATGGCCGCCGAGTTGTTGGAATAGTAGCTTGCAGCCGGAGCGTTCAAGTTGAGCCGAGGCGGGAAAATCACCGCCGCCTGTTGTGGTTCCTGGTGCGATCTTGTCGTTTGCAGTGTCTCCATGCCACTCATAGCCGACGCGAATATTTGGCGCATGCGAGCTGCCCCTCCGCAGCGAGGTTGCTGTGCTGGTGAGGCTGCCACAGCCGCAATGGGGAGCATTGAGCGTTCAAACTGCTTTTCCGTCCAGGCGATGCTCATGCCTTTTTTTGTCGTCTCTTGGTGTGTGTGTGTGTGTGTTGTTGCTTGGCGGCTCCTGTGCGGGTAAATCTTCGAGTTGATGGGCGACAATGTCCTTGCAGCCGAATGGATTCCTCGGGTGAGAAGGTCTCGATACAGGACTTTTGTTTTGCGCGGGATTACGAGACAAAATCCACGATTCAATCACAAAACAAGCCTCCCGTTCCCCGTCGGAAAGCAATGAGCAGCAATGGCTTGAGCTCGACCGCAAAGTAAAGAAGAATTAGCTGAAAGAGTGAAGACTGAGTTCAATGTCTTAAATAAACAACAAAAAACTGAAAAAAGAAGCAGAATTGAAACGAAACCAAAGCAAAAAGTTATTTTGGGATACGCGTTCTGTTTTAAGCCATTCGATGAGCGAGCGTACACCAGACCAAAGAGACGACAGGGACTGCAGCAGCAGCGAGGGATTGGACAGTGTGTGGAATCACGCTGTGGAAATTATCAATTGGAGCCGCGTCAAAATGAATGGCCGAAAACACCGGGTGAGCGAGCGAGAACATCCAGCGAGCGGACGAGAATTGAAATTTGCTCAGTCAGTCGAGCTCACGAATTTCGATCGATCGCATTCGCATCGACGCAATTCCAGGGTTTTGACTGCGACTTCAGTGCAAGAAAAAAACAGCGAGAGGAGGAGAGGGAGGACCACCGGCTGTGGAGGAGCGAGCTCCCGAGCTCAAACCATTCTGAGTCGCTACCTGAGTCACCTCTTCACGAGTCACTGCCAGCTCGGCGGCTTGGAAAATGCGAATTTGAGCATGAATGACGGCAATGGAAGAAATGACCAACCCCCCCCCCCAACTACAGCCAAAGCGCATCAGCACTTGAAACAACTGACAAAATGGCAGTCTTTTTTCCTTCAACGTTATTGAATTTCTCGCCGATGCAGAGCTACAACATGGAGCGCAGCCTTGAGCAGCTGCAAGAAGACATGCTGACTGCAGCACGAATGGTGGACAACTGGGCCGACAGCCAGCTGAAAGAGATGCGCCATGCTCAGCTGCGCCACACGAAAACCATGGAAGACGACAAAGGTTTGTGTTTTTGAAATAATCCCAGTATTTTTTTGTTGTTTGGTTTCATCGTCACGGTCGTCGCTTCAATCAGTTCCTTCCGGATATGAATGCAAAGCATACTGTTCTGTATTGAAGTGCATGCTTCAACATGAAAGCGGCGTGCGAGGGAGTGGGAAGACGAGAAGAGCCGACGGGATTTTTTGGCGCGAAAATCCAAAATTGACATGAAACCGTTTCAAACCGTTTGGATTTTGTTCGATTTACCCTTGCGTTTTGATACTTTGCTGCACTTGGCTTTTCAAACTCTGACTCTGACTCACTTTTTTTGATGTTTGTGTGCACTACAGAGAACGCGGCAAAGCTGCAAGCGTCGCTCAAGCAGCTCGGCGAACACAGCGAGGCAGGGCAAATTTGTACGTTCGCGCATCCATCACCTTCCTCCTCCTTCAGATCAAGTCATCGAAGGTCGAAAGTGCCTGTGGTATTGGAACATTCTGCACTGACTTCTTGAATGTTGGTGGGGATGGTGACAGTGGCATCACAGCAAGCTGCGGAAATCGCACTCAGCCGCTCCGCAGTGAGTCAACTACAGCAGCAAAAGGAGCTCGCTATGGACACTCAGAATGACATTCGCCAGCAAATCGCTGCTCGAGAGCAAGCGCTTGTTCGCGAGACTGAAAGTAAGCACCCGAGCGCAGTTGTCGGCTTGAACCAGCAATCAGGTTCTTACTTGGTTTGTTTTTGTGCAAACCCACAGTGCTCTCTGAGCGAGAACGCGACGCCGCAACGAGCATGAAAGAGTTGACACGGGGTGTTCAGTTCTTTTCTGAGCGTCTTGGCTTGAAGATCCAGCGCACTGGAAGTAAGTTCGAGGGGGAGAATAAAGCTGCTTTTGGCTGCTGCTGGCAAACACTTCCAAAACTCACGCTTCCTTTGTTCGTCCGGGTTAGAGCACCACCTCCAGTTCATCTTCCGCTATATTGATCCTTATAACGTCAACCGCGAGTTTTCCTTTTCAGTGCGTATTGATGAGAAGAACATGTATCACGGTAAGAGCGCTACGCTTCGAGTCGTCGATGGGCAAGCACACTCGAGACTCATTCCTTGATGTGTGGTACTTAGTGGACGTGTGCGAACCGATGGTTGAGGATCTTGCTGGCATGGTTGCCCAATTGAACGACGACAACCAGCTTTCTGTTTTCATCAAGAACATTCGCAAAAAGTTCAAGGCCATGGTCTAACATGCAAGCAAGCAAGCAAACGTTAGCGTTGATGAATTGTCCACATGCAAAGAGAGATTGGTTCGTTGAAGAAAGTTGATTGGTTGGTCCTTGTGAAGTGTGCCGTTATGTTGCTATGATAGTCGTTAAATTTCATTTCCCCACCCCCGCCCGCCGTACGCTGAAGGAGAGGAACAGCACGAGGCCTGCTCTAGGTGTAAATTCACGCGTGTGTATTACTGCCTCTTGACAATTCTTCATCAAACAACCACAAGGAAAAAAAAAACAAACAAACTAAAATCAACAACAAAAATTTTGACCATCGGCAGCTTGACGACGAAAAAAAAAAAACAACCAACACAACGCCTATCGACGCTTGGAAGGCTGCTCCAAAGCATCGCCTGGTCGCTTGAGACCGTGCGGCTGGGAAGCAGTTTGATGACGAAGAGCAAAGCGACGGGCATTCACAAACATCTGAGTCCACGGGCCATTCTCGCCCCAGTTCTCGGGATGCCAAGAGTTGTTGACAGTGCGCAAGCAACGCTCCGGGTGCGGCATGAGGATGGTGACGCGACCGTCCTCGTTGGTGAGGCTGGTAATGCCCAAGGGGGAGCCGTTGGGGTTGTAAGGGAAGGCCTCCGTCGGAGTGCCGTAGTGGTCGACGTAGCGCATCGGCACCAAGTTGGCGTTGACAGCGTTGGCAGGGGCGGTGGGGTCTTCAGCGGGGAACTCTGCGCGGCCTTCGCCGTGCGAGACAATGATGGGAAGAACAGAGCCCGCCATGCCAGCCAGCAGGATGGAGGGCGACTCGAGCACCTCGACTTGGACAAAGCGAGCCTCGAATTGCTCAGAGGCGTTGCGGACAAAGCGGGGCCAGTGCGCGGCACCGGGGACCAACGAGCGCAGGTTGGACATCATCTGGCAACCGTTGCAAACGCCGAGAGCAAAGACATCCTGGCGCTGGAAGAAGCGCGCAAACTCGTTGCGGGCAATCTCGTTGAACAGGATGGACTTGGCCCAGCCTTCGCCAGCACCAAGGACATCACCGTACGAAAAACCGCCGCAAGCAGCAAGACCGCTGAACTGCTCGAGGGAAACAGCGCCGGAGAGAATGTCGCTCATGTGCACGTCGACCGCAACAAAGCCAGCCTTCGTGAAAGCGGCCGCCATCTCGAGGTGTCCGTTCACGCCTTGCTCGCGCAGGATGGCCACTCGGGGAGACGAGACTTGCGCCGCAGCCAGATCGGCGTGCAACTTGGCCAACTCCTCGTCGGGGTTGAACGACAGCTTGGACTGCAGACCAGGATTGGCGAGGTCGAGGATGGTGTCGTACTCTTGCTGGGCGCAGGCTGGGTTGTCGCGGAGGGCTTGCATGCGGAAGGAAGTCTCGGCCCACAAACGGTGCCAAGCAACGCGGTCTCCCTGCAGGATGACCTCGTTGTTGTGCGCAATGGTGATGGGCTGTGCCTCAGTCTCCGGGTCGACAAACGGCGAGCCAATGTTGAAGACGTGCGCGGCGATGCCGTGGGTGGTGAAGATGCCCATGGCCACAGACAGGCAGGCGGCGGGGATTTGCACGACATAACCGAGCTCCTCGTTGAAGAGCGCGGCAATCGGGTCGCTGCCGAGCGCGGTAATGTCAACCGACAGGCCAGAGTGGCTGGCAAAGGCCATCTCGGCCAGCGTTCCCAGCAGACCGCCGTCCGAGCGATCGTGGTAGGCCAGTGCGACCTCGGCCGCACGAAGAGCCTGGATGGCAGCAAAACCAGCGGAGAGCAGGCTGGCCGACTCGACGTCCGGAACTTCGTTGCCCAGCTCGCTGTAGACCTGGGCCAAGGCAGAGCCACCGAGGCGCTGCTTGCCGGCAGCCAAATCAACAAACAGCAGAATCGAGTCAACGCGCGACGATCCACGAACAAACTTGAGCTCGGGCGTAAGCGTCAGATCCGTGTTGCTGCAAGGAGCGAACGCGGTAATGACAAGCGACAATGGCGAGGCGACCGTCTTGCGCTCGTCGGTGCCAGTGGCCTCGTTGCGCACCTGCCACGAGGTACGCATGGACATCGAGTCCTTGCCGACGGGAATGGCAATGCCAAGCTGAGGGCACAGCTCCATGCCAACGGCATGCACCGTGTCGTACAAGCCCGCATCTTCGCCAGGGAAGCCGGAAGCAACCATCCAGTTGGCCGACATTTTAATGTCCGAGATGGCAGTGATGCTGGCTGCCGCAATGTTGGTGATGGCCTCACCGATGGCCATTCGGCCAGAAGCGGCATGGTTGACCACGGCAAGTGGGGTGCGCTCACCCATCGCCATGGCCTCGCCACGAAGGGTGTCGTAGCTGGCGGTGGTGACGGCAACGTCGGCAACGGGGACCTGCCACGGACCCACCATCTGGTCGCGCGCAACCTGGCCAGTGACGGAGCGATCGCCAATGGTAATCAAAAAGTTCTTGGAGGCGACCGAGGGCAGCTGCAGGACGCGACGAACAGCATCGTCGAGCGAGGGCACAATCGACGAGTGCTTGAACTCGGGCAGGGCGAGGTGACGATGAACCACATTGCGGTGCATCTTGGGCGGCTTGCCAAACAGGGTGCCCATGGGCAGGTCGATCGGGTTGTTGTTGAAGACGTCATCGCGGACAATCAGCGCCTCCTCGGAAGTGGCCTGACCGAGGATGGCGTACGGGCAACGCTCGCGGCGGCACAGAGCCTCGAAGGTTTCAATCTGCACATTGTTGACGGCCAGGACGAAGCGCTCCTGGGACTCGTTGCACCAAATGCCCATCGGGGACATGCCGGGATCGTCGCACGGGATTTTGCGCAAATCAAAGACAGCACCGCGGTCGGAGTCGTGCACGAGCTCGGGCAGGGCGTTGGACAAGCCGCCGGCGCCGACGTCGTGGATGGACTCGATCGGGTTGGCATGGCCCATGGCCCAGCAGGCATCAATGACCTCTTGGCAACGGCGCTGCATCTCGGCATTGTCGCGCTGGACGGAGGCAAAGTCGAGGTCGGCCGACGAGGTGCCCTGCGCCATCGAGGAGGCGGCACCACCGCCCAGACCAATGAGCATGGCAGGGCCACCGAGCACAACAATGCAGGCGCCAGGAGAAATGCTGCTCTTTTCGACGTGCATTGGGCGAATGTTGCCCATGCCACCAGCAATCATGATGGGCTTGTGGTAGCCGCGCAGCTCGACTGGGTTGGTGGCGGCATCCGTGTCGGCAGTCACAGCAGGAACCTTTTGGAGGAAGGTGCGGAAATAGCCGCAGATGGCTGGGCGGCCAAACTCGTTGTTGAACGCTGCGCCGCCGAGCGGGGCTTCAATCATGATTTGGAAGGGGGACGAGATGGACTCTGGGGCGCCAACATCGGCCGTCGCTTGCTCCCAGGGCTGCTCAAACCCGGGGATGCGCAAGTGCGAGACGGTGAAGCCAGTCAGACCAGCCTTGGCGCGGGAGCCGCGGCCGGTAGCGCTCTCGTCGCGAATCTCACCGCCAGAGCCGGTGGCGGCGCCGGGGTACGGAGAAATGGCCGTAGGGTGGTTGTGTGTCTCGACCTTCATGAGAATGTGAATGTCTTCGTCGTGGAAGGCGTACTCGTGGGTGCCTGGCTGCGGGAAGAAGCGACCGGCGCGCGAGCCCGTCATGACGGCCGAGTTGTCGCGGTAGGCCGAGAGCACGCCCTCGGGATGAGTGGCGTGCGTGTTGCGAATCATGCCAAAGAGCGACTTGTCCTTGGCGCGACCGTCGATCGTCCAGCTGGCATTGAAAATCTTGTGGCGGCAGTGCTCCGAGTTGACCTGAGCAAACATCATGAGCTCGACGTCGGTCGGGTTTCGCGACAGCTGGTTGGTGTATGCGTCGACCAGGTAGTCCATTTCGTCCTCGGCAATGGCGAGCCCTTGCTCACGATTGGCGGCAACGAGCGCGGCCTTGCCGCCATTGAGCAGATCGACATACGTGACGGTTGGCGGTCGCGCCGCGTCAAACAGGCGCTCAATGCCCTCCAGCGACGGCAGCACGATCTGGGTCATTCGGTCGTGGATCAGCGGTGCGGCCAGCTGGCGGACGTCCTCGACGACGGTCGTGGCAGCGTCAGGTGCGAGGGTCACAGTGTACAGCACGCCACGCTCGATGCGCCTGATCATGGGCAGGCCGCAGTTGTGCATAATGTCGGTGGCCTTGGACGCCCATGGCGAGATGGTGCCCTCACGCGGCAGCACGACGAGCTGGACGGACGGCGATGAAGAAGACGATGAAGACGAGGACGCCTGGGACTGAGTGGAAACAGATGTCGTCGTTGCCGTTGTCGTCGTCGTCGTCGTCGAATCGGGGCGAGGGCCGTAGAGCAGCAGCTGGTCGAGGAGGGCGTTCTGGGCGTCGGTGAGCTCGTGGCCGTGTGCGACGTGGGCAATGTGGAGGACGACTGCCTGGACGCCGTCGATCGCGGGGACGGCAGCACGCAGCGAGGCGAGGAGGCGCTCAGTGCGGAAGCCCGACAGCGGCGATCGGCCAGCGAGCACGCGCACCGACCCTTGGTCTGCGTTCAGCGCGACCGTCGCAGGCAGCTCTGTCAGCATGGTTGTGTGTATGTGGTGGGTTTGCTGAATCACAATGCCAAATGTTAGAGAGAGAGAGAGAGAGAGAGAGGAAGAGACAGAGAGAGACAAAGAAAGGGGGAAAGACCACATGTGGACAACGAAATGAGAAGGGCCACAGCAGGCAAAAGTCAGCGAATCATTCATTCATTCATTCAATCATTCATTCATTCATTCAACTATGATTTGAGTCGTATGAGGGAAAAAGCGTACCGTCGGAAGGAAAAGAAAAAAAAGGGACTGAGAAATGAAATGAAAAATCAAAGAGACAAAAAATCGAACAACAAAAGAGCGTTGCTGTGTGTGCTCGTGGATCGAGGCTGAATGAAAAGTATGAAAAGTCCTTAGTCAATACACATCGAATCCATAAACAGATTACGGTCAAGTACTGAGTGAGGTGAGCGTGTATGGAGCGAATCCGGTTGAAAACGATTCGTCGAAGGATTTCGCTTCAGTCGTTCGTTCGTTCGGTCGAGATTGAGTTTTCATTGCTCGGTCACTTCACTCTCTCAGTCTCAATTTCAAATAAAAACAGAGTTTAGAAAAAAAAATGGCTGATGAGACAACCCCGGTGCGCAAGGCACACCAGTTCGACACGAGCAAGCTGGCTGCGTATCTCGCTGCTGCAGCGCCGAGCGTCTTCTCGCCCACCCGCGACACGCTCGCCGTCCGCCAGTTCAAGTTGAGCCTTTTTGTGCATGCAACGTTGCTCATAGTCATTGTTCATGATTGGCAGCGTCTCACCCCCCTTTTGCCATTGCATTGTGATCGTTGTCGCAGACACGGGCAATCCAACCCGTCATTCTACCTGACCATCGCGCCCGCCAACGCTGCGGGCGACACGCGCGCGTTCGTGCTGCGTAAGAAGCCGCCGGGCAAGCTTCTGCCGGGTGCCCATGCGGTGAGTCGAACAAAGCAGACAAGTCGTCGTCCCAGCCAAAATTTGCAGCCGAAGCCGAACGAGCGGAAATCAACTCCGACATTGCACACAACTAGTTCTGATGATCGGATTGGACCTTGTCAGCAATCTCAGTCGTTGCTCGGACTTTGGGGTGTTTTAGCATCCAGCAAACTTAACTAGATTTCGCTCTGCACACTCATTGATGCTGGATGTTCTGTTTGTTTGTTTGTTCCAAGGTCGATCGTGAATTTCGCATCATTTCGGCTCTGCATGCTCAGGGATTCCCAGTCCCGACCCCGATTGTGTATTGCGCGGATCCATCCGTGATTGGCACCGAGTTTTACTTGATGCAGTTTGTCAAGGTAGACCGACAGACAGACAGCTCAGTGTGCGATTTGTTTTGTGTTTGTTTTTCCCACTTATGAGCACTCACTTTCTCCTGGTTGGAACGCAGGGACGAATCTTCCGCGATCCAGCACTCCCAAACGTTGCCCCGGCCGAGCGACGTGCCATTTACAGCGCAATGGCGCAGACTCTCGCCCAGCTGCACAGTATTGACTGGCGGAAGGCCGGGCTCGAGTCGTTTGGCAAGGAGGGCAACTACTACGAGCGGCAGTTGTCCACCTGGTCGCGCCAGTATCGAGCAAGCGCCACCGAGCACAACGAGCCGATGGAAAAGCTGATGGCGTGGCTTCCGGAGCATATTCCCAAGGACGGAGCGGTTGGTGAGTTCAATAGTTGTTGGTGTTGTTGTTGTTGTTGTGCTTGTTCCTCAACTCACCTGAGACTGTCCAACCGACGATGCAGTCATTACTCACGGAGACTTTCGTATCGACAACATGATCTTCCATCCGACCGAGGTAGGTGCTTTGTTTTTCTGTTTTTTGGTTTGTTTGTTTTTCTTTTGTTTGTTCTTGAATGCCGTTTGAGGAGGTCAACCACTCGTTGTGATGCTCAACTTTTCTTCTCGACTCTCCTCATCCAGCCTCGCGTGCTTGCAGTGCTCGACTGGGAGCTGTCTACACTGGGACACCCGTTGTCCGATCTTGCATACAACGCAATGACCTATCACATTCCACTCGGGATTTCGGGAATGCCTGGATTGGATGGAGCGAGCACGGTTGATGAAGATGGCCGCCTGTCTGGAGGCATCCCGAGTGAGAACGACTATACACGGCTCTATTGCCAAGCTCGTCGTGCGGCGTTTCCTGTTCCGCAGTGGAACTTTTTCGTGGCCTTTGCCTTTTTCCGCTCTGCTGCCATTCTTCAGGTAGGTCAAGTTGATGTCCTGTTTCTGCGCCACTCCTGTTGTTATTTGCTTTCTCATTCTTGTTGACTCGACAATGTTCGCCCTTGTATCTTTAGGGAGTCTACGCGCGCTCTCTCCAAGGCAATGCAAGCGCCGAGAACGCCAAGCAGGTCGGACTCGGAGTGATGATGGCGGCCCAAAAGGGCCTCGAGCTCGCGCACCGAGCGCCCGGCAACAGCAGCAGCAACAGCACACCCGCTCCCACCACGCCGCACGCATTGAAGCCCGCGTCCTCGAGCTCTGCGTCTCCCAATGTGTTTGGCTACTCTGAAAGGACGGTTCTCCTGCAGGCGCGCGTCACCAAGTTTATGGAAGAACACGTTTACCCGCGTGAACGCGACTTTTTCGACTTTCTGAACAGCGCTCCTTCGCGCTGGACGGTGGTGCCGTTTATGGAGGAGCTCAAGGCGAAAGCCAAGCGGGAAGGCCTTTGGAACCTGTTTCTGCCTTCGGTTTCGGGTCTGACGCAGCTCGAGTATGCCCCGCTGGCCGAAATCATGGGTCGCAGCTTGATTGCACCCGAGGTCTTCAACTGCGGCGCACCCGACACTGGCAACATGGAGGTGCTGCATTTGTATGGCACGGCCGAGCAGAAGGAAAGGTGGCTCAAACCCTTGCTCGAGGGCACCATTCGCTCGGCCTTCTGCATGACGGAACCTGCCGTGGCGTCATCCGATGCTACCAACATCCAGTGCACCTTCCGTCGCGTCGGCGATGAGTATGAAATCACTGGTCGCAAGTGGTGGTCGAGCGGAGCTGGCGATCCTCGCTGCAAAGTCCTCATTGTGATGGGTGTGGTTGTCGACGAAAACCACAAACCAACGAGCACCAAGGCGCACGGCCGCCATTCGATGATTATCGTTCCCGCAGATGCGCCAGGCTTCAAGAAGATTCGACCATTGACTGTGTTTGGCTACGACGATGCTCCTCATGGGCACTTGGAGGTGAGGCGTGCATCTGGAGGGTTTCTTCTGTCTTGTTGTTGTTGTTGTTGTGGTTGTTGTTGTTGTCGTGTCGTCGTTGTTGTTGTTGCTTGCTGGGATGGTTGTTCTCACTTTTTTTTCACTTGTTCTCCTTACTGGCAGGTCGAGTTTGACCACGTTCGCGTTCCTGTCAGCAACATTCTGCTGGGTGAAGGGCGTGGGTTTGAAATTGCCCAAGGCCGACTTGGACCTGGCCGCATCCATCACTGCATGCGCCTCATTGGCCTGGCCGAGCGTTCCTTGGAGGTCATGCTGGAGCGTGTCACGACGCGCGTCGCCTTTGGCCGCCCTCTCGCGCATCAAGGCACCATTCTCAAAGACATTGCCGACTCGCGCGCTGACATTGACACTGCCCGTCTCCTCACTCTCAAGGCTGCTCACTTGATTGACACCCGCGGCACAAAGCAAGCAATGAAGGAGATTGCCCTGATCAAAGTCGTCGCCCCCAACGCTGCCCTGCGCGTCATTGATCGAGCCATTCAAGCCCACGGTGGTGCTGGAGTGTCGCAAGACTTTCCCCTCGCGCACGCATATGCGAGTGTAAGTGATGCGCGCTGGCTCTGTTGTGCTGTGATTTGAGAGACTTCTCGGGCTTGAGCAATCTGACGGTTGGTGTTTTTGTGCTGTTGTGTTGTTCCACAGGCTCGCACTCTTCGCATTGCTGATGGCCCTGACGAAGTCCATCGCGTCACCATCGCCAAGAGTGAGCTGGGCGCCTTCATTCGCGCCAAGCAATCCAAGTTGTAAATGAACGGGGGAATCGAGCGCGCTTTTTGTTGTTGGTCTCTGTCGAAAAGGGGGGGGGCGGAGTCCACTGCTCTGCAAACCTATCTTTTGTTTCCGTCGTTTCCAAGCACTGGCGTTGACAGTCGTGGGCTGCAGGCGGATGGTTGTTCTGTCATTGTGAAGTTGAGCATTGTTGTTTGCAATGAAAAACGTACAGTCGTTGTGTATTCATTCACTCCTGTGCTTTGCATTCGATTCCATCATTGATTGCCATCATTTTTATTTTGCATATGCATGCAGTCCCTCTTTTGTTTTTTCACTTTCCACTTTTCTGAGATGATTTTCAATCTGTACATTTTCGATCGCAGCGGAACCTGCGTCTACTATTCCGAGTACCACCGACCACGGAAGGCGACGCTGTCCCAAGACGAGGTTGGCCATGCTCAATTCAGTAGCCATCCATTGGCTATGGGGGGGGGTGTCTTCAACTGATGCTCACTCTCATACATCTTTGCTGGGGAACAGGAGTTCAAGCTGACTTACGGCATGCTGCACTCGATCAAGTCGTTCGTCACACGCATCTCGCCCAAGCCAGTGCGCGAGGGTCTCCACTACTACAAGACAAGGTGAGGCGGTCCCAGCCCCAGCAGAGGGAGCAACGACGGGCTTGGGTGCTGTAGCAGCGGTCCTCACACACTTCTCATGCCTTCGATCGACAGTACATACAAGCTGAACTACTTTGAAACCCTCACTGGACTCAAGATTGTTCTAAACACGGATCCCGGCGTGGGCGACATACACGACCTTTTGCAGCAGGTTTGTACTTGTTGCTTCATTCTTTGCGCTAGACAGACCAACCTCACTCACCCTTCAACCAATGGACCTGCATTGCCTCTACACTGAACAGATCTACAGCCAAATCTATGTCGAATACGTTGTCAAAAATCCGCTGTGCACACCAGGCGAGAAAATCACAAGCGAGCTGTTTGAAACCAGACTGAACGCCCTTATTACGTCGTTGCCGTATTTTGCAACATGATTCGATGCCGAACAATGGTGTAACAGAACAGCGTCTGTACTTTGTTGTGTTGATGTGAATAGAGGGCCAAAGAGCCTGTGCTTTTTTTCTCCAAAATTCATTCATTTTTATTCTTCCGGTTGTACAAAGAGGTTCAGGCCACCACACTCATTGATATTCAGGAATGGAAGTGTGTTTGAAGTTGTACGGTAGTAGTGCCATTTGTCGTGCGCGCTTGATAGCCTGCGAGCGAGCGCAGCATCCTACACCCAAAACCATCAAAAAACAAAAAACAAAAAAGTTCAGTTACAATGCCAGAGCAGCAAGACAATCGATCACACATCCAGAAGCACAACCCACCAGTGACAGATCGGGGAAGAATGGAGCCGGTGTGCTTCGACAGGAACTGTGACAAGAAGGCAATGTTCTGTAGTTGTGCAGAATCGCCGTTGTTTTGTGAGATTCTACAAGCTGCTCGGACGCTCAATGGATGAACGCTCGCCCCTTTACCTTATAGTCAACCACGATGCCTGTTGAGCAAACAGGGCACAGCTTCTTCTTGCGCGTGAACGGGACTGCAGTTGGTGGCTGTTCCAAAAATCGCACAACGGCACAAACCCAAAGTGAGCATACAGGGGCCACAAGAATGCCCCCGTCTCCGTCAGAAATCACGGATGACAGTCTTGAGCTTCAATCCGCTTATACTTGTTGACACACACCTCGTCTGTGGTCAGCACAGCTGGGGGCTTGTAGATTGAATCGCCAGTGAGCGTGTCGCTGCGCGAGTTCCGTGGTTGCTCGCCAAGCAGCTCGGCAAGCACATCCGACGGAAGTGGCTGAGAAGCACCAGCATCAGCATCATCAGCGCGGTAGTCTGACGGCGACATGGCACCAGCACTTCCAAAGGGACCAGGGTTGCCACCGGAAGGGAGCGAGGACATGCTTCGCGCGCCAGTCATCGCCGGCTGACCGACAATCCCACGGCGCAGCAGCGCGACTGGAGTAGCAGCTGAAGTGGAGCGCGCGCGGACTGCAGCAGTGGCGACGGCGACAGTGCGGCCAAGCGCAGCGACGCCCGAATGCGAGATCTCACTGGCGGCCGTGCTGCTGCGGATGTGGCTGGCAGCGGCACGACCAGACGGCAGCGACACGAGTGCTGCTGCTGCTACTACTGCTGTTGCGGTGGCGGCAGAGTGGCGAGTGCGACGGGCGATGGTCAGCTGCGGAACGAGCGCGCGGGCGCATGTGCTGCTGCTTGTCGGCTGTCTCAACATTGGCAAAAAAAAAAAAAAAAAAAAAAAAAAACTCGAGTCTGAGAAACAACAAGGACCCCCCAAAAAAAGAGAACTGCTTTGATAAGAATAAACAGAGATGCGAGTGACAAAAACAACAACAACAACAACAATGAGCTTTTCTCTACTGAGTGAGAGAGAAGATTTTGCTTTGCATGCGCTGTCCGGTTGGATCGGCTGGAACCCCTCCGCCTCGCGCTTTGAGGACTAGTTTGAATACAGCAAGAATAACAAATGAATATACAACAGAATAACAAATAGATGTATTGAAAAACAACCCGATTTTATCGTCTTCGTTGGCGGCCACGAGCTGCAGCAGCGTTTCGAACTCTCTCGTCGACCTCTTTGCGCTGCTTTTGGCGCGGAGAGTGTGGCTCCAATGGCTCCTCGGCTCGTCTTTTTGTCGCTCGCGTCGCTGCTGCTGCTGCTGCTGCTGCTGCTGCTGCTGCTGCTGCTGCTGCTGCTGCTGCTGCTGCTATTACTGTCTTGGCTGGCTTGTGGCAACTGCGACATAACTCGCTCATCCGTCTCGGATTCACTGCTGGTGCTTCCAGTGCTTGTAGCGTGTACATGCGAGTTTGGCCGAGCCTCTTCCGTGTCAGAATCGCCGGACGCTTCATCTTCCTCCTCCTCTTCTTCTTCATCTTCCTCTTCCGCATGACTGGAGCCTTCTGCAGCATGGCTCCACTCGGTATCTTCTGCTGGATCTGCGTGAGGCTCTGATAGTTGGCTTTCCGAATCGTGGTTGGCATCGCTAGCTGCTGCCTCGTCGGCGAGCTTTGCGGCGCGCTTTTCTGCAGCCGATTGCGTTTGAACGCTGGACAACAACCCCACGGCCACTCGCACATCCGAATCCAGGATCTGAACAGACGTTGAAGCGAACAGGTAAGCCTTCCCGATTCACTCTCCTCCAAACTACTCAAGCACATCCTTGCAAATGGCGTCCAACCAGACTCACAAACTGAACAGCGTGGCGACTGCATTCATTCTTGCCACGCTCGACTGCGATCAACCCGGAAACGGGAATTACCAAGCTCAACCAATCACGGAGCGCCTCTGTCAACGACTCTAGATTGGGATTCTGGATGTGTGAAACTCGTGCAGCATGCCTAGAACGCCAAACACATTCCCGCCAGGCAATTAGTGATCACGCCCACATGCACTCTTCTTGCAGTGGCCAAACGTACATTCGACGAGCAATGTTGCGGAGAGGCTTGCGCTCGAGAAGGCCCTTCCGGTCGGCATGCATCTTGCGCGTCGCGAGTTTAAATCGCTTCTGCTCGCGATCTGCCTTGCGGCGGGCGCGCGTCAACTCACGCGCCAAGTCTTCCTGTGACGTTTCGATCGCTTCTTGATGCTCCAGTGGTCCTGTCAAAGCGCATAAACCTCTCTTGTGAGTACTCAATCCGTAAGCCGAAAAATTGGCAGACCCAAACATCTTCAAACTGACCAGTGCTGTCGTCCGCAACCCCGACTTGCTGGCTGGCATCATCGAGAATGGCAATCATCACAGATATTTGAAACGCGTTCTTGCTTCCAAGAGCAGTTGCTATCCGCTCGGGTTGGTGTCGACCATAGCGAGCAAGGTACTTGAAAAAGAGGCTGGCGTCGGACTTGGACCACGAGGGAGGGAAGAGAGATGCTTCGTCTTCGTCTGCGTCTTCCGCTTCTTTTTCTTGCTCCTCATCGACCTCCGATGTGCCAGGGAACAGTACGCGGTTGGTGGTGGCAGAGTGGGCTGCAGCAGCAGGCGAGCGGTGCTGCGAAGCCACCACAGTGCCGTCGTTCCATTCGATGTGTCGTGTGGGGTGTTGAGACGGGGTTGCCACCACGGGTGCAGTTGCCGCAAACGACCCCTGCGAGTCGGCCTCCATCTGAGACGACGCGTGCGGGTGCACGCTCAGCCATCCACGCATGTGCTCGTCGCTGTTGCTTGGCTGTGAGAGCAAATTCGGGGTGAACAATGGCGCTGACTGCGACTGTGATTGTGTTGCAGCAGCGTGGATGATGTTCTCGCTGGGGTTTTCTTCATCATCGTTGTGTTGGTCTGGAGACTTGGCTCGATTTGGCGGAATTTCGTTATCGTCGTCTTCATCATCAGCCCCTTCATTCTCAGAGCCGCTCTCATCCTGGCCCGAGCCGCTGCTGCTGCTGCTGCTGCTGCTGCTCAGACTACTCGAGCGCTCTGAGCCGCTGCTCTCGTCCTCAAATGTCGGTGGAATTTGGCTCGGAGATTTGTTGCTTTGCTGCGACGCGGCAAGCTGCGAAAGCGTTCGCTGCGAGCGCATTCGAGCCAATCCAGACAGCGTGGTCGAGTCTGAATTCTGCGAAGAGGAGTCCTGCGTGTTTGGCACAAAGATTTCCTGCGAGGGAATGGTCATTGGCATCTTGCGTACGTCCATCACCGCGATTGAGGACATTGTTGGCATTGTTGGCGGGATTTCCGTCTCCTGGTCACCCTGATCATCAAGATCCTCGTCCTCGGTCTCGTCTGGAAAGTCAAACACGCTTCGTTGCTGCTGTGCTGCTGCTCGTTGTGGCTGCTGCGTCGACTGCAGCGCTTCGTCGGTCAATCCAGCGGTCGGTTGATCCTCGCTCGTGGCGGTCGTTGTCGAGCTCGCAGCAGACGAATCGTCGTCCGCGTCCGCGTCTTGGTCATGCTCATCATTCTCATCACTATCAGCATCGTCCGTGGTGCTCTCGGCTTGATCGTCATCCGTCGTCGTGGCGGCCTCGTCGGCCTGTGCCGGACGGTGGGCGACAACGTGGGGATTTGGACGAGCAGAGCGATCCGGCTCACTGGTCTCGGACTCGGACTCGGACGGCGCTGACGAGGACGCTGACGAGGACGCTGATGAGGAGGACATTGTCGACGCGGAGAACGTTCCAACTCGGACGACGGGTGGCTGTTGCGGCGATTTCCGTCGCGCTCGATTCGTGGAGCTGGAACTTGGCGCCATTTGCCCCCCGCGCTCAGAAAGCGAGATGATTGGGTTGGAGAAATCAAGAGTGTAGCAACGCCGAGAACACATCAACCATCAACAATGCTCAAATACTCAGAATTGCATTTGTTATTAATCAAAAACACTCAAAACACTAAAAACTTTCCAAACGACAAACATCGTAAAATGGCACTGCCGCTTCAAGCCATGCTGCTCTTCCCAGAGAAGGAGGACGCCGACGTCGAAGGCCAGATCGGACGCATCCAGAATGCGCGGAGATTGTTGCGCGAGCTGCCGAGATCGTAAGGGTTGACAAACTTGCTCAAATTATGGCCTTCCTCGTTGCTCTGATGCCGCCAGAACTTGGGGTAGCGCGGTGCGTTCATCGTCTCGTTTGATGTCAGATTGTTCACCATCAAATCGAGGTTGTTCTTGACAAGCATGTAAGTGATCACGGTACCAGCCGCCGCAATGATTGTGACCAGAATGGGGATGATGCCCAATCCGCCGAGCGCAACGGCCATCTCCTTCCACGGCAATGACCAATCGAATCGGTCGTACAAGCCTATTGTATCGAAATGAGAACAAAAAAACAACAATGAGAAACACTGTCCAATGAGGACACGAAGCCGACCACAAAAATAGAATGTCGTGTCGTTCATCGCACCCAGCAAATTCAGGGCAGCCACCAGCACGAGAGCAGACAGCTGGATGACAATAAATACGAAAAACAGGCGATGGTTGTTTTCGCCCACGCAGTTGTTGATCCACACACTGTTCAAACGAAACACACAAACCAAAATGTCAGTCATCGACTGTACCACCCTCAACCGTTGCACACCAAGCCTGGTTTTTGCGCAGTTGAAGTGCTTGTTAAAGATTTGCTCCATACCAGTGATGGTCAAATCGAGTCACGCAACGACGGCACGAGCGGCAATGCTTGGAGCGATCCGGCTGAGCAACAAGGCGTCAAAACAAGCGCATGAGCCAACAAGGACGCGTGTCTGCAGGAGAGACAACAAGAACAAAAGCCCAACTCACCTTGATGACTTGGCACGTGGGACACACGTCCGTGTTTGTCATTGAAATTGAGGACGCCTTTTCACTCTCGTCCAAAAGCTGCCGGACTAGAAGTTGAATGCGATTTTTGCCCTGGGAGGTGTCGACTACACCGGGATCCATGAAAAGAAGGATTCCATAGCAGACTGCTAGGGCCACAAGCAGCAGCTTGAGGAGAAAATGCAAGATGATGGGGCCGGTGCGGTAGTCACCATCTGGCCGATCAAAGGACATGCTCCAAAACACATTCACGAACGCCATGGCATAGACGCACAGCCAAACCCACATCATTGAGCCTGAATTGGAAAAACGAAGGAGGAATCGCAGATAGCGCGAGGCAATGGGTGCCAACGTCGAGTAGCAACGGCCCAGCCCCAGCTTGCGGAGCACCAGTGGCGACTGTCCAAACGCGTCATAGTTGCCCTTCGCCCCAGACAAGACCAATAGGTCGGCAAGTTCGAGGTGACGCTTGAGGGTTGCGCGATCAAGAGCCGTGTGTCCTGCTTTGGTGGTGGCGTTAATGTCCAGATCGTGCTTGAACGAAAGCAGGTACTCGACCATTTCGAGCTGCCCGGCATCTGCTGCCCGGTGGAGCGTTGTCATGCCCAGATTGTCGATGGCTGAGAGTTGACGGACGCTGAACAGGTTCATGATGGCCAAAAAGCCGACGTATCCGGCCCAGTGTGCGCAACTGCAGCCGTACAAGTCGACACTGTCCAGGCTTGCACCGCACGACAACAAGAAGTGTACCATGAGGAATTGCTTGTGCTGGATGGCAAGAATGATGGCATTCACGCCAAGCGAGTCGACGGCATTCAAATCCGCTCCTGCGTTCAGCAGAGCTCGCACAGCCTGCAGGCTGCCCTTCGTTACAGCCCAGTGAAGCGGTGTCTGGTTGGTTTGAGCAGCTCGGACATCCGGCTGCAATTGGGCAGAGGAAAAACGGAGCGTGAGCAAAACATTTGAGCAAAACATTTGAGAAAAAAAAAAGCACCACAATAGGCCAGCGTGCATTACCTTCAAGCGAAGTGCGAGCGCTTGCTGGATGGCAGGAACATTGTTGTGCGCCGCAGCCCAGTGCAGCGCTGAGCGACCTTCAGCATCGCTCCGGAATAGGAGCTCTGGGCGGGACTCGAGCAGCTTCCAAAAGGGATCAAAGTTGTTCAGAACAATGCTATTCCAGCACCGTTGATCGACTGTCAATGCGAAGCAGCAGAGCAAGTAGACAAAAGGAAGCGGGGGTGGTGGGTGAGTGGAAAGGTTTCCCAATCGAACAATCTCAGAGCGAAGATGAAATAACACCAAAAAAAGGCAAAAGATCGGATTGACTCGAAAACAACTCGGAAAAGTAAATACGAAAAGTCAAAAGAATAAGAAAATCAGAAAATCAGAAAATCAGAAAATCAGAAAATTAGCCATTAACACGATATGGAAAAAAAAAAAAAAAAAAAAAAAAGGTGTGCAACATCTTCGCATGTGCTGCTTTTGCTTTTGCTTTTGCTGCTTGGGGGGCTTCCTTCGCTTACTGGGTAGATTGTTGGTGAAGCCTTCGCTGCCGTCGCCGTCCTTGCAGCACGCGTCGCCCCCGTGGCTGTGGCCGTGGCCGTGATCGTCGTCGTCGCCGCCGTGGCTATGGGAGGATCCCCAGCCGTCTCCTCCACCACCACCAACACCACCGCCGCCGGTGCTGCCAGTGGCCTGCTCGGGGACGGGGTTGCGTGTGCGGGCCATGTAGTCGTCGAGCGAGGTCGGAGCCGCAATGGCCGTCGATCCGCTGAGCACTTGGCGCTGTGACGAAAGCATCCCAAAATATTGCACAGTCCCAAGCGAAACCCAAACAAAACAATAGACTGACTGACTGAATTGAAATGGTGATGATGATTACGATGAAAGTGGTGTACTGGATGTTGAGCAGATGTAGATCGAAGCGAACTGAATGAAACTCAAAACTCAGCGACTGAGAGCGATTCGACTCGGCTCTCTGTGTGCCATTTCCGTGTTGCTCAGCCAGTTGCAATTACACACACACACTTGCCTACCGACCTCGAGTGACTCGTCATCTCACTCTTCTCTTTGTTTCATTTTCCTTCTTGTTGTTGTGATCTGACAGTTCTTAAAAATGCCGTAAATGACCACTTGCTTCTTCAGCGATTTTCGCCGCTTCCCTCCCTCTCCTCTCCTCCCCATCGTGCTCGTCTGCCCGTAGCTCTCTAGTGTCACTCTCCGCAGTCTCTTCCATCACGCTATTTGCCACCAACGCTGTCTCCTTCCTGCCGATCGCAGCGTCGCTCACTTTGGTTTGCTGCTGTTTTGCTGCTTGATTTTCCCGCCAAAAAATCCACACTTTTTGTTCGACCAAGTGTTTCAATGCAGCCTCGTCGCAGCACGCGGGGCTCCTCGCCCGCGCCGCCGAGCCCCGCGGATGGCTCTCCAAGTCTGTCGTCGGCCAGTAGTGGTCGCTCGCGCGCCGCCCCGGTTGCTGCTGCGGTACGTGAACGCCGACATCTTCCCGCGCTTTTTTTTTTTATGGTTTTTTCCCCTTCTTGCTCGCCTGCAACTTGCGTTTCGAAAGCAAAAAAGCGGTCGGCAACTGTCGCGCTGCGTATTGGATGTTGCTGGACCACTCACCCGTTTTATATCATACACGTCCGGATTTGCAAAAACCAGGCCTCTGGCACGCCGCGAGCGAGCCCGCGAAGCCGACGAGCAGAGCACAGCGACAGCGAGTCAGACGACAGTCCGCCGACAGCCACCTCCGCCAGCAAGCATCGCGGCGCCCAACAGACAGCTACCAGCGCTAAGAAGACGACAACAACGCCTGTGGTGGCAGCGTCCAAGCGTGGCGGGGCTCGCGGTGCAGAACAACCGGACGAGCAAACGCCGTCGTTCGCCGGTGCAGCGATCGAGTCTCCTGCTCGCTCCAGTGGCCGCCGGTCTGTCACTCCAACAAGTGCGCTCGCAAGATCTGCGCCAAAACGTGGCGGTGGCAGCGATAGTAGCCCTGCATCCTCGCCCGCCACTCGGACGTCTTCTCGTGGTCGCTCTGTCAAACCAACAACATCGATTGCTGCCGACTCGGATGGCGATGATGACAACGACAACGGCAACAGCGATGACTCAGAGGCCGAGGCCTCAGAAAGCAGTGATGACATGGATGATTCCGACGACGACGCCTTTGCCTCCACAGCAGTCAAAAAGTCTCCGCGCAGTGCTCCCCGAAGCAGCCAGAAACCATCCTCCACCCCTGCATCCGCCGCCGCAACACCGTCTGGTCTACGCAAGAGTGGTTCTACGCGGCACGGTCGAGCTGGTAAAGGTGAGTGTCGTGTCGTCGTGTTGATGTTGATTTTTGGCCCAACTGAATCAACCTGGGCTGAATTCTGATCCCGCTATGCTTTGCAGCGTCCACCGCTCCGGCAGATGAAGCCGACGACGGCTCGTTGTACTTTATCGTCAAGGCGGGCGCCAGTGCGCTTCAAGCCGTCGCAGATGAGTGGATTGAGCGATATCGCCAAGACGCCCATGCTGCGCTGCTAGAGCTGGTGAACTTTGTGATCCGCTCATCAGGCTGTGTTCATCAGCTGTCTGCTCTTCAAGGCGCCGGCGGAGAGGACGATTTTGTCGTTTCGGTAAGAAGAAGATGAACATTGACAACAATTGCATTGTGACCAACTTCTCGACACTTTCGACTCACCTTCTTCTTCTCTACGCGACTCTACTCCTCATCAGTCTCTTCAAGAACTTGCGGAACGATTCGATAGCAATACCGGAGAGTACCCGCTGGCTGCCAGTGGCACAGAGTTTCGCCGCTTCAAGTCGGGCTTCCCGGACTTTCTTCATCGCATCTTCTCGCGATGCACAGGAGATTTGCTGCACGATCAAGCTCTGATTGACGTGGCCATCACATGGCTCAGTGCCTTGTCCACTGCGCACATTCGCGCCTTCCGTCACACGGCCACCGCGGCCTGCTTGGAGATTTGCTCGGCGCTGGTGACTGCGGTCAAGACAGTCCATGCCGCACTCGACAACAGCCAGCGCCAGCTCGAAACAGAGCGCTCCAAGCGCGGCGCGAACAGCTCGTCTGCCGCTCAGCTTGAGCGGCGGATTGAAAACTTTAACGCCGACATTGAGAAGCTCGAAGAATACATTAGCCAGCTGCTCCAGGGTGTCTTTGTGTTGCGTTACCGCGATACTTGCGCCGATATTCGTGCGCTCTGCGTGACGCAGCTGGGAGTGTGGATTATGGGCTACCCGTCCTACTTTTTGCGCGATACGCACACCAAGTATCTTGGCTGGACCTTGAATGATCAGGTAAGTCTGGGTCATTTATGCTCTCGTACCTATTGGCTGTGAAACGAGCTCTCTTGCTTTCTTCACTGCCTTGATTTTGTTATTTTATGTTATTTTTTATTTATTTTATTTTTTGCTTCTTGTCCTCTTGATTGTTCTGCTGCCCGACTTGTAGGTTGCGGCTCCCCGCTTGGCAACACTCAATGTGATTCACAAGCTGTACGAGAACAAGGACTTTGTTCCGCAGCTCGACAACTTTATCGAACGCTTCCGTGCACGCATTGTGGACATGTGCCAGGATGTTGATGAGCACGTTGCTGCCGCAGCCATCGAAGTCGCGCTGCTTTTGCTGCAAACCGGGGCGATTGGCAGCGAGGTGGAGCTGGTTGCCCGTCAAGTTCTCGCCGAAACAAAGTCAAACGGTCGCGCAGCGGGCAAGTTTGTCGAGCACCTGGTCTTCCACGTTCAGCTCCAGGCCGAGATGCAGCGATTGAGCGCGCACCCGTCCGATCCTCGTGCGTCGCTCCGACCCGCGAGCCTCAACCTGCTGCTTTTGATTGAGTTTGTGAAGTCCCTGTACGCATCGGTCGGGGAAACGGCTCGTGCAGGCTCCCCGTTCGCCCGTGACCAGGCTCTGGACACGACCTTCCTTGTCGAGCACCTGTTTGGCCCCGCTCAGGGCTTGCTCACCGACTGGGCTGCCATGACTGAGCTTCTGCTTGACGATGAAGACTCGAGTGAAACAGACGCAGCCGTGTCTGCAGCATCCCAACGACGTGCCGGTAAACGTCGAGGCAAATCCGCGACAGCGCCAGCCGGTGCTGCTGCTGGCGCTCGAAGCGAGAACAGTCTCCTCTCTGGAGACGACGAGGCGATCTTGGTGAGCCTGATGGTCAGCGCTGCTCGGCGGGCTGTCCACCAGTCCTCCGAGGGCGCGGCCCTCAAGACTGGTAAAAAGATGTCTGCCAAGGAGAAGGACTCGGTTACTCAGAGTGTTCAGCAAGTCACTACGCACTTTGCCAAAGTCCTCCCTCGACTTCTCGCGCGGTTTGGCTCCCAGCCGGCGGTGGTGGCCGACTTGCTCAGCATCGTCAAGTTGTTTGATCTCGAGCTCTATGGCGCGCAGCGCATGTCCTCGGTAGGTTTTCTTTTGCCTTCTTTTGACCAACCGTTGTCGTTGTTTGGTGCACTGATATTCTGAGCTGTTTTGGTTGGCGATTGTTTTTGGTGATTGGTTTTTTTTTGTTTTGCTGTTTGCCTGTCTCACGAAACACTGGTTGTTGCTTGCAGGCCATCGAGACACTGTCCAGACAAATCAGCGCGCTCGTGCTGCGCCTTGCGGATGAAAGCGCGATTGACGCCAGTGTGGAGGCGTTGGCATACTTGTCGTCGGACAAGCTCACATTCCGCTCTGTGATTGACAACGCCACCAAGGAAATTGGCGAGACCATTGTGGCCGCGCTCTTGGCAACCGACCCATCCACGGACTCTGGTGCCCTGCGCAACCACGTCCTTCGCGTCCGGAGCTTTTTCCAGCACTTTTCGACTCTGCCTCACGAGGGACTTTATGAGCATCTCGACGCGATTGCTGCCGCGTGTCGCAGCCGCTCTGATCCCTTGCCTGATGACGAGGTAAGTAATAGGAGTTGTTGTTGTTGCTTGAACACTTTTTTTTCTTCTTATTTCTCATGGTTTCTAATTTACTGCTTTGTCTCCGCCTCTCTTGTTGATTCTTCCATTAGGTCATTTTGTGTCAGGCATCGCGCGCGCTCTGCGTCACACTAGCGTGGCGAGCGCGTGCCATTTTCGATGGGCAGACTTCGCGCGCTGATCTCGGCCAGTTTGCGATGGACCGCGACGCGCTTTGGAAGGCTCTTTTGGAGATGGCTTGCGACAGCATTCCTATTGTGGCTTTGACGGTAACATACGGCATTGACGTTGTCGATCATGATCCCTTCGGCGTCTGACCCGAGGTTTTGGGGGTTGGTTCGCGACATTAGGGAATTTTGCAAGCTTGCTGGCTGATTCAGCTCTCCGCCATTCCTCTCGAGGGCAACCTGTCCCTTGCATTGGAGTTATCCCACGATGATCTGAAGCTCCTTGCGGACACCATCGAGTTGAATGTGCTGAAGAGTGCCACAGTCAGTGCTCTTGACGATGCGTCCGACAACGAAAGTAAGTTGGGCAGGGCAAATTGCTCCGCGACCCAAAAAAGGCAACAGTCTCACAGCCATGCCAATGCTCTGCTTGACAGAGGAACTTGCCCTCCTGCGTCGTCAAGTCCTCGGTGTATTTGGGAATCTGATCAAGTCGCAGTGCATCGACATCAAATGGCTGCATCGCGTGCTGCCCTACTACCTCTCGAGCGCTCCCGCCATTGCTGAAGTGATCAAGATGATGCTTTCGCGCGTCAAAGACATGGCAGTGCACGAGCCTGTCCTTCAAACCATCACTGTGGTATGCGGTCGAGATGTCAAAGTTGCTGCTTGTTGCTTTTTTTTTTTGCTTCTTTTTCTTTTCTTTTCTTTTTTTGGTGGATTCCTTGAGACTCATTGTCAACTATTGGTGGGTGTGTGTGCTCGCATAGGAATTTGGCAACATTTTGCAAAACTCGGCCTCAGAGATTACACCAGAAATGCTCGCGCCCTTGCGCGATCTCGCCCACCGACTCTCGTTGACATTTGGTGTCGACTCGAACCAGACAAAGACGCGCAAGGCTATTCTCAACATTCACGAGGCAGGCATTGGCTTTGTCCAGCGCTCTTGCTTTGACAGCGACCGGTCGCTCGCAGAGCCCCAGGCCTTGTTGTTTTTCACGGTTTTGCGCGAGTTTTCGTCTCGTCTCACTGCGCAAGATGCTGCGACCACGCTCGGGCATCTTGACGACATTTTTGGAGAGGCCGTCAACCAGTCCGAGGACGACGAGGCGTGGATTCCTTACTTGGAGTTCCGACACAACCTGCAGCTCAAGTCTGGACCCGCAGGAGCGAGCCTCGACATCTCGCAGTCCACTTCCACGCCCCGCGGTCGCTCGCAGCCATCCTTGTCGAATACCCCAACGCCGCGCAGCAGTCGTGGTGTGAAACGCCGTGGGGACGCTCTCGGTGCCGACGCCGCAAGCGACGAAGAAGATGAGGAGGACGACCGCGCAACCCCAACCCCATCGCGCTCGCGCGGTGCTGCAAAGGGGACGAAACACGGCGGATCTGCCAGCAAGGCACGTCGTCAGCAGCGTGCCCGTGACGATTACTCGGATGACGACTCGGATCAAGACGCCGAACCAATGAGCGAGCAAGACTCACAGGAGGTTTTGGACGCACCCGCGCCTCGCAGTGCGCAGAAGCGAGGTGCTTCGGCCTCCGCTCGCAAGAAGCTTCGTCTTGAAGACGAGGATGACTTGGAAGAGTTTGACGACTAGGTGCTGTTTGTCTGAGGATTTTTGTACTGTATTAGTTGTTGTTCTGATGCCTTGAAGTTAAAAAAATGTCAACGTTTCTGTTCGATTCGTCCATCAAGTCCACTCTATATTTTTTTCCTACAAACGTTTCTGTTTCGTGCTGGTTTTAGTCCATTTTTTTTCTTTGCAACCGACACTGCTTCGAGTGAGTGATTGGAGCGAGATGGCGACAATCTGGCGCGCGCACCATTCTCCGTGGCCGCGCCGGTCTGTCGTGGCTGCGATCGTCGTGTTCCGGCTCGTCAATGCGCTGTTGACTCAGACGTCGTTCGTGCCTGACGAGTACTGGCAATCGCTCGAAGTCGCGCATCGCTCCGTCTTTGGGTAGGATAGGATTGTTCGCGTCGAGATTTGCTGATGACGGCGAGTTGCTTGGAGCGATTCAGTCCACGCGACGATCGAGCGAAGCGTCCGACGACTGTGCACTCACAGTTTACACTATCCTTGGCTCACTTCAAATCAGGTATGGCTACTTGACGTGGGAGTGGACGGACGGCAAGCTGCGCGGATTCTTGCACCCTGCTGTGTTTGCTGCTCTCAACCTGCTCCTGCAGAAGCTGGCTCCAACAGAGTGGCTGCCAGAGTTAATTGTAGGGGTTTTTTCTTGGCTATGTGGCTGGCTGGAGAATGAAACAAAGGGCATGAGTGGGAAGAAGGATTGTGAATCTGGTTCTGAGATTCTGAAACTCCCTCTCCTCTTGTGGTGGTTGTTTCATCTCACACACAACAAAAAAACAATAACCATCTTCTTGGCGCAGGTGGTGGCTCCGCGCCTCTTGCAAGCCGTGATTGCGAGCGTGGGAGATTGCTACGTCTACCGGCTCGCATTCAAACTGTATGGAAATAGCCGGCGAGCTGCAAATCTGGCGGTAAATTTTGCTTTGGTCCGAAGATGTCAACGAGGATTATCCCTGTGCTTATTGCGGTTGTGGGACTCTGGTCAGCTTGTTTGTCATCTGACAGCATGGTTTGGATTTTACACAATGTGCCGAACTCTTTCCAACTCGATGGAAGCGGTGGGAACAGTCATTGCGCTGTACTACTGGCCGTTGCCATCGCCCTCCCAGCCTCTCCCAAAGGATATTGAGTATGTTGCGACACTGAGCACTCGATGGCCTGCCTGGCAGCACCAACCAAATTGTTTGGATGTATCTTCTCATTGTTTTGTTTGTCCCGCCGGTAGCTTTCACAAGGCCCTGGCAGCCGCGGCAGTCACCACCTTGCTGCGTCCGACAAGTGCCATCCTGTGGATTGTAGTGGTTCTCCATCACTTGTGGACCTTTCGCTTTGCTGGTTTCCTCCGATTGGTCAGCCAAGCGCTTGTGGTTGGGTAGGGTTCTTGCCAACCTTCTTTGCCTGTTTACTTCGTTCAAGGCTGGCGCTCATTTTTGACCTTGAAAATCAAACACTTCTCATAGAATGCTTGCACTCGGTGCGGCAACCGCCCTCGACTACATCTTTTACCAAGAGCTCGTCTTTGTTCAGCTCAACTTTCTGCGCTTCAACTTGCTCACGAACGCTGCCTCCTTTTATGGAGTTCATGCATGGCATTGGTACTGGTCGCAGGGTCTTCCCGCTGTGCAGGGGCCCCTCATTGTGCCCTTTGCTCGTGGGGCTTGGCTTTCTCTTTTCGACAAGTCGATGCGTCCAACCGACAAGGCAGCAAACCGCTGGCTGCTCCTCCTCATCACAGCCACGGTTGCAGCGCTTTCGTTGCAACCCCACAAAGAGTTTCGTTTCGTTCTTCCTCTCCTGCCGCTGGTTGCGTGTCTTTGTGGCAGCACTTTGGAACTGGCCCGGCCTCGCACGGGTAAGCGAGCACAGTCACGGTTTGTTTGTTGATCTTTTTTGTGCTCATGGCTTTCGTTTGGGGGGCTTTTCTTTTGTTTGGTTCACATGGTGTTGACCCACTGACTACTTTTGACAACGCTAGTCAAACTCTGCATTGCGTTCTTGGTTTTGGTGTCGGCACCACTGGCGCTGTACACGAGCCTGGTGCACCAGCGAGGGACGATTGACGTGATGCAAGAGCTACGGACTGAAGCCTCACAGGGGCGGGTGTCTCATGTGCTCTTCCTCATGCCCTGTCACTCTACGCCATACTACAGTCATCTGCACTTTGAGAATGTCTCAATGTCGTTCCTCGAATGTCCACCTCCGTAAGGCTACTGGTTTCCGTATTTTTGTGCTTCACAAGCTATGGCTGGTACTTACCCTGCTTTTCTGGTGTGTATCAGACAATTTGGGCGCAATGAAGTTGCCGCCTTTTACGAAAATCCGTTGCTGCATTTGCAAAACCAATTCGACGCCGCAGGCTTCGTGCCTCCATCTCACATTGTGCTGTTTGACAGCCTCTTCCCAGACATTGAACCATTTTTGTTTGTGCGAAACTATTCGTTGGTAAGGCAGGACGACTTGCTGCGGGGGGGGGGGAATGGGCGCATATTTTGATGAGGCGTTTGTAGGATATTCACCCGACACTTTGTTGGCAACAGATGAAGGAATTATTTCACGCGCATATCGTAACAGAAGATCATGTCGGAGGGAAGGTGATGATCTTTTCGTCAAAGCTAGCATAATGCTCCAGAATTCAATACATTCGTTTAATGAAAACAACGCAAAAAAAGGATTGGTTGAGCAACAACCTGCAAGAGAAAGGCACTCAAGACAGATCAAGAGCGGAGCGCGCCATAGTTTGCTTGAGAGCCGAGGCAGAGAAAGCCTGGAAACAGCGCATAATGTACGGGAGGAAGACTTGCATCGAGCCGTGCGCAGGCAAGAGGGGCAAGAACTTGCCCGGTTCAAGTGTTGCAGACAGATGTTCGAGCATGGAAAAGTACGAAGTCACCAGCACAGCACGATGGAGCTCAGAGTCGCAGAGATTGGCAGCCTCGAGGTGCGTCTCTGCAGGCAGGTTTCCTGAAGTGTCGGCTGGTTGCTGCTTGCCTTGTTGCTGGCGATTGGAGCCGGCCGACAAGGCATCGTCTGTTGGGGAATCGGATCCAAAAGACGCAGCAATGGCCGAGATGGCAGCAAGCATCCGCTCAAGGGCATGTTGCCAGTCGCTCAAATCGGTCGCAAACAACTTGAGGTAGTCAGTGAGGAAGGACGGACAAAATCGAATGACATGGCTGACAGCGACATCCAGCTGTCCGACCAAGGGCAGGCACAACAAGTCGAATTGCAGGCGGCCGCGCAAGGAGAGCGAGGAGATGCCTGTGAGCATGGTGTTGCCCTTGAGATCGGCGGCGCCTTCCGCGCGCTGCCAGGTCGGAATGCTGTGGTGCCGAACCAGAGCGAGGAGCGCACGTGCCACATTGGGGGTAATTTGTCGGTGCGTCATGAGGGTGAGCGTCTTCGTGACGAGCGACTCCACATCCCAAACAGCGTTCTGCGCATCCTGCTGCGGCATGATGGGATGGAGCTGTTCGAGTGCTGTTTGCTGTTCGAGCGGCTTGTTGGGCTGGTGCGAACGGGCGATTGCTGCAGAGAGCTGCTCCAGGTAGAGATACAAGAGCGTCATAAAGTAGGGCAGGGACACATCGAGCGCAGAGCCAATCGGCGGGGGACCGGTGAGGTCGGCGTCGCTTTCCGGACTCAGATAAAGGGGCAGCGACGTCGATGCAAGAATGGTCGGCAGCATCGCCTCGAGGTAGGACATGACGAGCTGGCGCGTCTCAACATCGTCGCAGTCCAGAAGAACCGGGTGCTGCGGTACCGCACTTGTTGCCAGCAAGCGTGGAATGGCCTTGCCCGCATGGTCAAGCGAAACATAGGTACGAAGCATGGCGAGGGCGTCGGCAAGCGAAATGCGCGTCCCGAGACGCAGCAGGGTCTCCAACAGAGTGTTGGGCAGCTCGCGGCGAAGCAAATGGCCCAGAGCCACCGTCTCGCGTTGCTGACTTAGTGCCATGGAAAGCTCGACCGAGGGGTGACGCACAACGGAGGCAATGTAAGTCAGGGGATTGTCGTCGATGGTGGCCGCGGCAGAGGCAGTCGGCTCAGCGGCAGACCCGGCGCTGGCGGCCGATGTGCTCTTCCGACGTGCTGCCGACGATGACACTGCTGGCGCGCAAATGGGTTGCCAGAGCAACTCTGGGCGGGCCACCAGCATTGTGATGAGATACTCGCGGTCGAGGGACATTAGAGTTTTGCGAGCGGGCTCCCAACGGCCCAAGGCCAGATGAAGCGACGCGACAGCGAACGTGTCTTGCCGCGTGAGTGCCATGTAGTTCTGGATGATGACTGGCTGTTGGTGCGCCTGACTGGCCTGCTGGCCTTGGCTGGCACCCTGGCTGGAAGTCAGCGCGCTGAGCGGGACGTGTTGGGCGCGCCGGGCAATCACGTCCTCCAACAGGCGAAGCGCATAGGTGGGCGAAAAGCGGCACAGCGAGTGCAAGCGCGAGTCTAGCAGCAGCCTAGACAGGAGCGTCGGAGCCGCATGCCGATAGATGCACAGAATGCGGTTGCCGAGGGACGCGCTTTCCATGTCGCTTTGAACTGAGGAAGAGGACGCCAAGCGGGCAAGCAAGCTGGCCACAATCGGAAAGCGCTCCATCAGTTGAGCGTGCGAAAGCCTGGAGTTGGCACCTGTGCCAGCAGCGCCAGCCACGAGACTGACGCCTTCCGATGCAGTGGACAAGAGAACGTGATTAAAGTATTCCACCGCCGCCAAGGCCTGCTGCGAGCCAGCATCCACAAAGTAATCCTGCTCGCCAGTGCTGCTTGCCAGCTCTGGTAGCATGAGGCGTAAAATGTGCGACATGGGGACTTCCGACATGGCATAGTAGCGCGCGCCACGCAGATAATCGGGGTTGATCAGGTCGGTAAAGTACTTGCCAAGCAGCGCAGCGGCCGCACGCAACAAGGCGTCCAGCTGGACCATTGTATTGTTGTCAGCAGTAGCGTCGGATGGAGGAGCGAGCTGAGAGTGCGCCGCGCTGCTCGAGCTGCGCGAGCGGGACGACCCAACAACAACAGCTGGCTGCGGGGTGACATCCAAGCTATCAAGGCTGTCGAACGACCCGTGGCGACCCAGAATGCAGAATGGCCGCGTTGTCGATGTGGTCTGAGGACGTCGGAAGCGCAAAGAAGCGCCAGCCTGCAACAAGAGGAAGCCCTCGAGAAGAAGCTGGTGGTAAAACCGGGCGTTGCTCTGAAGATAGGATGATGCGCTGGTGGTCATCTCGGTGTACAGCTCGGGCAACTTGGTCATGTGCAGAATGTAGACATTCCAGCTGCAGTCACGCGTCGCGCGCGGAGCTCCTGTTGGGGCGATCGAAGCACGCGAGGATCTCGAGTGCTTTTCGGCCTCCAGCCGCGAGGATCCCGTGTTCATTTTGGATAGAACGACGACAGAGTGGTCGGTCGACACGACTGCGCGAAGTCCAATGAACGGGTTGAGGCCGAGAAGACACACGTCGGGCACAGTGGGCTCGCGATGGCGAACCCACGAACTGCGCAGCGTATACGTCTCCAGGCCGGTTTCGGCGATTGCGTGCAAGAAGAGAGAGCTAATGTGCACACGAGAAACATTGCTCGTGTACGAGTACGCACAGATCAGGCCCGGTTGCGCGAGATCAAACAAGTGGCCTTGTCGTGCTTCAGAAATAAAGCAGCGCAGCCCTGCGATCGAATCATCCGCGAGCGCTGAAGCAGAAATCAGCGTTGAGACAGTGCCGTGTCCATGGGCAACGGCCCCAACCTGCGGCGATCGCCCTGCAGTTTTGGCCGACAACGGGGAAGCATTTCCAAGCACGAGGCCCGACGCCGGATTGGTCGATGAAATGCTGGCGGAGGTGCCGGACATGCTGCGTCCGTATTCGGGCAGCAAGGCTAGCGAGTGCAGACGAGCATCGGCAGAAAATCGCTTGTGTAAGAGCAAGACACATTGCCGCAAGACAAACCCAAGTGTCGTGGCACTGGGGACCACAGTGACGCCGTGATCACTGATCACACGAGGTCCCAGATGCTCAAAGGTGTCGAGTCGCGGACCACGCGTGAATCCAGCGTTCGCCAACACGACCGAGGCAGCTGGGGAATTTGGCGACGACGACGACGACGACGATGGACTTGAGCCGCTCGAATCGCCTGTTGAAGGAAGTAGCATCACCTGGTGACGCTGCTGAGCAGTGCCGGAAGCGTCAAAGTCGCATTGGGAATAGTGCACGTCGACGATCGGCGCAGTCGGCGCAGTGGTCTCGGCGCTCTCCAAGGCAAGCGACATGGCGAGCAGGGGTGCCAACGGCGTTGGTGCTGAAGATGTGGTCGGCGGCTGGCCACCTGGAGCCGCGGAAGATCCTGTCGAGTCGAGGGACAGATGCGAAGCGGATTTGGAAACTCCGCTGCTTCCAAATGGCAAGCTGGGGGGAGCGGCCGACGGAAGAGCCGCGGACGCGGGAATGGACTGCACACGACGCCGCTCGAGGTCGAGTCGCAGTACTTTCACCTCTGCATTGGAAGCATAGGCAAGCGTATCGCCGGAAATGGCGAGCGAAGAGATTGTCCACCGAGACTCGATTGTCAGAACATGAAGCAGACGAGGCGGGCGCGCCAGTCCTCGGAGTAGTGAAGGTGCGGCGGCGCGGCTGCCACGACTGTGGCTGCGCGCACGTGGCTGGTGCTGCGGAAGAGCAGCATACTCGGCAGAATCCATGGGAACCGTGTCAGCAGGAATCGCGGCAAAAACGCTGATGGTTGAGCCTGCCGCGATGGCAACGTGACCCATCGTTGAGCACGTTGCGATGGCGCGCATCACAGACTGCACTGATGCCGCGATGGCAGACGCTGGATTCGCGACGCTCCCGGCAATGCTGCTGGCGCCAAGGCCTCCCACGGACGACGAAGTGTTGAACGTTGACGAGGACATGGTGGTCGACGCCAGCGACGCCGAGGTCGTAGCAGGTGTGCTGCCGGTTGTTCCACTCGTGGTGGGCGTTGTTGTCGTGAAGGTTGAGGAGGCCAGCGTGCGGACGTCTGGGAAGGACTCGTAGCCCTGCACGGGCTGGTTGGCGTGCTGCGCAGCACCCTCGCCCTCGCTCATCACGTTTGAGGCGTTCGTGGTGTGGTGCTTGAGCGGATGGATGCCATCGCGCCAGCCAGTGTACAGCCTGGCCTCGATTGTGTACGTCGTGACGCTCGTTGCTGACGCTCGCGCAGACGGGGGCGCTGGCGCCAAAACCTCGGTTGTTGTCAGCTCGACCGTCAGCACAGCATCGAGTGCAGCCACATACAGCAGCTTGAGGATGCGTGGCGAGACTGTCCAGAATTCGATCGCCACCAGCGGTGCTCGGGGTGGGCCTGCAGCACCAGAAGCGGAGGCAGCATCATTATTGGGATTGTTGGGTTCTGCGGCGTTCGATCCAGCGCGGGTTTGCCTGCTTGATCCTGATCCTGATCCAGCAGCATTGGCAGCATTGGCAGCAGCAGCAGCAGCAGCATTGGCAGCAGCGGCGGCGGCGGCAGTCGTAGGGGTGGCGGTGGACAAGTCGTCGTCGTCTTGTGACTGCTCGGTCGCGAATGCTTGGCCCTGCGCCTGTGCCTGTGCGTGCGCCTGGGCCTGACGATCGGGATGGATGTCAAACGCCTGGATGCGGCCGTCCTTGAGCGCAACGAGCAGCACGTCGCCGTCGGCAGACGCAATTTGGACGGGCTCAACGTCCGGCGCAAGCACCTGCTCACCAGCAAACAGCTGGAACAGGAAGACCTTGACCATTCGGAGTGGAGCTGGAGCTGGAGCTGGTGTGAAGAAGAGATGGCGCGCTGATTAACGCAACGGCAAAACACGGGGAAAGTGCGCACAACGAGCGAAAGGGACAGCGCGAAACGAGAAGGAGCAGCAGCAAATTCAATGGAAAGTCAACGGATAGAAGGAAAAAAAAAACTGAGAAAGCAGATTTGGAAAATGAGGGGGAAGGGGAAAATGGTTTGTGTTAGGTTTTGGACAACGCAACAACCAGCGGTCACAAAGGCACAGCAACAACAACAACAACGACGACAACAACAACGACAACAAACAAACGGAGACCAGTCAAATGGCACATCCAAACACAAAAACTTCAAAGCAGAATGTGCACAAGTCACTGGGAGAGTTTAAAAAAACAACAACCCTTCTCAGGGGGGAAAACTCAACAGCACAGAAAAGAAACGGGGGTCGTGGGATTGGCAAACCGGAAAGAAAGGCGCCGGATAACAGAAAAGAAAAAAAAGGCGGTTCAACAACGAGGCGAGCGACAGTAATAAGAGAGAGAGAGAGAGAGAGAAAAAAAAAAGACGTTGAGTGGAATAGTGTGGCGCTCGTCGCATCTGGCAGCACTCGGCAGGTTTGTTGAAAGGCAAGGCCCTCCTTAAAAGTCCTTGAATAGCGCCTTGAACGGATCCACGGATGGAGTGCTAAACTCGTCAATGGCCTCTGGGTATTTCTCAAAGTTTCGCGTGTCACCATCATGCGCCATTTCAGGGATGATTGGTGCCTGGAACAGTCATCGCAAAGTCCAAAGTCAGCCAACAAAGTCAACAAAGCTGCCAAACACATTCCACCAAGAGCATGAGGACGATCGCATTCGACGCACCGGTACTTGTCGGTTGTATAATGCGAGCCAATCAATGCCTTTAAACCATTTGGCCTTCTTGACATCATCAGCCCCCGCCTAGAGTGAAGACACACACAAAAGCAACAATCAAATGAAAAAAAAAAACAGTCAGCGCCGAAGGAACAAACGAGTGCAACTCTCTCCGACCTCAAAGTAGAGGAGAAGGACTGCTATTGAGACCAACGATACGCAAGCTAGCTAGCTGTACCTTAAGGTTACCAAGTCGCTTGGTGCGATCGGCTGTGAGCAACTTCTTGACCAGATCCTTCGCCGGAGGCTCGAAATGTGGAGGGAAGGCCACTTTGCCGGCCAGGATCTTCTCGTAGATGCCGAATGGATTGTCATCAAAGAAAGGTGGGTAGCCAGCCAGCATTTCGAAAATTAGAATGCCCAGCGCCCACCAATCGACGGCCTTGCCGTGGCCCTTGCTTTGAATGATTTCGGGAGCCAGGTACTCGGGGGTGCCGCACAGTGTCCAGGTTCTAACGAGCGTTGGAGATTTTGGGGGGGGGGGGAGGAAATGCGCAGTGAGAGAATTCGCGTGTGTCCTAGCAACAACGGCGGGAAACCAGAGCACACAATAGACGAAATCCACACATACCTGTCTTCCACTTTCTTTGCAAAACCAAAATCGGTAATCTTAATGTGCCCCTGCGTGTTGAGCAGCAAATTCTCGGGCTTGAGATCGCGATAGATGATGTCGAGGCTATGGAGATACTCGATGGCGAGTACTATTTCGGCGCTGTAGAAGCGCGTCATGTCGTTTGTAAACTTGACGGCTCGTCGCAGGTGCGAGAAGAGCTCGCCACCGCAAATGTACTCGAGCAGCATGTACAAGTTGCGGTCGTCCTGGAACGTGCAGTATCTGCAGAAAAGAAGGAAACGCGGAGAGAGCAAGAGTTTGGCGATTGATTTCGCGAGTGTGATGAGTGAAGCGTGCTCTGCTATCGCAACAAGGGAACGTGATCATGAACGATAATGACGAGGATGACGACGACGACGAAACTCACAGATTCACAATGAAGGGATGGTTGATGGCGCAGAGAATGTCCTTCTCGGACTGAATGTGCTCGACTTGCTTGAGACGGACGACCTCGACCTTTTTCAAGACCTTCATGGCGTAAAAGTTCTTGTTGCCCTTGTCTCGGGAGAGGTAGACGCGGCCGAACGTGCCCGTGCCGAGCGTCTCGAGGAGCTCGAAATCGGCGAGCGACTTTTTGCCCAGCGTTCCAGCAGCGGGCGCGCCTGCAGGCGGCAGCGGTGCGTGCGCAGCCGAGCCCGAGTCTTCGCTGTCCTCCGAGCCTCCCGATGCAGTCGGCGCGTTCTCGCTCTCGAGGCCCTTGGCAATATCCTTCCCCTTCTTCTTAAAGAACGACATTGGAGAGAAAGAGGAGAAAAAGATGAAAAACAATCAACAGATACACAGCGAACGAGCGAGCGAACGGACGGACGGACGGACGGACGAAGGGAAGGGAACGAACTGTCAAAAAACAAGGCAATGGTCAAACGAAAAATGACATGGGGTGAGCAAACGACACGAGCACAGCGACGAAAACGCATCAGCGAAAAAAAAAAAGAAAAAAAAAAAGTAAAAGCCAAAACAAAAACCATTATTATTGAAAAAAAAAAAAAAAAAAAAAAAAAGACACTGCGAAATATGACACTACTGGAAAAAAAAAAAAAAAACGATTGAAAAAATGGCAAGCGATTGAAGGATTGCATTGAGTCGTGTGCGCCCTTCCCCGCCCCTTCGCTGGTTGGAGACACCCGACTCCCATTTGCCATCGAGCGTCTTGGGGGGTTCTCCTTCCTGCTCCCCCCGTCGCCCCCTTTCTCCCCGTGCGCCCTTGCGAATGAACGACTGGGCAAAAAAAAAAAAAAAAAAAAAGCTTTGAAATCTGAAGGGAAAAAAAAAAAAAAAAAAAAAGAGGCAGCGATTCGGTTGCGACAACGCACAGGGTGAGGAACAAGCAACAGGACACGAGCGTCATGGAAGGAGAAGAGAGGAGAGCAACGTGAACGAATTCCCCAGTCTGCTCGGGAAAGAGGCGCCCCGCAGCCAATGCAGCCAACGCAACCAGTCTCACCCAAAAACGAAAAAACGAAAAAAAAAAAAAAAAAAAAGCAGGAATTATTGTTTGAAAAATTGAATTGAACGGCGTTTCATGTGGGGATGGCCGCCGTGGCGATGTGGCACGCCCGCGAACGCAGAAGCAGGGTGATAGAGTGGGCCGCTCGGAGAAAGTGGAGTATGGCAACGGTCAACAGGACAAGCAGCGAGCGGGGGACGAGGGAGGGAGAGGGGGGGGGAAAAAAAAACGCAGCAACAATCTCAACATACACAAAAAAAAAAAAAAAAAAAATCCTTGCAATAAAAAAAAAAAAAAAACTGATCGCGTTTGAAAAACAAAAAAATTGCAGACAGCCATCCAAACACGCTGCACAAAGCGTATCGAAAGCGCACAGGGCATTCGAAGAATAGGTTCATTTAGAAGCAGAGAAAAAAACCAGGAATGGCACAACACTAGGTACCAAAACACACTACACAGCAAAAAAACAAACAACCAAACAACCACGCCAAGCATCAACACGAAAAAAACAAAAACTCAACGCATCGCCAGCATGCACCGATGGAAAGACTTTGTCAAAAGGTGGGAGGGGGGGAGGCGGGGAACAAAGCACAGCCCAGCAAGACAGAGCACTGAAAATGGAGGAAACACCAATAGAGACGAGCAAAATTTGGTACATGTCAGCCAACCAAAGAAATGGTGCCTCAAGCTGTGAGCTCCTTGATTTGCTTGATGAGGTAGACCTTCTCGTCGTTGAATTGCTCGTCGTCTGCAAGGAGAGGAGCAGGAAGAGTTGTGAGACAATCCAAAAAAAAAAAGAACAGATACACAACGAAAATTCAAGTTGACTTCTCTTCTCACCTTGACGCTCGGTGTGGAACTTTGACAAAAAGTCGACTAGCTTGTCCCGGTTCTTGAGCAGGATGTCCAGAATGGGCTTGGTCTTGTTGGGATTTGCAACGAAAACCTGCGTGTGGAAGAAGACATCACCGATGAGCAAACAAGCCTTTGGACAAACCCGATGCCGCCCGAAACAAACCTTGAAGACATGGAAGGACTCGAATTGAATATTTTTGCTCTTGTCCTTGAGCATGTTCATCATCATCTTGAGGTTCTCGGGGTTGCTGATGTAACGAGTCATGACCGAGAAGTTGGCGCGATCGAGGAGCAGCTCGCCGAGCAACTAGTTTCGAGAGGAGCAAGGTTGACGCAATAGTGAGCAAACAATCACTGATTTTAAAAAAAACCAATCACTCGTGCAGGAAAGACTCGAAGCTGGAACTCACTTTCAGCGACTGGCGCCGGGTCACGTAGTTTTCTGACAAGAGAAGCTTGGTGTACTGCTCGAATATCTGTGAACACATTCGAGAGAGAGAAACGAGCAATGAGTCCAAGAGCAACAACGACGTATCGGAAACGATCACAAGCAATTTGCGCGTTGCATACCCTGTCGTAATTCTTCTCCAAAAACTCGGCGCAGAGAATCTTGTGACGAGTGAGGAGTTCCTGTGAAAAAGGGAAGAACGCGGGCGTGTGAGACTCAGAACCCAGCAGACAAGCGCAATCGAACAAGGGATGAAACAAACCTTGAAAGTAGCAAAAGCGTCGGACGCAATGTCGAACGTTGAGAGCTCAACATAGTCAAAGAACTTGTAGAATTGCTCGCTGTGAAGGACAGTCTTGGCAAGAGCCTCATATCGCAAGGCTTCTCGGAGCATCTGGCCGGCCGGGAGGGCAATCTCTGGATTTTCGTAGCTGTTTCAAAAAAAAAAAAAAAAAGTCAGAAAAATGCAATGAAAGTCAAAGCCCCCCCCCCAACCGACACCTCTCGCGACATACTCTTTGAGCAGAGTGAACAACAAGTGGTCCTTGGTGCAGACATATTCGACCGTCGGTGAGCGCGTGCCGATCTGTCGGCGGAGCAGATTGCCGAAAATTTGCGCAGCATCCTTCTTGGCCTGTGAACGAACGATCGTGACAAGCAAACCCACCAAACAGTGAGGAGGCGGGGTGGGGACAAAACGGAATACACACAAACACACACGGTACACGGGGCACAAAACGCTCGACGCCGCACCTCAAATTCGAGTCGAGCCATGTTGTTGACGAGCGGGATCAAGAAATCGCAGCTGTACACCTCCTGCGCAAGCTGAGCGACCAGCTCTGGGTGCGGATCGGTCTCGCCATCGCCGTACAAGACGGTCTTCATTGCTTGGAGATGCTTGGACATTTCCTCGGCAAGCTGTGTTTGGTGCAAGTGGAGTCAAGTCAAAAAACAAAAGTGAGACAAAGATCGAAACGTTGAAATGTCGCCAGTTGCGCTGTTGTTTGGCCAACCGCCAGTCCAATCCAGCTGTCGTTTTGAAAGGGGTCGGGATGCTGATAGGATGATGACTGGGATGATGATGATGACTGGATGAGGATGAGGATGAGGACGATGAGGAGAGGAGCCACCCGAGTCATCAAAAAAAACATCGCCTCTTTCATTCAATGCGACTCCCGTCGTTGCCCAGTTCCGTCGCACGCAATGGCAATGCTTCATCCTGGCGCCGATGGATCAAACACAGTGCACTCCAATGGAAAGAAGTGTGTCACAAAAAGAGACGAACAACCAAACAAACCAAAAGCATAACATTTATAAAAAAAAAAAAAAAAAAGACAACAACAAATAAACGAGTTGGTTTTTTTTTTTTGTTTTGTTTTGTTTTGGCTTTGGTCTCTTGCTTGTTGCACTTCTCGCAATGTAAACGCAAGCTCGGGAATGGAATCCAGTGAGGGCGAGAAGAGTGCTTTTGGCAATGTGAGGGAAGGGCGATGGCAGGGACGAGCAGGGACGAGCAAGAAGACGTCTGGCGCAATGCGCAGCCTCTTGGATCAAAAAAAAAAAAGCAAATAAAAAATAAAACACGCTAATGGAAATCCAGCAAAACAAAAAGGTCAAAAAAAATAAAAAATACAAAATCCATTTTCTTGTTATTTTTCAATAGGACTTTGGCTTGGATCTTTTTTTTTTTTTCTTTTTTTTCTGTGTTGGTTTTTTTTTTTTTTTTTTTTTTTTTTTTTTTTTTTGGTCGCCGCTACCCCGTTTGCGTGTCGCACGATCGGTGTCGCGGCTGCAGCTCATGCCATGCCCGTCGTGTTGCTCGGCAGTCCGCAGAATCGCAGCCACATCGCCAGCGCCCGCACACGCGGCCCTCTCCCCGCCTCCCCTTCCCCCCCAGCGTCCAGAACAGACGGCGAACGCTACAAAGTCACAACAAACAGTTGCTTTTTTTTTTTTTTTTTTTTTTTTTTTTTGAGCCCTTTGGTCTTCTTGCTGCTCTCCTCGCGAGTTGCGTTCGGAGATGGCTGCGCGTCGGGGAGGGACAGTCACCTTGTCGCTGGGCTTGGACTCGAGCTGGCCAAGACAGTCCTTGGCGGCCCGCACAAGGTCCTGTGGGTTTTTGGCCTTGGCTTTGAACAGAAAGGCCATTTTGTTGTTTTTGTGCGGCTTCGAGTTTTGAAGAGTGGACGACAAAGTTGTGAGCAAAATAAGGCTCAGGGGTTTTATGGTATTGTTGGTACAAGATAGACAAAATAGAAAGGGAGCCAGGTGGGAGGGAGGGAAACAGGTGGATTTGAATTTCAAAGGAAGTGATCTTATCGCTCTTCGATTTCAAAGTCATCTTATCGACCCCCTCGATTTCGTGCATCGTTACATTACAACAGAGACAATGACACTGGCGCAAATACATGTACTACAACTGGACATGGACGTCGAAACGACAAAATAAACATGCACAACCACACACCCATCCAAAGTATTCAAACAAAAGAAAAAGCAAAAAAACAAAAAAAACAAAAAAAAAAAAAACACTCAGAAGAGCAATTTGACAATGCTCACCTCGGGTGCTTAATCGCGGGGCGCAAAGGAAGGATCCATGAGCGCATTCGAAAAGTAGCTCCACGAGTTGCGGGCAGCGGTGGTGCCAGAGACGACACCGGCGATCGGAGCGTGCAGGCAGCGATCGGGAATGCCAAAGGCCTCGACGACAGCGAGCGCATCGCGCGAAAAGTTGGCGCTGAGCTCGAGAACAATGTCGCGCAGTTCGCAGCTGTGCGCGGTGGTCATGTAGTTATGCTCAAGATACCAGGCGCGGTCGCGGTAGAGAATGGAGGCGGCGTGGAGCTGGGCAGCGGTCGAGAGAATCTCCTTGACGCGCGGGCTGGCCTTGGAGGTGGCGATGGATGCGTAGAACTTCTCGACGCAAACACGCTCAATGTGGGTGGTGGAGAGGTTGACAATGTGATCCAAGCACTCGTTCCAGGCGAGGAAGGGATCCTTCTTTTCGCGCTTGACGCGCTGCAGCAATCGCTTGGCAAGAAGGGTCAGCAGCTTGGCCTCCTTGAACGCGAGTGCCTTCACGTGGAACTCGGGCGCGGAGACGGGGTAGCTACGTGCTGCAAAGCGGCTGGTCTTCAGGGAGAGCACCACTTGGTTGGAGAAGAAGGACAGAATGCCGGTGAACATGCCCGTCTCGAATTGGGCAGCGTACTGCGCAATGAGCTCTTTTGCGACTTGCTGGAGCAAGACAATGTTGTCGCCCTCGAACGTGACGTAAATGTCCGTATCGGCCCTCATGCCGACCAAGCGGTTTTCGGCGAGGTAGCCTTGGCCGCCGCAGCACTCGCGGGCTGTTTGCAGGGACTCGATGCACTTGATCAGATGAAGGGGGAAGGGGGAAGGGGGGAAGGGGGAAGGGGGGAAGGGGGGAAGGGGCAAACCAAAGAACAGGCCATTGACGTTGCAAAAATCGAGCATTCAAAAAAAAAAAAAAAAAAAAAAAAGGTGAGACCAAGTCCAATCAACACAAACACGAAAGAAAACACAAAGACAACAAATGGATGGCTCACCTTCCAGGACGAGTACGCCTTCAGACCAGCACAGAGCGCTTGAACCTCGCGATTGGACTCTTGCATCTCGATGGCACACTTTTCGAGGGTTTTGGCGGCATGGCGGGCGAGGTTGGCGATGGCGAGGGAGGCGGCCAGCAGAGGCATGAGGCGAGTTTGGTGGGTCTGATAGGCGAGGATGGGCAGCTCGGTCGAGGTCATAACGGAAGCAGGGATGGGAATGACGCTGCCTTCCTCGAGCTCGCTGAAGGCGAACGCGGCCGGATTGGAGCTGGCGCCAGAAGCAGGAGCGGTGGTTGGTGCAGCCTGCTTGCTCCCACGCTTGGGCTTGGGAGGAGACGGGCCGAATTGACGACGACGCGCAGCATAGCGGATGGCAATGGCCAGACCAACCTTCATCACGCAGTTGGCACTGGAGGCGAGGGCGACACGAGTGCCGGTCAGAGCGGCGAGCATGGCGTTGAAGCGCTTGCTGTCGCTGGCAATGGTCGTCGTGTAGTTGCCCTTGGCGTCAACGTCGGCAAAGCGGTTGAGCAGGTGGTCGCGCGGGATGCGCGCGCCCGAGAAGGAGATGACGCCATTGTCGACACCGTTGAGGCCCTCCTTCTCGCCCATGTCCCAGACCGAGACGCCGGGGTACATGACCTTGTCCTTGCTCCGCATCGGGACAACGAAGGCGTGGGGACCGCGCGATTTGCCGTCGGCGGGCACCAGGTTGGCAAAGACGACCGCGTACTCGCCATTCAGCGCGTTTCCAATGTATGCCTTGCGGGCGTACGGATGGGGCGTGGTGATGACAAACTCTTGGGTCTTGGGATCGTACGTGGCGAGCGTCTCGATCGAGCGGACGTTCGAGCCGTGGCCAATTTCGGTCATGGCAAACATGCCGGTGAACTCGCCTCGCGCGAGCGGTGCAAACCACTTGGCGACGAGCTCGTCCGAGCCCAGACTCATGACGGCGCCGCCAAAGAGCCACGTCATGACGCCGAGCTTGACGTTGACCGAGAGATCGGTCATGCCCATGATTTCGCCGGACGCCCACCCCTTTTGGAGCGAGCCGGGTTTGCGCGCAATGTGCTCTGCGAAGAGCGACTGGACGACCTTGCTCTGGATGATGGTGAGCGCGCGCTCCTGTGTGATTTTGCGCTGCTCTGCCGTCGACAGGCCAAAGCGCAGGTCGAACAGCGGGGTCGAGTCCAGAAAGTGGCGCAGCTCGTCCTTGAGCTCGTAAAACTCGCCGTCCAGCTCGCGACGGAGCTCGCCCACCCAAGCGGGCAGTCCGGCAATGGTCGCCGCCGCGTCCGCAGCAGTCGTCGCCTTCTTCTTGCCATTGCTCGTCTTGTTGCTGCCGGTGCTTCCGGACGCCGCGTTGGCAGTCGTGAGCGTGGCGTGATGCCCGTCGCGGGTTGTGTCACAAGTCATCACAGTTGCGCCTGCGCCCCTCAGTGCCGAGGCCACCGCAGCCACACGTCGCAGCTCGGCCGCCTCTGTCGTCGCCGTCGCCGTTGTAGTCGTAGTAGTCAGCGTCATTTCCGTCTTGCTTGTTGTTTGCTTTTGCACGTGAGAAGCTGGTTGGAGTGGAAAGCAGAAAATTAAAAAAAAAAAAAAGAGTGAGAGCGACGGCTGGTAAAATCCCGTCGGCCATTTGGCTTTGCTGTTTTTGTGAGTCGTCTCCAGGTTGAGACGGAAGGAAGGTGGTTGGTGGTTGGTGGTTGGTGGTGTGGGTGCATGATGATGCAGATCAGACAGGGAGAAAGAGAGAGAGAGCGAGAGACAAGGGAGACAAGGGAGAAAAGCCGGAAACGTGCAAGATTGGGTGATTTGAGCCGGTTCCGGTTGTCGGGTTTTCAATGCAAAGTATGCTCAGATTGGGCCCCAACAGCGATATTGATTGTGTTTGAGATTGGGCCCCAACAGCCATTGCGTGTGTGTGGTGTGTCGAGGATGATGCTGATGATGGTAATGTGGTGATGCAGGGGATTGATTCATTGTGGGCAATCCGACAGAACGAAAATCTGAAAATGGCCCAACAGCAATTGCGTTGCGTGTGTGCGTGGCTGATAATGATCATGATGATGATGATCCAGGGAACGAATAGATGGTGAAGCCAATAATCGATCCCGGTCGGCTGAAACTATGCACTGGATATCGAGTGCGAGTTCAACGCAAGCTGAAAACGCCGGTCGCCATCGCACTGTGCATTCAACTGCAAAACAACACGGATTGATAACATGGCAAAAAAACTAGAGGTTTTTATTAATGTACAATTGGGAGGGGAGGTGAGAGAGCTTGGTTAGGACAAACACACTGGCGCACACGTTCTAGTCGAGCTTGCTGCGTCGCTTTGGCTTGGTGGCTGGTGAAGCCGCGCTGTCGTCGTTGTCCACGACTGCACTTTGCTGCTCTGTTGCTGGTACTGCTGCAGCATGTGGCACCGAAGCCGCCGCCGCAGCAGCAGCAGAGGGGGAAGAAGATCCAGATGCGCCGGACGAGGACGCGCGCGTGGCGGCAGCAGCGTTGAGCTCCTTGGCGCGCTGCAGTCGCCGCGTCAAGATGTTGATAAAGACGACCACGATGAAGAAGACGACGACAAATCCGCCATTCACCCAGAAGAAGAGCCCGACGGCCTTCCACAGTTCGTCGTCGAGCACCCACAGCATTCGAGAGGTGACGGACGACAAAGATTGACTGGTGATGACGGTAACAGCTCAGACTCGATTGTACTCAACATGGCGCATATTCCAAGCATGAGTTTAGGGTTTCCACTGACAGACCTCCAGTTCCAGAAGCATAGGGAACAAGCTCAGATCGCCAGCATCCAGAATTTTCCGGCGCTTGCTGGGATCCCTCTTCTGTGCGGTACTTTATTTCTCTCTCTCTCTTTTCTCCCTCCCTGCTTCTTCTTGTTCTCGACACTAACTCTACGGCCTTCTCAGTCTTTCAGTCTTTTGTTTATTTTATTTTATTTTTCTCTATTTTCTTTCTCTCCTATTTTTTTTTTTTTTTTTTTTTTTTTTTTTGGCCTTTTGGTTTCGAGTTTGTGAATGGCAGGGCGTAGCACACGTATTCTGACGTGGCTGCGTGCGCTCGACCTGCTGAGCGGCAAGCAGCTGAGCAACGGGCATCCACCGAGCCCCACAACGCCATCCACGGCACCATCATCGTCGCCGGATGAGCTGGTGGACGACATTCACCTGCTGCCCTACCTGAAGGACGGCATCATCCTCTGCCAGCTGGTCAACCGCCTCCAGCCAGGCTCCGTCGCAGCCATCAACATGGACATTACGCGCTCATACAAGGCCCTCGAGAACATCAAGCGCTTTGTCGGCGCCTGCCGCACTCAGTTCAACCTCCAGCCAAACGAGCTCTTCGAACCCAAGGTCAGGTTTGCTTTTGTTTGCTGCGTGATCTCCCTGAATCCCAGCCGCATCCGAAACCCAGTAGAACGAGAGAGTGTGTGTGACTGTGTGTGCGTCTTGTGTGCGTCTGACGAGGGACAGAGGAGAAACAGGAATCAATGGATGGTCGGAAGGAAAGGAAAGGGGAAAACCTGCTATTTGGATTTTTGTTTGTATTTTCGTTCAGAACTTTCGGACCCGCAGTCCCCTCGGTCTGGCTGGGTGTGTGTTTGAACTCCTCCCTCCTTTCATTCATCCCTCTCATCTGCCGTCCTCTTCTGCCCGGACGGGAGGCTGGAGCACATTGGGCGACTGCGAGAAAACAAACGGCAGCTTTTTTTTTTTTTTTTTTTTTTTTGTTCAAGGGCAGCGAGTGGCTCAACATCGTGCGAGTCCCTCCCTCTCCCTCTCCCTCTCCCGCGCTGTCTGTCTGCCTGCTGGTCACTGTGTTGCGCAGTTCACCTCACGCAGCTGGGTTGTCTCGACGATGGGCCCCGTTTTCGCACGCTGTGATCCTCTCACCAGCAAATGCTGTTTTTCTCCACTGCAATGATCGTCGATCCTTCCTCGCTCTCTCACTCTCACGCACTCTTTCTCTTCTGTCCTTCGCTTTGTCTGAGTGGAACATGCTGAGGTATGGTGTGCTGACTGCAGCCGTCAAACACCATTGCTGCGGTCGTCCCTTTTTTTCATTTGTGGCTTTCGCAAAAAAAAAAAAAAAAAAAAAAAAAAAAAAGCTTTTTTCTACTTTATTTTTTTTTTTTTTTTTTTTTTTTTTTTTGTATTTCGGGCCTTGGGTCCCACGGCGCCCCATCATTCATCAAATCGGAGCATCAGTCGGGTTGACTCATCCTGCTTCACAATCACGAAGCTGTTCCTCCTTTTGTTGATGGACTGCCGCTGTTCGTGCAACGACAACAACTTCAGAAAACAAAAAAATACCTCGAAGAATTGTGATCCGTTTTTGTTGTTTAGCCTTTTGGGAATGCAAACGCCCCGTGCTTTCGGTTGACCCCACACACACACACATTCACTACTCACTGCTGGCTACTCATTCAACTCACATCGACTCACATCGACTCGATCAAGCAAAAAAAAAAAAAAAAAAAAAAAAAAAAAAAAAAAAAAGGACAACGCCCCAAACAACCAACCTGAGACGATCGTTGCCAAACCCTCATCGTCAAACAAACTGAGCAGCAAAGAGAAACAGCGACATATATTCCAACTCACCAACAAACATTCATCTCCCAAACAAAAACAAAAAACACTCCTTTGCACTTTGCAATCACATCACAGATCTTGTACGAAGGAACCGGATTCTCACAGGTCATGCGCACGCTCGAGCTCCTCGAAACGAGGGCCGCAGACCTCGGCATGGGCCCGCTCTTCCGACAGGTGCAGGCTGCCACCCACAAACACGATGGCAGCAGCGACGACGAGGACCCATCCCACACCAATGGTGGGAGCGACAGCGCAGGCTCGGCCTCCTCGCAGAAACGCAACGCCAACGGAGCTGCTGCGGCGAGCGTCGCGCAACCCACGGCACTTGCGCTGTACTCGTTCGTTGCCACCAAGACAGACGAGCTGTCGTTTGATGAGGGCGATATTATCGTGCTGACCAAGGTCATTGATGGTGGTTGGTGGGAAGGCACCGTCAAGAACAGCACGGGCTGGTTCCCCAGCAACTATTGTGAAATTCAAGAGGGCATGTCGGCCGCAGCAACGCTGGCTGCAACTGGCGCCGAGGAGCACATTTATTCTCCCGTCACGGAGGACTTGGTCCCAGCAAAGCCATCACAGCCAGTGGCGTCGGCTGCAGCACACCCGCGATTGAGTGTGGTTGCCTCCGTCCAGCGCGCTCCCTCCACCAGCTCGCCCACAACCACCATCCGCCGCGACAAGCGAGAGAGCATGCAAGTCTACCAAAACCTTGTCGCCCAGGAGATTGTCGACAGCGAACGCAAGCACGTCCATCTGCTCGACAACTTCCTCGGGCGTTATCTGCCAGGCGTCCAAGAGGCCGCATGGCTGAATGACGACGATAAGCAGTCGCTTTGCTGCAATATGGAGGCGCTGCTCTCCTTCCATCGGCAATTCCTTCAAGCCCTCGAGGCGGCAACACAGGTCGATCCTCACGAACAACGGTTAGGAGGCTGCTTCTTGAGCGCCGAGCCCTATGCCCGCGAGGCCTACACTGTGTACTATACGCTGCATCCTCGCGCAATCACCTTCATCACGCAACACCAGGACGATCAGCAATTGCACGAGCTCTTGAAATCGATTGGCATTTCGACCAACCCAGTCACGCTCGGCTTGGTCCAGAGCCTGGCCAAGCCCATGCAACGCATGACCAAGTACCTTGCTCTCCTCAAGGAGGCTGAGCGCTATGTTAATGGAGACCACGTCGACGCCACCGACATGGAGGAGGCCGTTGCCCGAATGAACGATCTGTTTGCCACTCTGACCGAGACGCGAAAGCGCAGCGAGGATTCGCTGAACATTTTCAACAAGAAGATTGATGGTCTCAAGCCGCAAGACCAGGCCACGCTTGGCGACTTGCTTCAGAGCGCCACGTTCCCCATGGCGTCCAAGGACAGCGTTGCCCTCAAAGAGCGCATGCTGCTCCTGTTCACCAATGCGGTGCTGATTCTGGCGCCCGATCCAAAAGGCCGGTTTGACTATTTGGTCAAAGAGCGCATCCCGCTCGACTGTCTCAACGCGTCCAGGCGTGTCAACGAAGTAACGCATGGCTTTGAAGTGTCTGGCACCAAGCCCAACCGCTCGTGCCAAGTGTCGTGCAGCTCGAGTGGCGAGTGCGATGCTTGGATTAGTGCCATCAATTCCCTCCTCGCTGGCCACACTGCCATGGCCCGAATGCCGGGCGATTTGCAGTCGGAAATCGCCAGCGCAAACTCCAAGCCCAAGAAATTCAAGTGGGTCACCTCAACCTTGAAAAAGATCAGTGGCAAGGACCGGGATCGCGCACGGGACAGTGATCAGCAGCAGCAGCAGCAGCAGCAGCAGCAGGGTTTTGAAGAGTCGTCGTCGAGCGCTGGGGGCTCTGCGACGACCGACGGGTCTGGCAGCGACCAGACTGCTCCTCAGAACGGCACTCTTTCGCGGACCAAGAATGGCGGCAGCTCCTCGCCCCAGCCCTCTCCGCCCACGCCTCGCAGCTTCTCACTCTCGAGAAAGCCTGCGCCTTTGCCTCCATCGTCCTCGTCGGCTACGAGCTTCAACGAGGTTGCCGCGTTGGATGTGCGCCAACGCTCGCTCACGTCCGACCCTCAACTGAAAAAGTCTCGAGCAAGCACACTGCCGTCCTCGCGCGCTCCGCCTGCTGCCGCCCTGGAGGCGGTTGCTGCCGGCGGTCTAAGTGCATCGTCCGCGACAGTGGGCATGCCACTAGAAGGCGGGTCGCCGCTAAGTCGCAGCGTGGAACTTATCAACGACCATCCATCATCAGACCTACCCAGCAAGTCCACCTCGGGCTCGGTGCCAGCCCTGCGCTCATCGCCTTCGTCGTCTTCCAACAGCTCGGCCACCAGCTTCCCTGCGCCAACGGGGCCTCTGCCGCCTCTGCCTCCTCTGCCCAAGCAGTCACTCAAGTCGCAAATCTCCTCCTCTCTCAAGCGAATCAGTCGCACAGCCAGCACTCAAAACATGAAAGAATCGCCATCGGCTTCCAGTCTAGGGCAGCCCCCGTCGCCGCTGTCTGCCACTGTCCTCGGTGAGTCATGAGTGCGGGTGATTCGGTGTCGGTCTGGCTTTTTATTTTCGATGAAATCCTCTTGTTGTTGAGTTCATCCGTTGTTACTCTCACTGTTGTGTGCCATCTTTGGGGTTTGCAGATGCGGCTGCGCCTCTCTCCGACGTGATTATCGCCGTCAATTCACAAAGCGAGCAAATCAACTCGCTTCTTCGGGAGTTGACGGTCGTGCGAATGGCACTTGAGGAAGAGCGGGCGGCGCGTATTGCGCTTGAACTCAAGCTTGCTCAATTCAACTCGAGCAACAAGAAAGCTTGAGTGGAAATCACTCCCAACGAGCCTTACTTTCCTTTCCCTCCCCTCTCCCATCTTTACTTTTTTCATTGCCGGCAGGGCTTTCTCGTTCGTTTCTGATGCTGTCTTTGCTGTATTTCTGTTCTCGGTTTGTTTGTTTGTTTCAAAATGTCGTATTTTCATCGTGGCTGCTTGTGTGTCGTTTGGTTTTGTCGCCCTCGTTTGGACGATCGAATTGAATGCTGAGATTATTCAAACAATATCAACTATTGGTGAACAATACGAGCCAAGCCAAACTGCTCAGACCAGTCCATATTCTCGTTCAGTTTCCGCGATTGATTCAACTCTGTGCTCGGGTGCCAGCCATCGATCTATCGCCAGCTTTGCATTCTCATTCTCTCACCCCATAGCCACCAAGTCTCATCCATTCTTGCTGAGCACGAGTGACGACAATACACCATGCGACGCGCAGATCCAGGCAAGCCTCAGATCCAGCTTCCTGTCGCTGCGGCTGTCGTCGACGTCGAGTCATCCGACGCACAATCCAAGTTGCTGCAGAAGGATCTCCCCGAGACTGCCCATCCTGAAACTGGTCTTGCTGCTGCCGAGACGGACGCCGGTCAAGCAGCAGCTGCCAAGACTGAAGTCCCAACTGACACGCAGACGACTGCTGCGAATGGCCATCATCCGTCGCTGCCACTCGACTCCAAAGACAACCAGACAGCAGACTCCAACCCAGTCCTGGAGGTGCGCCCGGACGGGATCCGATTGAGCCGCTACTCGAGCGACGAACAGCTCGCTGGCATTATGGATCTCATCACTTCAGAGCTGTCTGAGCCGTACTCAATCTACACGTATCGGTACTTTATCCAGTCGTGGCCAGACTTGTGCATTATGGTATGGTATTCGTCTGAGAACAGGCGACGAGTCGTATTGAAGCACGCTCTCACTTTTTGCGCTCGTTACTTCCACACTTCTGGACTCGCAGGCACACGATGGAGATCAACTGATCGGTGTCGTTGTCAGCAAACTCGAAATGCACGACACAAACTTCCGAGGGTATCTTGCCATGCTGTCTGTGCGGAAGGACTACCGCAATCGCAAGCTCGGTACGAATCTTTGTTTTGGATTGTGTGCAGATCTTGTGTTGCTCTCTGTGCTCGTTTGCTCATTGTTGGTTGGTTGGCGTGCTCCTGTTGTTCTTGTTGTTGTTGCTGCTGCATCAATCTCTGTGAACTCAGGAACGCATCTGGTCCGGAAAGTCATCGACCGCATGATTGAAAGAAACGCCACAGAAGTTGTTCTGGAAGCAGAGCTCACCAATAAGGGCGCCCTGGGGCTTTACGAAAACTTGGGGTTTGTGCGTGACAAGTTCCTCAAAGGATATTATCTGAGCGGTGTAGATGCCTATCGGCTCAAACTGTGGCTGCAGTAACGACAAGCGCTAATCTGTTACAAATACACTGTTTCTTCTCTCTTCTTCTGCTTATGTCGCATGTCATGTCATGTCCTGGGACGCAATGCGTGCAACAAGTACCCGGCTTCAGACAATTCATGGCAGTTCTATTGGGTTAGAAGTACAAAAAGTTGCAAACAGACTCATCCACTTGCTGTAACTGGGGCTGGTGTGTCTGTGGTGGCTGTAGAGGCTGCTTCAGCGGTGGCGGTGGTTGAAGGTGCTTCTGCAGCCACGGGCTTGCTGGTCGTAATTGGCGGACGCACTCCTTTGACAACATCGGCAGTGATGAGGACGCTTTCCAAGTCATGCATTTCGTACATGGTGTCAACCAGAATCTTGTCCTGCAAGCGAGAAGATTAGCGCAAAAAAGCAACTAAGAAACAATCTCCACAATTGCACAATCCGAATTGTCCAAGTCACAGTGTGGGCAACGTACAATAATCGCGCGAAGACCACGCGCGCCAGTCTTCTTTTCGATGGCTTGCTGCGCGATGGCAGTCAGAGAGTCCGGAGTAAAGTACAAGTTGATCTGTGGCACGAAGAGACAAGATGAGTGCCGTGCACAGAGGATTGTCGAATCGAACAACCAGCATCCTAGAAAAAAAAAAAAAAGTCTGGTCGCACCTTCTCCATTGCAAAGAGCGCTTGGTACTGAGGAATGAGCGCGTTCTTGGGCTCGACAAGAATGCGAGTCAAGTCCTTCTCTGACAATGCATCAAGATGCACAAGCAGAGGGAAACGGCCAATAAACTCGGGAATCATGCCAAACTTTTGCAAGTCGGTGGGCTGGACCTACATGGCGCAAAACCAATCAATCAAAAGTGAGTCGGTGGTCCCAAAAAACAACCGACAAGGACGGAGAAAACAGAAGGATGACGAGAGGGCTCCATACCTGTCCCAAGAACTCCATGTCTGATGCATTCTGTGCCTTGACACTGGCATTGAAACCGAGCGAGCTCTGGGACACGCGGTTCGCCACGAGTTTCTCAAGCCCAGAGAAGGCACCAGAAGCAATGAAAAGAATGTTGCTCGTGTCCAGCTGAATAAAGTTTTGCGCAGTTTTACGAGCGCCCTTGTCCGGCACATTGACAACGGCACCTTCAAGAATCTATTCAAAACGGAAGTCGTGACGGTCAGTCAAACCTCGAGCGCAAACCTCGAGCAAAAAACCTCGAGCGCAAACAAAAAATCTACAAATGGGACACTCACCTTCAGGAAACCCTGCTGAACGCCTTCGCCACCAACATCCTTCACACGTGCACCTTCGTACGAGCGCGCAATCTTGTCGACTTCATCGAGGAAGATGATGCCCTGCTGCGCCGCCTCAACATTGTGGTCGGATTCCACAATGAGACGATGCAGCACGCTTTCAATGTCCTCGCCGACATATCCTGCCGCGGTAAGCGACGTGCAATCGGCAACAGCAAATGGAACGTCGAGACACTTGGCGAGAGTTCGAGCCAAATGAGTTTTGCCTGTTGTGGAGGAATGGAAACAACGGGTTAGTTTGGGTAGTACCATGCCACTCTATTGCAATCCAATTCAATCCAACCAAACCCCCAACCCACAAAAAAACAAAGCCACTCACCAGAACCAGTCGGCCCAAAGAGCATAATGTTGGACTTTTCAAAAACAATGTCTCCGTCACGAGGAACGAGCACCTCGTGCTCCTGGCCCTGGATGACAACCTTTTTGGTCACCATGGCGCTGGCTGGGGAAATTGGGGTGGAAAGCACGCCGGTCTTGCTGGCGCTCGGCTCGCGGCTCTTGCTGGCAGCCTGCTTGGCGGCCACACGCGCGTTGGCTTGAACACGGACATAGTGCGAATGCACGGAAACAGCAATCGTCTTCTTGGCGGCATGCTGGCCAATCACATGGGCATCGAGATGCGCGCCAATCTGCTGCGCCGTCGGGATGGTTCGGTTTAAAAAGCTTTGGGCAGTAGAGTCCGGTGCGGCAGCTCCAGCAGCGGCGTTGGCGTTCGACGTGGGACCGGCAGTGTTCCCAGAGCCGGGGCCCTGGGTCCAAGACGCGTTGGATGCCCCTTGGCGACCAAACGCAGCACCAAACAGGCCACCACCCAGCCCGGAGCTGCCGTGGATCTGGATACTTCCTGCAGGTGTCTGAATGGTGGTGGTGGTGCCAGCAGCGCCGGCTTGCGATGAGGGTGATGCAGACGCTCCATCGCCCGATTTGGGGAAGTGCGGGGACGAGTCGAACGCGCGGGCCTCCATCAGCAAGAGAATCGAGCTGCAGTGCGTGCACACCATGAACTGCCGCGGTTGGCCAAATGCCATCTCGTCGGGGTACTTGAGCGCATTGCCGCACACGGGGCAGTTGAAGCGAGCGGACGCACTCTTGCCACTTCGTTCTTCCACGTGAGTCGTTGCACCTGTCAAACTCTTGTCGGTCGAGTTGAATGGAGACTCGTCGCTCGGCTTGGCGCTGCTAGGAGCTTCGCTTTCGCCACTGGACGCATCGGCTCGAGCGCTAGAGCGCGACTTGCTCGGCTTGGCCGCGTGCTGTTTGTGCTCTGATGAAGAGGAGGAGGGCGCGGTACCGGTGCCTTCCGCGTGAACGGGTGTGTCCTTGCCAGACTCGGACTCGCTGCCGGTGGTGTCCTTGCTGCTGCTGCTGTCTTTGCTGTCTTTGCTGTCCTTCGGGGTCTCTTTTGCCGTGACATCCGGCTTGTACTCTTCCGGAGGGACTTTGCCATCGGTAGGACCGTTTCCGCCATTTCCGCCATTTCCGCCGTTTCCGCCACTGCCGGATCCTGAACCACCCTTGTCCCCACCGCGCGCCAACACCTACGAAACGATGAGCAATTCAATCGAAAATCGAACGAAATTCCCAGCAACCAAACAGTCCGCCAGTTGAGTGAATGTCGCTTCCAAATCACTCCAATCCGCTGGTCAGATTGGTTTGCGCTCTCTCCCTCTCTCTCTCTCTGTCTCTTCTCACACCCTCTGATCGTGCTCTGTACCATGTTGGCCCGCGAGTGGAAGGGTCGCTTGCTCGGCGCTGGTTGAGTCGCAGTGGTCATCATCATCATCATCGAACCGTCAAGAACGGACGCAGAACCCGATCCGAGTCCAAATCCCGCAGCTCGCATGGGCACGTTCACTGAGCTTGTGGCCATCGATGAGAACGCCTGCGACGTGGACGAGGCGGAGGACGACGCGGAGGATGAAGACGAGGAGGAGGTAGCCGTGCTCGAGCTCGAGCTCGAAGTGAAGCATCGCGCGCCAGCCGCCAACGCAGCAGCAGCAGCAGTCTCAGTGGAAGCAGTGGCGAGCAGAAGAGACAGGCTGCTTGATGATGACGAGGACGGAGCGGCAGGGTGGCCGGAGACACTGGCGACGATGAGCTTCGGCGAGAACGAGCTCGGTCGATGACGCGGCCGGAGAATGGCAACTGCGGCTGCGGCTGTGAGTGCGATCCGCCAGAGAAGCAACGCAGCAGAGACAGACAGACAGACAGACAGAGACAAACAATGTCCAAAGCAAGAGAAAAGTGAGGCACACAAAACGGCAAAATGGCAGCACAAACGAGAATCAGATTGAAAAAAATGACAACGCAAAAAAAAAAAAAAAAAAAAAAAAAAAAAAAAAAAAATACAAACCTCGCAACATTGGAACAAAGAAAAGAAATGAAAAAGAGTGATGCTTGCATTGGTTTGGTTTTGGTCGTTTGTCGTCCTTGGAAGAAGGTTTATTGAGTGAGAGATCAAAGAAGAAGAAAACACAGACTCAAAACACAACCAGCAAATGAATCTGTTCAGCGAGAGAAGAACAACAACACAAAGACGAGACAGAGAAAAATCATCTACTTCTTGTTCTTCTTGCTCTTGCCGTTGCTCTGGTCGTGGCCGTTGCTCTGGTCGTGGCTCTGGCCGTTGGCGTGCTCCTTCTTGGAAGAATCAGCCTCCTCGAACGGGTCTGCGTTGTAGACAGTGTCAATGTAGCCCCGGGTGATTTCCTGGATCAGGGAGCGATCAGGGACCGCTTGGGACATGCCGTAAATGGCAGCGCCGCCAGTGGCCTTTGCCTTGGGCGTCTTCATGATTTCGGCGACACACTCGGTGACGTCGCGGATGAACTCGTTGGCAATGTTGTCCCGAGTGTGGACGAAGGTGACGCAAATGTGGATGCTGGAAGGGAATTGCAGCTTGTTCAAGTTCCAGCCGCGGTGCTCGAGGGCATCGCCAAGTCGGTAAATGTCAAACTTGCGCGAGCCGAGCGCAATGACCGAAACCCGCGGGTCGCCCAGGATATCCAAGCCCTTGACAGTTCGGAGCTCCTTGATGATGTGCGAGGCAGTGTCGAGGATTGCCCTGGTGGTGCTGACATAGCCCTTGCGGCCAAAGTGCTGCAAGCAAGCCCAGGTGGCCGCCACAAGCGCGCCAGGACGGCTGCCAGCAATCGAAGGCGAGGCGTAGATGCCGCCCGACCAGTCGGCCGAGACAAAGAATTGGTAGTGACGCAGCGCGTGCGTGCTGTACATGATCACGGAGGAGCCCTTCGGTGCAAAGCCGTACTTGTGCGTGTCGCACGAGATGGACGTGACACCCTTGACGGAAAAGTCGAACGCCGGGATCGGGTAACCCGCCTCCTTCATGAAGGGCACGAGGAAGCCGCCGAGGCAGCAGTCGACGTGCAGACCGATGCCGTACTCGAGCGCGACCTTGGCGAGGCCTTGAATGTCATCAATGGCACCGTGGGGGAAGGAAGGGCAGCTGCCGACAAGCATGATCGTGTTGCTCGTGATGGCACGGCGCATGGCGCCAACGTTCGCCTCGCTAGTCCTGGGGTGGGTGGGGACCTTGATGAGCTTGATGTTAAAATAGCCAGCAGCCTTGTCGAATGCAGCGTGGGCAGACTCGGGGATGATCATCTCGGGCTTGGTGATGCCACGCTCTTCGCGTGCGCGGTCGCGGTAGGACTTGACGGCCATGATGATGGACTCGGTGCCGCCGGACGTCATGGTGCCGCACGCATCGTTGCCGCCCTGGTACATGTCGACGACCATGCGAACGACCTCAGCCTCCATCTTGCGGACGCCAGGGAAGACATCCGAGTGCAGCGGGTTGGAAAGCGCAAACATGGCGTAGGCCTTGACGAGAAAGTCGGTCAGCTTCTGGTCACCGTGGTAGATGGTGCCAGACACGCGGCCGCGGGTCATCATGTCGGTGGAAGACGCGGCAGCCATCGTTTGCAGGTCGTGCATAATGTCGTGCTCCGTGCGAGGGCCGGCGGGCAGCTTCTTGTACACGCTGACGCCAGGAATCGGCTTGTTGAGCGACTTGCGCATGCTCAGCAGAGTGCCCTGGACCTCTTTGCGGATCAGAGTGCCAACAATCGGCAGCTTGCGGATGTTCTTGAAGAAGGACTTCTTTGAGCGAGCGAGCAGGGCTGTTGTCCAAAAGAAAAAAAGATCATTCGGGGTTTCCAAGCGAAGATGAGACCTTGGTTTGGTTTTTGTTTGTTTGTTTTTCAAATCTGGTTTGGTGATGGTGCCCCTTGCTTTTCTCCTTTGACTTACGCTCATCCTTGAAGAGGAAGCCAAAGACGCGCTGGAGCAGGAGGACCGCTGCGACCGTGGCGAGGACCAACGCCCACGCCTCGATGCCGCTGGTCGCCTCGTTGAATGCCGTGCGCAGCTGCTCGAGCACGACCTGAGCCTCGATGTACAGCTGGTGAAGGCGCTGTCGAGACGAACAAGAGCGGAGGAGGAGGGGAAGATGGCGTTTAAAAGTGAGTGATTTCACCATGATAGGTTCAAACCAGACGCCAAACAGACGACAGGAGAGAGCAAGAGAGAGCAAGAGCAAGAGAAAGCGAGACCAGTGTAGATCGAGACCAGTGAGTGACAAATGCGACAAGCAGAAGCAGAAGCAGAAGCAGAAGCAGAGGCGGAACTGCAATCAGTTATTATCCAAAACGCTCGTGGCTTTCCACCTTCAGTGCAGCCCGTTCGTCGACACTCTTTCGCGGCTCTTCCTCACTCTCATGAACGACGCTTTGCAGTCAATCGTTCACTCCCAGCCAACCTCCCACCGGAACTCCCGACGGGCCCCCGGTGAGGAGAGGCGGAGGAGGAGGAGATGGAGCCGATTTCAAATTATCTGTCTGTCTGTAGCGCGTTGCGATGCCCCTTTGCTTACAGGGTCGGCGATGACAGCCTCGAGCGTCTGCTTCAGAAGCTCAATCTGCGGCTCAAATCCAGCAGCAGGGAAGTGGGAAAGCGACATTTCTTCGGGTTCAACAGAAAGATTGTTTGAAGACAACAAAAATGACTGGTTTTTTTTTTTTTTTTCTTTTGGCCGCCGGCTGATTTGTTGGTCAGGACGCTCAGTTTAGGATTGCTGAGGCAGCGCCTTTGGTTTCGCGTGCTGCTCCCATTGGGTGCGAAATTTGAACTCATCCAAAAACAAAAAATCAAGCACGAGAGATCAACCATACTCCCATGACGGGGAGAAACCAAAAGACAGACGGAGGAAGCGGGGTGGGCAGTCAGACACAAGAGCGACATGCCATCTGCCACGTTGACGACAACGCATCATGACAAAGGAGGTATCGGTTGACCAGCGATAGTTGGATGATGTCATACCGAGCATTGTACAGGTTTGCTGTTCTGCGCTGTTTAACTTGGGGGAGTATCAGCTTCAAAACCGAAAGCAAACAAAATGAAAGAGCGCTTGGTGAATCGTTCAAGCCACTCGCTCGTGGTCGACAAACGCCTGCGGTTTGAGGTTCTGATCAAATAGATATACTGTATTAACATTGACACGGTGTAAATCCATCCACCTGCACGCATACATTGGAAACTGCTTTTAAAAAAACTAGTGGGGAGAACAAAATTAACGAATCAGCGACGCGTCCGTCAAGAAGTAGTCGCTCTGAGCATTGACATCCGTCGGCGCAATGCCGGTGTTGACAGAGATGGGCAAAGGCAGCACTGCCAACGAGCTGTCGGTCGTACTCGCGGTGGCGAGCGGCGCGTTCGGATGGACAGCAGTGTTGCTGGGCTGCCCAGACGCAAATAGGTCGAGGGACATGGAAGCACGAACAAAGTCCACCTCGTCCTCATCCTCGCTGGTCGCAAGAATGGGATGAACGCGCAGACGAGGGTGCAGGGCATCAAACAGCGACGAATGCGCCGGCGAGGTGCCTCGCGGCGATTCGGCCTCGCCGCTTTCGCTCTCATGGAAGATGGGATTGGTGGCGGCGGCGGCGGCGGCGGTGGCGGTGGCGGCCCCGGCGTTTCTGGCGAGCACAACTTCAGAAGAAACCTCATCTTCGTCATCCTCTTCCTCCTCGTCCTCTTCGTCGTCGTCTACGAGCAAGTCCTCCTCATCCTCGTCCTCTTCACCCTCGAGAGGCCGCGGGCGGAAGGTCATACCCGAACTAGAGGGGGTGGGCACGGCAGCAGGAGTGCTTGACGGCTGATGCACGGCAGGCGAGGCGGATGATGATGAGGACGACGATGACGACGATGACAGTTCAAACAATGTCGCATGCCCTTGCGTCGAATCGTGGCTTCGAGCCATCACAACCGTAGCGAAAGCCGACTGTACGGGCATGGTTGACATGGCTCCAAGGCCAGCGTCGGCGTCCGTGACAGACAGAGGAACAGCCGTGCCAGGCGCAAAGGACACTGCCAGCCCGGATTTCGACGCGGAACGCGAACGGGCAGGCGGCTGCATGTAAAAGATATCCTCAGACTCGTCGTTCAGCGGCGAGGCCGATGAGATTTCTTCCTCCTCTTCCTCCTCTTCCAATTCCTCCTCCTCTTCCTGCTGCTCGACGGCAGAAACCATGGCGCGCAGGGTGTGAGCGCCAGTGTCTGGGTGGTGGGCATCCTCTTGCTGGTGACCGTCCTCGTCCTCGTGGTATGCGTGGAAATTAACATGGTGGCCGTCAGAGCCGACGTTTGCGGAAGAGGCAAACGCTGGGGCGTGCGAGGGACGACTGTGCGACTCGAAAAACTTTTCCAAAGCCTTGGTTTTGGCAACCAGCGTCTGGCGAACAATTTTGCGCTTGGGCGCGCCAAACAGAGGCCGGTCGCGACCAGGACTAGTCGAAAGCTCGGACGTGTCACCTGTCGCGAGACGAGCCGCTGGAATGGCCATGCGCTGAGTTTGCTCCCACTCCTTGCGCGCAAGGTCTGCCTCGCGTTGTTTGAGCTGCGCCTCAAACTGATACAGCTCTTTGGACATGGTTTCGGTTCGCTGCAGCTCCTCCTCGTACATTTTGCGAACGTTTTCGGCCTGCTCGAGCTCGCTTTCGCGCTTGCGAATGAGACTTTCATCAAGCTGACGCAGGTACTTTTCACGCTCCTTCATGTCGGCAAACTGCTGCTTGATTTCGCCCTGCCAGCCCTCGCGCGTGAGCAGATACTCGTCGTGAGGCGTGAGCAAAAAGTTCTCGGCAAGAATCTCCAGGTGCGAGAGAATCTGACGGAAGGCAGGCCGATTTTGCGGCTTGATTGTCCAGCACTGCTTGAGCAAGAGCTGGAAGCCCTCGGGACACGTGGCTGGGATTGGGAGCAAGAGCATGTTGCTGCCCACGCCCCAAATGATGCGCGAGGGGTCAACGCCGTCGTAGGGAATCTGCGCAGTCAGCAGCTCCCACAGCACAACGCCGTACGACCAAACGTCCACCTTTTCAGAGCACAACTCGTTGCGGATGACCTCGGGCGCCATCCACGCCACCGTGCCCGCAAACGTCATGTTCTCCGAGATGCCGCCAAACTCGCGGGCCGTGCCAAAGTCAGAGATTTTCAGCACATCGTTGGCGGAGACGAGCACGTTGGGAGACTTGAGGTCGCGATGAATAAACTTGTTGTCGTGGAGGTAGTTCATGCCACGCGCAATCTGCATGGCCCAGTCGAGAAGGAGGGTGGGTCCAAGGCTGCGCGACTTCATCACGTCAAACATTGGGCCGTGTTCGCAAAACTCCATGATGATGCAGAATTGGGGCGGACGCGTGCAAACGCCGACAAACTCGACAATGTTCTGGTGTGTGAGCTTTCGAAGCAGTTTGATCTGCTTGATCTCGCGGTTGGAGCAGTGTTTGAGCTTTTTGACGGCCACGACACGATCTGCCAACTGGCCAAGGAATACGGCGCCTTGAGCACCCGCGCCAAGCCAGCGCAGCTCTTTGATTTTGTCATATCGAATCTCCCACGACGACTTGCGTGACCGGGACAAGAAGGACCGCTTTTTGGACAAGGTGGGTGCTGGGACGGCGCCACCTTCTCCCGTCACGCCAGAGCCTTCGGGAATGGCGGGCGTCGCAGAGCCGTTGATGACGCTCGAGCTAGCGTGACGCGAAGATATGCCAGAGCCACTGTTGTGACGCGAGACGCGGCCCGTGGCTGGAGACGGCGGCAAGGCGGTAAGCGTTGTGGACGAGCCAGCGCGCGAGCTGCCCACGGTCGGGACGTGCAACGTCGAAGAGCTGCCGGCAGTGCTCGAGGAGGCGCCGAGAAGGTTGCTCGAGTTGGATGCACTGCCGCCGGGGAGCTCTGGCGTGTGAGGGGGCTGCTGCTGCTGTTTTTGGGCCAAAACAAGCAGACCTTCAATCCGCGCCACTGCCGGGCGCAAACAGGCAAAGAAGGGCGAGAAGACCTCCGTCAGGGCATTGGACAGGGACGAGGCGGTGGAGATTTGGCTGCGATCATCGCCGTCGGTGGGGCGCGGAGTATCCAGGTAATTGGCGCTTCGCGGTTGGCCGTTGATGGCGTCCGTAATATCACCTTCTGGGAATGTGGTGACAGAAACAGTGTCGAAATCCTCGCTCCCCCGCTGGCTGGGTCCTTGTGAGTCCGAGCTCTGGCTCTTATTCTTCTCGGTGTGGCGGCGGCGTCGAGCGGGATAGTCGTCATTTTCATCGGGGGGTGGATGATGATGGCCAGGGCTGTCTTCAAGCTGCCCGCCAGACGAGACTCCCTCTTGGTTGAAGGAACTCGCAGTGTCATCGTCCAGCATCTCGCTGTCTGTCGCATCCGTGTACAAGTCAGTGTCAACGCTGCCGCGATGGCGCGATTGATAACTGCTGCGACGACCGCTGTGGTGGCTGCCGGTGGTGCTGGTGCTCGCCGACGTGTGTGCGCCGGTCGAATGGCCAGCCGTTGAGCGCCGAGATCGCCTGGCTTGCGAGCTGGAAGTGTCCGATTCGCTGCCATCCTCGTGGTCGGTTGTCTCGGCATCGGACGGGTGGTCTCGCTCGCTTTCGAGGCCGTCGTCCGTCTCGTCGGCGGTGGTGTTATTTCCGCTCTCGAACGTAGAGTCATTGTTGCTAACGTCGACGCTATCGGGCTCTCTTCGGCGCGGTACAGAGCCACTACTGGATTGGCGTGCTTGGGTAGGGGTGTTCTGAGCGACTGGAGGCGCCGGCGACGCTGACGGCGCAGCATTCTGCGTCGAAGGATCCGGAGTTAAGAAGTGTGAAAAGTGCCGATGGTAGTCATGCTGGCGCTGGAGTCGCAGCTGCAGCTGCTGACCAAAAGCAAGGTCGTCGTCTGGCTCGCCAATGTGCTGCAGCTCGTACTCGAATTCGAGCACCGCCTCGTCGACCGAGTCACGTCGCAAAGCTCCTGGTGCGGGAGGAGGAGGATGATGCACGGCGACAGGAGGCTGCACGGGTATTGGTGCAGTCACAATCCGTCCGGTTGCAGCATCCACCAATGGTGTTTCTGGCGTGGCTGGCGTGGCTGGCGCGGCACCCGAGGCAGCAGGAGGTAATGGTGGTTGAGCGACCAAGCTTGGGTAACCAGCTGCAACAACAGGCGCAGCTTGTTGCGAGAGCGCCAAAGCCGAAGTAGAAGCAGACGAAGCAGACGACAACGACGACGACGACGACGACGGTGCTATCGTCGATGGAATGACAATGCTCTTGACGGCGCTGGCGAAAAACTCTTCGACCGTGACAATCTTTGGGACGTGGCCCATCGAACTGGCTGTGGCTGTTTCAGCTGCATTGCGCGGAAGCAACAACGGCGACGTGCTGATCGCAGCCGCAGCAGATGCCGCAGCCGCCACTCCCAGCAAGGACGACGTTGTTGTCGCATTGCTTGCCTGCTGCTGCTGTTGTTGTTGGGTGAGCGCGGCAACCTCGCGCAGGAGGGTCTTTGTCAGGGCGCTGGTTCGGCCGAGCGTGTCTTCGTTCTCCTGCTCGTGGTCTCGGTCGTGCTCGGTGCTGCTGCTGCCAAAGCTCGACGTCGACCCGACGCTTGCATTGCGTGTGTGCTTGCCCACGCCGCGCCCTGCCAAGCCCGTCGTCGAGGACGCCACTGCTCCTGCTCCTGCTGCTGCGGAAAGAGCGGTGGGTTGATCTTGGCTCTCCTGTCGCTCCTGCTCCTGCTGCTCCTCAGCACTGCTCCTCCGGCCAACCCCGCCAGCAATGTGCAGTGCAGTAGACGCATCCGACGCGTGGCTATCCAACGACGAAGCTGCTGCTGCTGCGACGGGCGACATCAACAACCGTCCACCAGAGTCGCTTGCATCAGCCATTGAGCTTTTTTCCCTTGAAAAAAAAAAAAAAAAAAAAAAAAAAAAAAAAAAAAAAAAAAAAGATGCTTCGTTGCTTTTTTGGTTTCGGCAACGAGTAAAAGAGGGTTGGCCCTTGACGCAGCCGCACTGCTACTTGAAACACCCCCGCGCGCCTCTGCTTCAAGTTCACAGAGGAGGTGCAAAACAAATCAAAAAAGGAGGGAAGAAGGGGGAAAAGCAGAGACAACAGAAAAAAAAAAAAAAGAATAACCACAAAAAAAAAAAAAATGATGATTCAAAAACCCAAAAAAAAAAAAAAAAAAAAAAAAAAGATTGGGCGAACCTTGAATTGGATCAGTCAAAATGGAATGGAAGTGATTTGGCGATGATGACGCGCAGTGGCAGTGGGGGAGGATGGCTGCGTAACGCCAATCAACAGCAGACAGATTCAAGTGGAATAAACGGAAAGCAGGGAAACAAAAAAACGATCCGGTGTGAGAAACGAACAAAAACAAAAAATCCCTTGTGATGATTGCTGGCGTCATTGTCGCTTGCATATTGGCAAACTCAGACGGGTGATGACTACAAGGTTGAATGGGTTGAATGTGTTTATTGCAGCTTGGTGGAGTGATGTCACGAAATCAAAAAACAATCGGTGCGAAAATCACTCGACGAGTGCAAAGCGCGTTTTTGGTTTGGGAAATGGTCAAACTACTCAAAACGACGACCGCCTCCTCCTCGGCCGCCTCCACGACCGCCTCCACGACCGCCTCCACGACCGCCGCCAAAGCCGCCACGACCGCCGCCACGACCGCCACCGCGACCGCCACCGCGACCGCCGCCAAAGCCGCCACGACCGCGGCCGCCTCCAGATCCGCCACGAACACGGTTGCGCCACGCTTCCGATCGCGCCGTGACCGCTGCTGCATTGACCTTGGGCGTGTACTGGGAATGGTACGACGCAGAGGTGGCAATCTTCATCAGCTCGCGCAGTGCCATGGTCGCGTACGCGGACGAAGGCAGGTTGAACTCGATTTGGAGCGCAAGCAGTTTGCCGTCGGGCTCGTCTTCAGGCTCTGGCTTGTTGTCCAGGCGATCGGCGTCAGTGTACGAAAACTGCTTGGTGTAATCGTTGTAGTGGTAGAACTTGAACTCGAGCTCGGCCGCCCGAGTGATGATGTGCCGATAGTCGCCGAATGAACGGACTGGACGATGCGAGTGGTTGAATGAAGCCAGCGTGAGCTTGTCTTGGGCAAGACGCTCAACCATTCGGCTGCCCATTTCGTTCGTGGGCATGCGCACGCCATAGCCGGGCACTGGCAGAACAACGTCCGAAATGTCGTAGCTGGCTGCTTGCTCCTCGTTTTCAATCAGCGTCACTGACGCGTTCATGCGTGCCGAGAATGCGGCATCGGCTTCATCGGTCGCCTCATAGGTCGATGCTCCCGCTCCAGAATAGACGGCTGGGGCAGATGCTTCGTCGCCACCAGCGGTGGGTGCGTCGCCAGCGGCAGCCTCGCCATCCTCGTCATTGGCATCAGCGCCAGACGAATGTGCTCCGCGTTGGACCAGATCGCCGACCACGACCTTGTAGCCGTAGCGGCGAATACGCTCGGAGGCAAGCTCGTTCCAAATCTTGCTCTGGTAGCTATGGATGTACAGGGTCTGCGTGTGTCGTGGAAGGGACTGGAAACAGCGTGCCGGATCTGACAGTCCAATTCGCAGCATGGCAATCAGTAGCTCGCGTTCATTAGTAGAGGCAGTCGGGAAGATTTGCAACGCGGCGCGAGCGTCGCGGTAGCGCACCCAGTGAAGGCGCGCAAGGTGAACGTCGGGAGCGTCGCCAGCCCGCGGTTCCAGCAACAACTGGACGCATCGGTTCCAATCCCCCTCGAGAATCGCCAAGCCAATGTCGCACGTTGGTACCGCTGTTGTGCCAAACCGTTGCAGGCCAAAGTAGTTGATAAATCCGTCGCGCTTCAAGCTCTCGACCGCCGAGCGAACACGCGCTTCCATTTCCGCCATCGAGACGGCAGGTTGGCTTTGTTCGAGGGACTCTTCGGTTGCGATGGCCGCGTCTTCAGCGGATTCGTCCATTGGCGTGGATGTGGATGCCTCGTCGATGGATCCGTCAATCTCCATGGACGTGGCACCCTCCGCAGATTCGTCCTCGTTGGCCTCAGAAGCCGACTCTTCTGTCGCTGTTGTTACCGCTGCGGATGCTGCTGCGGCTTCGGACGCTTCCACTGCACTCGACATGACGGGTGGCTTGTCCGCCAGCTCGCGGATGGTGATGGCAAAGCGGTTGCCCGACAAATCACCAAGACGCAGCTGGCGAGAAGTGATGGTAAAGTTGCCAAGACGCATGCCGTGCAGGTCTTGATTGGCAGCTTTGAGCGCTTTGGGATCGACACGATGCGCAGTCAGACGTTGAACGGTGATGGCGCGCTTGTCCTTGGTGCCAGCCCAGGAGAAGGCCGTCGATCGGACGCCGAGAATCTTGGACATGATGTAGATGCAGTTGGTGGTGTCTCGGTTCTCCTTGAGAAGCACAAACTCGCAGTACTCGCCCTGAGCCCACAGTTCCTTGGCTCGAACGGCACCCAGCTTGGACGTCGCTCCGTCGTCAACGCGTGCAAACCCTACTCGGAAGGAACAGGCGGTCGGACCAACCGTCGACGTGGGGACCGTCGCTGTGCCACTCTCGCCGTCAGCGGTGGGAGGGGGGTTGGCAGGCGCGGGTGCAGGCGCGCCAGCCGTGCCGCGAGCCCCAGCCCATGTGCCATCGAGAGTCAAGTAGGGAAAGTGCTGACGGAAGGCCTGGTGCAAAGCGGTGCGCTGCTGCTTGTCCATCTCCCCCTGCGGCTCAAAGTGATAGTAGTCGGCTCGATTGTTGTTGGCAAGGAAGGCCTGGAGCGCTTGGACTTGGCTCGCAGTGAGCAAGAGCGAAACGGCTGCAACGGCCTCCGCAGACGGAACGATGGGCTCGGGCACTGCTGCCGTGGACGCCACGATCTCTGCGTTCGCGGCAGCAGCAATCTCGGAAGCGGTCAGCGGTACGTCGAACGACGTGAGGTGGACCACGCGACCGGTTTGATCGAGCTCGTGCACGATAAAGTCAGAGTAGCGTTGCTTGATGACGCCAAAGAAACTCGGCAGCTCCGGGTGTAGGTACTCTGTGATGCCCGCGTCCTCGTCCTGGTACGCAGCAGCACGTCCGACAAAGGTCACTGGCGGCGCGTCGGGCGCGGTCAACTTGGCCAGCGATTCCGCATCGGTTGGTGCACCACCGCCTCGACTCGAGTGTGATCTCCCGCCAGACGATCCTCCGGAAGTGAATGACGCAGCCTCGGCAGCAGCAGCAGCAGCAGCAGTTGCAGCAGCTTCAGCAGCAGCGAGCGACTTTGGCATGAGCTTGACTGTGGAATCGGCGACGCGGCCCCACGGCTTGGCGGTGGAGCTTGTCGCTATTGCCGATGCTGCTGAGGATGATGCCGACGACATGATGGTTGGGATGACTTGCGAGCGGCGCTGCGGTGCGCCTGGCTCGTCGTCCTCGTTGTTGTTGTTGCTGTTGCTGCTGCTGCGATCACGATCCCGACCACCGCGACTGCCGCCCTCGCCGCGATGCCCATGAGGGCCGCCATTGCCACCACGATGGCCGTCGCGCCCTCTTCCGCGCCCGCGGCCTGCTCCTGGCGTGTCAATCGCGTTCTCTCGGCTGCCGCCGTCATCCAACCGCGCGCGTTTGGCCGCGTGTTGCGCACCATCGCCGGCCGTGGCTGCGCTGCTGGACGACGACGATGCTGAGGTTGACGACGATGACGATGACGATGATGATGATGATGCCGGTTGGCCAGATGCGTCGGCGTCGCGCTCGCGGCGGAGTCCTCCTCCTGCAGCCTCGCCCAGTTCCATGCGGGAAGATTGAAGAGAAAAAAAAAAAAAAAAAAAGAGTGATTCAACATTGCATCAATGGCAACATCTATGAATGGCGCTCACGGTAATGATGGTGGTCTTAATGTGAATGTGTGTGTGAGGTGTAGGTGAAAATGATGGATTGTGAGATGCTGTAAGGAGGAATGGAATGATTCGAAACTCGGCATCTCGGCATGTCAGAACTCTGCATCCTCAACCCAGCCAGGAATATGCCCCGTCCTCGAGAAAATCAGTCATGGGCAGCGTTGGAAGAATGGCAGCCAAGACAACGTTTCCATGTCTTTTGCTCACAAAAACAAAACAAAAACAAACAATCACAAACCAAAAACACATCAAATACGCAAGGACACGTCGGAACAACCGAAAACAAAACTAGAGCTGCAACACAACCACTGCAGAATTAGTCCGAATCGTACATGATCGAGTGAACGCTGCTGGTATCAATGGAGCCGCCCTTGTAGCCGCCGCGCTTCTTCTTGGTCTTCTCGTGACGGAAGCTCTTGCCCTTGGTGAACTTGAGAATGTTGTTGGCACGCTCGCCGAAAGCACCTGCCGCGCCAGCCTGTTTGTTGCAGAAGTGTGAGCAAGTCGATTCTTTGCGCAACGCCAAAAGATTGTGCGAAATTCGTCCTACCTTGCCCTCGTACGAGTTGTCGGCCAGACGATGGTCAATTTCGACTTCCTCGGCCTTGATGCGGCGGAATGGTGTGTTTGTAGCGGGCGAGTTCTGAGACAAGGAGAAAGAGCAGGACAAAACATGCGCGAGTCAGAACCAACCCATTTCAACAAACTCGGCCCCGGATACACTTGCAAGCGAAACAACACTTACTCGCTTGGAGCCAGGTGCAGACTTGGTCTGCACGGGTGTTGATGGTGCCGAGCTTTCCTCCTCGTCCACGCGCATGCGCTTGTTAACGTGTTTAGCAACTGCGGGACTGACAGGGGCCGATTTGGAATCCACCTTCATGTCCTCCGAATCCGAATCAGAATCAGACGAGCTCGAGCTTGAGCTGCTTGACTCTGATTCTGACTCTGAGCTAGAATCAGACTCTTGCTTCTTGGAAGCCTTGCTAGCGGGCTTGGATTCAACAGCCTTGGCCTTTGGCTTGACCTCCTCTTCCTCCTCGCTGTCACTGCTGCTGTCACTGCTGCTGTCACTGCTGCTGTCACTGCTGCTGTCACTGCTGCTGCTGCTGCTGCTGCTGTCACTGCTCTCGTCTTCGCTGCTGCTTTCGTGAGCGCGCTTGCGTGAGACGTGCTTGGTTGACTTGAGCTTGTCGTCCTCAGACTCGGCCATGGAGGACTCGTCCGCCTCCGATCCCGACGACGGGTTGGCGCTGGTCTTGCTCTTGCCATTGCTCTTGCCATTGGTAGCGGTGGTCGTGGTGGTCGTGGTGGTGGTGGCGGTCTTCTTGGCACTCTTGTTCTTGCTCGCGGCCTCGTGGGCCAAGTGATCGTCGTACAGTGCTTGCAGCGTCGGCTGTTCCAACCCCGCACCCACCCCAATTCCCGAAAACCAACACAGAGCACAAGCACACACAACAGTGCAGTCAGACTCGTGAGTGTTGGTGCGATGCGCTGTTTCGGTGACTTGTGCCATCCTCCACAGTCCACAGTCCACAGTCCACATGGCTTAGTCCGACCATTCACTCTTCACTCCCAATCCCCTCTTCCCCCTCTCCCCCAAACCATTTCAAAGTCCCATAACAAAGCAAAACTGTGTCATGTTCAGTACGCACCACGTCGGCCACTGGAGTGAACTTGACCTCCTTCTGGAGCTTGGAGGCAGTCTTCTCGAGCTTGTTCAGCTTGGCGTGATTGAGCACAATCGAAAGCAACGCCGTCTCTTGCTTGGATGCCATGATGTGAGGTGTGGTGATCTGAGCAAAATAAAAATAAAAAATAAAAAAGAACGAGTGAATTGCTGCTACAAACGACAAGATCATCCATTGCAACTCAACTGGATTTGAAACAACTGAACTGGATTTGAAACAACTGAACATTTTGACAACGATCGAGCTTGGCATAGAAAACATGAAACCCTTTTTTGTTAGTTCCTAGAGCTCGTAGACGTTGCTACGAAGCCATCTTCCTCTACACTTGCTTGAGCATGCCGCTGTACCCTTGCTTGTGAACGAACGGCAGCAACGATCGCTGCTGATCGCTTTCACCAAATGCTGCGGCCGCGCCGTGTGCGACAGGCCGCGCAGGTCCGGTGGACATTGTCGCTGCTGACGAAGCGGGCGCTGGAGTGTGGTAGAGCGCAATTGCCCACAAGACAAGAACCAACGCGAGAACAAACTCCCACGACAACGACATATCGAACGCCAGAATGGAAGTGGCCGTTGACAGCAGCATCGAAAGCGCAATCATGAATAGCTTGACAATGTTGGTCGAGTGCTTCATGACCACCGAGAGAATGAGCCCGTTGCCGGCTTGCGTGAGAATAATCACCCAAGTCCAACCGTTGTATCCATCGAAGAGACGCGCAAAAGGTCCAAGCATCCAAACCAGGCTCGTGGCGCTGTGTGACAATCGGAGTGCAGTGTCGTCGATGACCGCGTTCGTTGAACTAGAGCTCCAAAAGTAGGCCGTCGCATTCATGACCACTCCGCAAAGGTACAATGGAATGTTCTGCATGTGCAGCGAGGCATGCATTCGACTCTTGAGCACGTACTCCGCGTACACGCCGGCAAAACCGGAAATGGTGCAGTACATGACCATGAGCATGAGCCCGTATGGAGAGACGTAGAGCGCGGACTTGAGCAGAATGTTGGTGTCCTGCGCACTTTCATCCACAATGCTCGAGTGCTTGGCGAGCCCGGCCATGCTATTGAGAATGCTCGAGAAGAGCAATATTGGCATGGCAAGCCACTGGTTGCGCGACAAGGAGCGGTTCATGATGAGGCGGAACAGAATGGCCGTCGTGATAATCTTGAAATTGCACAAGACCATGAACGAGACGGGATCCATGGCCTGCTGAGCATAGTACGCCGTGTTGTTGTTCAGCGCGTACAACAACGCTGGGACGGAGAGCAGCAGAAAGAACCGCGGCTTGAACGCACCCGCGCGGACCTCGCCCACAACGCCGCGTGTGCCCAGAGTGAGCAGGGCGAGTGTGCACGATATCAGCAGCTTGCACAGCTCGGTCATGAGCACGACAGAGGCGACATTGTACGCGACGCGGCCGTCATCCCCCTTTGACAGGTTGGTCAGCACAGAATGCGAACCGTAAGTGAACACGCCCGCAACGAGCAGGACCCGCAGGAGTGGGCTTCCCTGTGTCACTCGCACGCGTCGCAGCGCAGACAGACACGCGCCAAGCATTGAGAGACGTGTGCGCTCGGCAGATGCGTGGCTGGGCAGAGTGAAGAAAATGGGGACACTACTGCCGAGGAAGAGCCAAAAAAAAAAAAAACGCACGCAGAACTGAGCGCTGTCCAAAAGAAGCACCTGTCAAATTGTGAATGCAGAGCGCGAAAAGAAGGGGGGAAAAGGCAACAAAAAACGATCCCTAGCATGACAGCTTCATGGATGAAATAGTTGATAAAAATTTCTTTGCAATGTGTATTTTTCGAAACCTCCGCCGTCGAAACTTTCGCCGAGGTTGTTGGTTGGCCTTCATGCTCACAATCGGTAAGCAAATGTGGCGGGAACTAGACGTGCAGGTGGATTTTTTTTTTGTGTTGAAAGAAGCGCAGAGTAATTGCTTGTTTTCTTTTGAACGACCAAAAAAAAAAAAAAACAATCAACAATGCATCGACACACAAGCGCAGTGCATTCAGTGACAGAGTTGGGGCTGTTAAATGCTCGAGGGGTTTGTTGTTGGGCTACTTCAAACATTGACACGTCGTGACAATCGTCGCCCTCGCGCGGAAGCAACCGATGCTTCTATATTCGACTTCGCTTTGCCCGCTTCCTGACTCGACGATTTTGATTCCGTCTCGGCACTCGGTGTGGCTGCCGCGTGGCTCGGCGATTGGGCTGCAGTCTCGGTACTTGGTGTGGCTGCCTCGTCGCTCGCCACCTTGGACGAAGCGGATTTGAATGGCGGAGGAAGTGGCATTCGCTCGGGAACAATACCCAACGAAGACAACGTGTGCAGGAATTGAGGCACTTCGTCACGCACCAAAACAGTCAACACGGCGGCTGCCTGGTTGGTGTGCGTCATGCGACCACAAACAGTGCGGTAGGCATCGCCCGCCAGTGGGGTGGTGATGATTGCTGCGCGCAGTTGAGGCGGAAACGCAATGCCACGCAACGCATCGACCTTCTCAACCACAAGCGAGACCTGACCACCTTCAATCTGCTCCATGAGCTGGCGCCGGAGCTCTGGAGTTACACCGAGTCGGCCAGACGCGGACACGGTTGGGACATGGAAGACGTTATTGAAGGCTTCAGAGATTCGCAGGGTTGGGGCGTCTGGGTGGCACACCAGCAGGGCAGAATCAAAAAACTTGTGCAGACACATGTCGGCAATCGCCTGATACTTGGCATCGGCGCTTGCAGCCACCAAATATGCGTGCGAAATGGACCGGGCCAACGGGAAGGGTGCGATGCGTGCATCTTCCGAGTCTGCGTCAACAACAGCCGACGGCGCCTCTCGTGCAGCCACCGACGCGGTCTTTGCATCTAATCGAGCCTGCTTGGCGCGAGTCTGAGCATCCATATCGCTCGGATTGCTTGCAGCAAACTCGGCTGCGACACGAGCAGCCTCAGTCAGCTGGCTGACTTTGAACGAAAAGATGGGCTTGCCATTCAAATAGGCCATGTCTCTGGTAAGGCGCAAAAGCATCAGCGACCCGAGCTCGGCTTTGAAGTGAGGCAGAACGTTCGCGAGCTCGGCCGGGAATGACGAGCAGGGCAAAAGAAGCAAGGGAGATCGTTGCAATCGAAGTCCGTCACGGTAGCGACCAGCCATGCGCAATTCCCGCGCGCGTGTATTCGACCGTTGGACGCGCTCGGCTAGCTTGTGCATAAAAATTTGCGCGGGTGAGGAATGCATGGGATCAAGCGGTTCGTTTCCGCGCCGCGACTTGCGCGACGCGTTTTCTGCTGCCTGATCTTCATGGTTGCGTGCAGGTTCTGAAGTCTCTGGTTGGCCTGACTTGTTGACTCGCAGTGATCGGGCTTTGTCTACGCGCTCTTGACGTTTGGCTTGAGGCTGGAGAAGCTCGATGGGGCTGAGCTGGGTGGTTGCCTCTTCAATCACGACTACCGAGGCGTGCCATGGGTTGTAGAGCCCCGCGCCAATGTCTTTCATGCGCCGTTGGATGTTGAGCCACGACTCTTTGGCAGAGTGTCGCATCGAGTGGCCAACTTCGCTCATGCTGTATCCGGGAAGAATGTGCGCAAGACGCGCTGCAGGAACAATGCAAATCATGGGTCGCGCACGTTGCAATGCTTCGAACGCATCCTCGGCCGCTCCGCCAACCGAGACGGTGTGAACTACGCTCTTCAGCGGCAGCGCATGCAGAGCCGGCGGCAACAAGTCTTGAACCACAGTCTCCAATTGCGTAGCCAGCTCAGCGTTCGGTGTGACAATTAGAATGTGCGGGGCATCGCGAGGCGGCAGGGGTTTAGATGTTCCAGGTGTTGCCTTGAAGGAGACAGTGTTGCGCTTGGGTTGCTTCGATGGTCGCTGCTGCTGCTGCTGTTGTTGTTGTTGTGGTTCTGTCATGCTCCAAGCCAATTGTGAGAGCAGTGGCAAGAGGTAGGCAAGCGTTTTGCCAGATCCGGAAGGCGTGTTGATGGCGATAATCCCACGACCGCCATGCTTGGCTGCACGCAGAATGAGAGGTGGAATGGCGCGCTGAACGGGCGTCGGCGTCACAAACGGCTCGCGTTTTCGCTGGGCCAGATGTGTCGTCAGCCCTGCATGCAATCCAAGCGAGGCGAACGAAGTTACACGCATGCGGTTGCGAACGAGCACCTCCGGAGCGTTATCGTACTGTTGCGGATTTAACCCAGATGCAAACGTCGCAAACAAAAAAAAAAAAACAGTGAGGGAGGGGGGAAAGGGTTCAAGCGAAAGAGCCATCGAACAATTTCAATGATTCCAAGTGAGTGAGAGGTGCACAATAGGAAATAGGGAGCGGAAGGGGGAGGATTGGCAACTGAGAAGATCCGAGCGTCTCACCAAATCGGACTTTGGGCGAGGCTTGGATTCCGGGGACGACGACACGTCCTCTAGCGATGCTGACTCTGCACTTTGTGCATCGGGACTTGCGGCGGTGCCAGCTGGTTGCGTTGACTTTGGCGCAGCCACACTACGCTCGCGTGCACCTCGCGGCAGAGTGAACTGCTCCAGTGCCGATGCGTCCTCGCGATCGAGCTCTTCGAGGGTCAGTTCGCGCTGATCTGCCTTGTCCTTGGTGGCTTGAGACTCGGACAATGGTTGGGAGCGCGCTCTGCTGCTGGCGGCTCTAGCAGTGGCGGTCTTGGCCAAGTGTTTCAGCTCGGCGGCATCGAACGCACCCTCGCCAATGTCTGCTGCCGCCGCGTCGTCCTCGGCGCTGGTCGACGCAACGGTAGCATCTGGACCCAGGCGTTTGCGCTGTTGTGCGGTGGCCCGTGTCTGGCGAGCGTGCGCAATCCCGCCAGTCGCCACATGGCGCAGCGGCAGCGACAGCAGCGCCGTCTGCCTCGGCCGCCAAGCAGCAGTCTGCATGGTCGCAGTAGGAACAGATGCTGCTGCTGCTGCTGCTGCTGTGGTCAGCGCCAGTCGACCAGCTGCGGAAAGCATTTTGTTTGGCTTTGAGAAGAGAGCAGCAAGTGATGACTGAGCTGCTCAGACTTGCACACACTTTTCCCCTTTGTTGTACAGTATACTGTAGAACTAGTGCGCTTGTTTTCGCTATTGGCAGTGCTCTTTACTGCACGCGCAGTCAGGTGGTTCTCCTTTGCCTTCCCTGAGCTTTCATGCTGCTGCTGGTGGTTGTGTTTGGAACCGTTGTAGCATGTCAATGACAAACCAAACGGCAAATCGTCGAATGGGAACACATATCACTAAATCAGGGAACTCAGGCCTCAGTCTTTCAATCTCAGATTGTTTCCACTTTTGACAGATGGCAATGATGCTTACGCGATCGCTGTTGCGGCAGTCGTCGGCTTGGTGTGCGCGCTCGGCTGTTGCATTGCCATCCGCGAACGCAGCAGTATCATCATCATCGTCGGTAGCAGCAGTGGCAGGAGCATCCCCGTCGATTGGAGCTGGAGTTCGCCGATTGTACTCGACCACCTCCGCTCCGTCATCGGCGCTGTGCCGCGTTGGAGACAAGAGCACCCGCGATACTGTCTTCACTCCAGAGCAGGTTTGGCGAATACTGAAAGCGCGGCTGTCGGCGTGCTTTGGTCAACCAGCCAGCGTGAACGAATCGCTCACTTCACTCTGCTCTGAACTTGTTTGAACGATATATCCATTCATCCATCCATCCATCCATCCATCCATCCGTACGATGATGCTGCGTTGCATCGATGTCATGAAACGCGATCCATGCTTTCATACGAACAGGTCGGTCAGTTCAGCCAGCTGTCGCAAGATCTCAACCCACTGCACACGGATCCTGAATTTGCAGCCAAGTCGCGATTCGGGCGTTGCATTGTGCATGGCAGCTACATTGTGGCTGCACTGGCCGTGAGTGATACGTCGGTCGAGTGATGATACATTTGATCGAGCGATAAAACGTTTGGTCGAACATGCTGTGACGACTCTCAAATTGGCTCGTAGGGCATGATTGGCACCAAGTATTCCGGTGCAATCTACATGGGCCAGACGATCAAGTTCAAAAAGCCGCTTTTCGTTGGTGCGTATGGGCCTGTTCGGTCGCTCTCGAGACAGAAAATGTCTGTGCTCACGTTCGCTCGACTTTAGGTACACCATGCTCGCTCAAGCTCGACGTGTTGAAAGCCGACCGCTCTTCTCGCGTGGTCATCATTCGCACCTACTGCGAGCAAGACAATATTGTGCTGATGGATGGCGAGGCGACCATCATGCTGCCAAAGACGGCGTTTGAATAGTTGTGTGTGCAGTCCGGGTAGATGAAAACAGGAGTGCAACTGGAGAGTTGCAGAGCGAGATCTGGAGTTGCCTGTTACACCCTGTTACGAACTGGGCTCATCCCTAATCGGTCTTCCCCTCATTCTTCACTAGATATATTCTTAGTAAACGATACTTCCGCATACATCTCGTACGCTTCAGTAGTGATTCTAGGTTGAGTTCCGGGTAAGATCGTATGGCATCTCGACTTCATGCTCTTTTCTCTCGTTTCGCCTAGCCAACTTATATAATTACATGCATCCTGAAAGTGGCGGCGAGTATGATTGAAATCCCTAGAAAAACAAAAGGCGGCACGTTAAATGACAGGGGGTCCAAATAAAAAAAAGGTCACCAGTGTCATATTTTTATCAATCGAGTTGTGCGTCATTCGTGGTCCACACACACACACACACAATTTCGATCTACTGTCAAAGATTTCTTTTTGTTTCAGTCTTGTCTTTTTTCCTTTCTTTCTTTTTTTTTTTCAAGTTTTTCTTATGCTCGCTTCAATGGGATTGCAGCGTAAGTCGAAACGAAAAATGGCCGCAAACATCGTCGATCAGAGTCATTGAACAAGGCACTCTCTGACTGTTGTCTGTTGTCTGTTGTCTGTGTCTCTGTCTCTTTCTCATGTGTGTGAGTGTGTGATGGAGGTGGTTTGGAGTGTGCTGCTGGAGTGATGATCGAGAGCAGCGAGACGCGTGGCGATCTCTCGTTTTTTTCCCCTCTTCCTTCCCTCTTCCTCACAGCAACACTCCTCTTCTGTGTCTCAAACTTGTTCATGTCCATCCACTTTGTGGCCTTGCAGTCAAGCCAGCCTTGTTTTTCTGTGGTGCTCACGCCGTGTGTGTGTGTGTCTGAACAGGAGTCGCTGCGGCGCGCAACCTCGCTCGCTCCATCTCAACTGCGGCCACCGTCGCCGTCGCTGCTGCTCCAGCTGCACCAAAGGGCCCTGCTGACAAGCCTGCTTCCGGTGCTGCACCTGCTGCCGCTACCGCTGCTGCTGCTGCCGCTGGAGGCAAGGCGCAGCCCAAAACCCGTCAAATGACATCCGCCGAGCGTGCCATCTCCAAAGTCCGCTCGCAGGAACTCGTCGAGAAGGGTGCTCAAGTAGCAGGTAACACATGGCGATCGGCAGCGTGAATGCTGGTCAGCGAGCCCCGAGGACGATCTGTGATTTGTTTGGTCTCCTGTCTCGTCACATTTGCGTGTGCTTTCACTCAACCCTAACCCTTCTCTCTCTCTCTCTCTTTCTCTTGCATCAGCTTCCTTGTCGGGTCGTGCGCGTCGTGAGGCCCTGCAGCGTATTGCCGAGGAGCAAGAACGCGCCGCACAATTCCGCGTCGAATTGACGGAAGAAGAGCGCATGGCCTCCGACACCAAGTCCCAGGAAACGCAGCCAGCACCAGTCCAGGCCAAGGCCATCATTCACACGCTTGAATCTTACGGCCGACCGCGGGGTGCGGTCGTCGGCCGAGCCATCGGCGCTTTCAAATCGGCATCAGAGGCTGGCGCCATTCTTGGCTTGTTGCGAACCCTGCGCCGCTACGGTGTTGCCTTGTCTCAAAGCCAGGCGAACGTGCTTGTGGAGCGATTTGTCGCTGCCCGTTGTCCGGGTGCCCTCATTCCCGCATTGACCATGCCTTGGCGATATGGAGTCTTCCCGGACGCCAAACACATCGAGTTGCTTGTTCGCCATTTTACCGATGCGCCCGTTGCAACTGTCTCGGCAGCAGACATCTTCCGAGTCTTCCACAGTTTCGTTGCATCCTTCCGGCAACCAACGCCGGCATTGGTCGATGCCATGTGCTCGTTTGTACTCACTCAATCGTCGGCCGACCTTGAGAGTGCTCTCGACATTTTCAACTTTGCTCGCCGCTCTGGTCTGGCGCCGTATTCGAGCACTGCAACTGCGCTGGCGGTCGCCTTGTTAGAGGCTGGTGATGCTGCCGGGGCCGCTCGTTTGTTGCAAGCCGCCGCCACCCCTGTCGCTCCTGTGCCCAATATTTCGACTCAGCTCGAGGACATGCTCCTCGCTCAAGCCGACGCGGAGAAGCTTGGACACTTGGCGCCTCGTGTCTCGCCAACATTGGAGGAGTTGCCACTTTCCCTCCAACGTGTTGCTGGCGGCGAAGAGCAAGCCGGTTTGCTACAGGTTGCTGCATCCTACGAAGAAGAAGGCTCGGAGCTGACTTCAGAGCAGGAGACGGCCGCCCGAAAGCAAGAAGACGCCGAAGAGGCCGTGGGAACGCTCCGACGCATTTCGCTCGAGGATGTGGCTGATTCTGTTGCGGACGACATCTTGTCCCGCAACGCCTCCGTCCTTGAAATTCACTCCAAGGCATACGCTGATCACGTTCTCAAGGCGCTGGAGCGCAAGGCGCGCTCGGACAAGGTTGCTCGCATGAACAATGTTCAGGATATTGCCGCTCTCATTCGCTCGGTTCGCGAGAAAAAAGAGCACGAGCCCGTGAAGAGTGCCGCTGCTTCGTTTGTCAACAAGTCGCACCCCGACGCAACTGCTGTGCTGCTCCAGGGCATTCTCGGCACTGCATCCAGCTGGGACGAGCCCGTCCTTGCCGCGCTTCAGCAAACATCCGCCAACCAACGATTATTTGCCGCTGCAGGCCAGCACATCAAGGCCGCTCGTCCTGATCAGGTTGAGCCATTCCGAGCTGCGCTTGGCCGTGCGCAAACCGCGACACAGCTGAATGAAGAGCAACGTGCGCTTGCCGCTTCTGCATTGCAAGCGTTTGCATGATGTCCATGTTGATTTAATAATACAGAGTGTACTTTTTTATCAGATATAGGGTGTATTTTGTTTTGGTGCAATGGTCCAGGGCAGAGTCAGCAAAAAAATGTGATTTTAAAAAACGTTTCCACCAAAGTATCCACTTCCATGCACGTGTGTCGAGTCTATCGCTCTGTTGCTCGCCCATTTTCATGACTCTGTACGATGAAAATATTGTTTTCATTCGATTTATGTCCAAGGGGTGGTAAATGGTTCAATTTTGGTGGGTGGGCGTTCAGGTAGAACATGTCGCAACTTTTCATCGGCAGCATCGTCCATTGAGGAGCGCTGTGTCGCTCAGATTTTGCAGCGCTTGTATTTTGGTCCATGTCGCCTGCGTGAATCGTAATAATTCTTCTTGAAATAGTGTGTTTCTGAGTTTTCTTGTAGAAAGCAGGCACAAAGTTTGGTCCCGAAACCCATTGTTTGCAGTCCATTCCGTTTGTCGTTGGACTGTGCGCGCTCAACTCTTTCTCAATGCAATCCCAAGCCAAGAACTGACCTCACACATGCCAAAAAAAAAAAAAAACACACAATAACCAGCCATGTTGGAATGGCACGCTTCTCGAGGAAAAGGTGCCCAAAAAACAAACAAAAACCAAAACGCAAAAAAAAACGTTGGAGCTCGGCGGGAATTGAACCCACGACCTCTCGCACCCTAAGCGAGCATAATACCACTATACTACGAGCTCATCTGATGATGTAAGATGTATGGGCATTTTAGATTATGATTAAAAAATCATGCCTGGCTGAAGTTTTTGAATGAAAATATTGTTCCATCCCTGTTTTCCCCTCCCTACACATTCCTTGGACGAAAAAACCCTCAATCATCACATACAATAACATACCAAACGAAACGGTACTATATTCGCCTGATACAACGCAACAGGCACGCGAACAAACAAGATTCAACGTGATTATTAAAATGGCCTGAAACGTTCTGGTCAATTTGTGGAAATAATGTACTCGAGATCGAGACCGATGCTGTCGATATGCATAGGGCTATGCAAGTGACACAAAACAAAAGCCGATGCCAAAGTCAGTTCGGCCCTCGCTCATTCCAAAAGCGCATTCCAAAAACCAAAAGTAGCTTGCTTACCCAACAAATCCGTGACGACGCGTCTTGATAAAGTACAGGAAGAGAATGATTGCATGGAACAAGTTGTTGCGACCCTGTGACACGCACGGCCCCAAACCAAACAAAGGAGCAGATGAGTGCGCGATGAAAACGGGCGGAGAGGAATTTGGGAGTCGAGGTTTTGGTCCTCACCTGAAAAATCTCCCAGCGTTCATCCATCGAGATGATCTTGAAGTGAGGGGGGTGGATGTTGGTCTGGGCAATGACAACGTCATGTTTCGGTGGTTCTACATTGGAGCAAACATGTGAGAACGGACCGTCGATAGAACAAACAACACCATTCTGAAACCAAAGTCACTCACCAGAAGAATCGAGCTGGAGTTGAAAATAACGCGCAGTAAAGTGCTTCCCTTTCGGCACCAGTGCGTCTGCGGGCAGGATGAAATCCAAGAAGGTGCAGAACAGATGCATTACAATCTACAATCGATGCAGCAATGTTTCAGGTGAGTTGTGCATTCCACTCCGTTCAAGCACTCGAAAACAAAGTAAACAACAACAACAACAAAAAAAAAAAAAAAAAAAGACAGGCTCCAAACCTGGGCATCGGTAGGAAGATCAGGGTGCCACTCTTTGCCCTTGAATTTGCCGCCAGAGTTCCATCGATACTCGACAAGACAGCAAGATCTAGCAAAATTCAAACAAAGCCACGAGATATCAGGCAAAGCCGACGCAAAAAACAACAACAACAACACCACCAACAACAATAACAACAACAAAAAACTGCAGCAAAAAGAGTGCCAGTAACGCTCAACGCACCTCGAATGCGACCCACAACATATTCATGATTGACATTTCCGTCAAACACAAAGAATCGTTCCAGCATTTGCCGTTTGTGAATCTGGGTGAGGAGTGGGGGATTCTAATAAACCAAAAAAACATGGTAACGCAAGAAGCACAAAAAATGAGACACTTTTGGTATCGCACAACTCAAATGGATGAAAGATTCCGCTCATGGCATACCTGAAGAGCTAACTGCTGTAGAGTCTGTTGTTGACTCTGTATGTACGCCTGTACTGGGACTGTGTGCAACAGCCAAACCATCCAATCCAACAAAGTGAGATAAGCGGTTGTTGACGCTCGACATCCCAGCAACCCGAGAGCCATACATACCATGCGTCATCAAGTTGGGAAGATTGCTAGCTTTCATGGTCTGATCAACGCGATTCATGGATGTGACGAGATCATTCAGCACATGTGTCGACAGCCAGACTCGACACCGCTCCGTCCACGCATCCATGTAGGAGTCAATGCCGAGTTTGCACAGCAGCGCTTCCGACAGCTGCATGTTCAGGAAGCCGCTCTTGTCGTCGTCGGAAGACTTGGTGCTTGAAGAGGCCGAGTCGCGCGCGGGCAGAGCAGTCCGGTACTCGTGCGGGACAATTTGACTAATTTTGAGACGATCGGCCACGCTGCTCGGGCCAAACAGACGCTGTTGGCTTGCGTCGCGTTCAGCAACAAAGCGCTGCAGACTGCGCTCGTCAAAGACCGCAAAATCATCCGGGGGAATGGGCATGTGATGCCAGAGCGAGGACTTTGGCGACGACGCGCCGCCAAGTACACTCGATCCTGGCGAGGCAAAGCCGCCTCCGGTGCCCGACCCTCGTGGTGTGCCAGTCCCTCGTGGCGTGCCAGACCCTCGTGGGGTGCCAGCGGGACTTGCACCTCGACGAGGAGAGGGACCGCCCACCAAAAGCGGACTGCTCGTGCCAATGATTGCACCGGGACCGGACATAGCAGGCGAGCTGTGCATCATTCCGCGATGAGCAAGACCCGCAGGGGAAGCCACTGGAGTCGCGACCGCACCAGGCGATGCACCAGCGCCGCCATCAAACGCTCGCGGCGTGCGCGGGGAACCAAGAACGCTGCCTCCGCCAGAGGAAGCAAGAATTGGCTGCAACGTAAATAGAGAATGATGGCCCAAGCCAAACGAAAGTGACAATCACCGGGACAAGCATTGCAACCGGCAGCAGCAGCACCGGCGGCAGCAGCAGCAGCAGCAGCACGCTTCTTGCCATACCGATGCCAAATGGTCCACTGACACACCCGCTGGACTGCGCACGCGTTTGAGAGCGTCCGTGTTTTTCGGAGTGCTTGGTGATTCTAAAACCATCAACATTGAAAAGAATGAGCCAGCGTTCAAGATACAAACATTGAACGAATTCGGCTACAGTAATAGCTCCCCTCCCCCGACGGACGTACGAGTAATGACGCCAAGCCGGTGTTTGCTAACGGTGGAAAGCTTGCTGGCCTCTGGAGGAGCTGCCGATCCAAGCTTGAGCACATTGTAGTTTTTCACGAGATCGAATAGAAAGCTTGCAATGAACAAGACGCACATGGTAGTGACTTTGAAGTTGTGGTTGGAGGGTGATGACAAAAACGCAGGTTGGTGAACAGAGGGAAAGTCAGTATCAACTGCAAAGCTAACGCATAGCTTCGACGTTTTGCACGTAGAGATGTAGGCTTTACCTGCAACAAAAGTGAAATCTTTCAAAACGGTGGGAAGCTCAGGCAGGCGTTCAACAACCAAGTTGATCTTGTTTGGCACCAGCCCGCTGAGAAGTCTGGTATCATCACAAAGTTGGCCAAAAAAACGAGAATAAAACCGAGGTTAGCAAAAACAGAGTAAAGCTTTTTTCCAAGTGCTCGACTGGCAATGTTCCAACAGCCAAGCTGGTACGGTAGAGGGCGGGTAAAGGGTAAAGTGAATGAATGGGCTTTGAAACTGTTTCAGTTTCAACGACACGGGTCAGATTGGAGGGTGGACCGACTGTGCCTCGGCATTCACGACACTGGAGTTGAGCGTAACAGTCAACTGATGAACGGCACTAGCAAACCGTCATCATGATGGAGGAGGGTTTGCGCTTTCGATGGCGGGACGAGATCTCGCCTTTAGGGAAAGGAAGCCAGGATTGGAGCCGGGACCATCCAGCCCAAGCATGCACACCACTAAAGAGCGCACTCCCATTGCAACACCACCACCGCTACCACAACAACAACAGCAGCAACAACAGCAGCAGCAGCGGCGGCGGCTGGCAGAGGACAAGATTCCTCCTCAATGCTTCTCGCTTGCTCACCTTGCGGGCTGACTGAGAAGCAGGGCGAGGACGGCCGCAGCGAAGGCAGCGCGCTTTCCAGCCAAGCGCACGGATGCGCGTGTCAGCGCACCATGCTGCTGGGCGGCCAGAACGGCGACGCTGGACGGGGACGAGAATGGCTTGAGTTCGGCTGTCTGATCCATCCCTTCCATGTGCGCCAAAACCGTCACAACAGCAACAGACACGACAGCAGCAACAGAAACTCGGAAAAAACAAATAGGGGGACTGAATGAACAATAATAATACTGCAAAGTAAACGATAGGGGCTCAGAGTGCTGCACCGGTACCGTGAGCAAACGCAGAGAGATTGGGATGGGTACATCTCAAACTAATCTCACTGTACTGGCTGCCATTTCGTGATCCTGTTGACATGTAAGAGTTGACCACACACTACCTCAACTATGTCTGGGATTTCCAGCTTGATCAGTCATCTTAAAACCCCGTGCTCGACTACAGTGAGTTGTTGGTTTCACTGCATCAGGATGACCACCAAACAGACCAAGTTTGAGCTCCGGATGGTCCCGCCGCAGTGCCCGCGCTGGCAAACGAGCAGTGCTGCACCATCATCACGGCATGGGCCGGACAGCGAGAGCCAAGTTGCCGCGATCAGAGCCCGCCTGCTCGCGTGGTACGATGCGAATGCGCGCACACTGCCATGGCGCGCTCCACCGCAGACGCACATGCAGACAGACAAGACAAAGCAAGAGAAAGACCAGGAAGAAGAGCAAGACCAGGGCTCGAGGGTGGATTGGGTTCAAGACAAGCGCAATCGCAGGAACCTCGACTTGACTCGAGACGACAGCAGAAATCAATCAGACGATCAGAGCGACCAGCAAGATTCATGCATGGATCAGATCCAACTTCATCGTAGCCAGAGCAAGAACCTGACCCGAGACCGCGGATACGACGTCTGGGTCTCGGAAATCATGCTGCAGCAGACGCAGGTCGCGACCGTGATTCGTTACTACACGCGATGGATGGACAGCTGGCCAAGTATCGCCGATCTGGCTGCAGCCACGCCAGAGCAAGTGCAGGAAGCATGGCGCGGGCTGGGATACTACTCGCGCGCGCGACGACTGCGTGAGGCAGCGGTCAAGGTTCATCGAGAGCTTGGCGGGGCCTTGCCTCGGTCTGCAAAGGAGCTACAAGCTCAAATACCAGGTGTCGGACCATATACCGCTGCAGCAATTGCGTCTATTGCGTACAATGAGCCGGTCGGGCTCGTGGACGGGAATGTAGTGAGGGTGTTGACTCGGCTCTTTGCCATTGGCGCCGACGTTGCCGGGTCTGTCGCAGCAGTCTGTGCAGAAGAACGAGCCTCCACCTCGGGAGAAGCGAAACCGGTGACTGAACCGGCACCAACAGAGGTTTCGGAAGCCAAACCACCGATCAAATCAACCTCGACCAAACCTGCCTTGAAGTCATCATCGTCGTCAAGTGCGGCTGCGACCGGACGTGCCGTACCCGTCGAAAATATTCTCTGGAGCATTGCAAACCGGTTGGTCGATGCTACGCGGCCAGGGGACTTTAATCAAGCAATGATGGAGCTCGGCGCGACCGTTTGCACTCCAACCAGTCCACAGTGTGGATCATGTCCCTTGCAGACTGAGTGCATGGCATACCGTGATCAAGAGCGCTCACCAGACCAGTCAGCTGAACATTTAGCGCGAAACTGCGGACTTTGCTTGCCTGCCGACGCTTGGGCAAACGGAAACCCCTCAGTCACACTCTATCCTCGGAAGCTCAAAAAGACGCGGCAACGAGAAGAGCACGCCGCTGTTTGTATTGTAGTAGATCGCCACACGGGTCCTGTCGACCGGTATTTGATGGTGCGGCGTCCAGACAAGGGGCTCCTGGCAAATTTATGGGAGTTCCCAACCTGTTCCCTGCCCAACGCCGGTGCCACTGACACGGAAGCCGCTGCTGGAGACGAAAGCAGCGATGACAGTGACTCGGAAGGCAGGGCAACGTTGCCGTCAAACCGTCGCCGCAGCAGTTCAAGTTCGACCACGACCGAAACCAAAGTCGATGCTGCTGCGGGAGCGTCGGCAACTGCCACGCTAATGGCTGCTGCTCGTAAACAGACCTTGGACGAGTCCGCTGCGCAAAGTACCCACGATGCTCTGGCACAGGTCTGCCGCGCCACCACGAACGGCTACCTCGAATCCACGTTGTTAGGCGGTCTTGTTCCGCTTGCCGATGTCATTGACGAAAAGTCGCGAAAAGCGGTTGGTTCCACTGTGCACCTCTTTTCTCACATCCGACAGACATACCACGTGGAAGTGGTCGATCTGAAGGCTTCCGTGGCGCCTGATGTGCTTCTTTCACAGCTGCAGGTCGAGTCGCGCTGGCTGACCGCCAATGACATGCTCGCATCCGCCGTTCCGACGGCCGTAATGAAGGCATTTGAACTGTTTACCCAGGCTGCTCAAAAGACCTCGAAATCGCTCAAGACCGTCCATGCTGAAGCCGAATCAAAAACCGCCACTCCCACTCCTCGAGTCAAGCGCAGAGCCAGCCAACCACCGTCCGCATCTGCAACGCCTTCCATAGCTTCCTTCCTCGTGAAACGAAGTCGCGTGGTTAAATCCGAAACTGTCGATGTGTCTGATGATTGAGCGAGTGCACGTTTGACAATTTGTTTGTGAATGGGTTAAATGAAAACAAAACTCTACACTCCAGCCTCCGCTTGTCCAGTATGACCAAAAGAGTTTGATTTGTTTATCAAAAAACCGTAAAACACACACAAGAAAAGAACAAAAGCCCCAAACAACATCGGCTTCTATCGCTTGCGTTCTTGCTTCCATTTGTAAACTGCAGGTTTGGAGCTATCCGCACTACGAATCTTGCGCTTGACACCCTTGCCCATCAAGTTCTTCTCAAGTTCCATTTGCTGCGAAATCTTGCCGAGCTGCTTTTCACGGGCGATACGAGCGGCAAGTTCTTGATACTGCTCTGCGCGCTTTCGTTCGAGCTTTTGCATCGACCGCCGATCGGGCTGTGCGACCATCAGGGGCTTTTCAACGAGATCCTTGACGCGTGGGCGGTTGAACTTGCGCCCTAGCAGCGACGGAAGTGTTTCAAAATGCTCTGCGGCGTCAAACTGGTTTGCCTCGTTCTCGTTATCGACAAAAACGATGTGCTGGGTCTTGCCCTTCGGTCGGTGCACCGGAGGAGGTGCATCGTCCATGTCCGCGTCGCTGTCATCGTAGTCTTGGTCGTCATCAAGGGTTTCTGGAGCGTCCTCGGCTTCCTCGTCAATGTCGTCGTCGCCGTCGCCATTGTCGGGCAGTGCAACGCCGACAGGAGCAGCCGCAGCCGCTGCAGCTCTTGCCGATGCCCGCGCAACCTTCTCAATCTGGCGCTGCTCTTGCCTCGAAGTCGAAGCTGCTACAGGGAGAGCGGATGTGTCAATCATGTGCAGACTAGCGCGCAGTTGTTCAATCTTGCTTCGCTCCATCATCTGTCAACAAGCACACAAACAAAGAAGAAGAAAAAAAAAAGCAGAACGTCAGCCAAAACACCAACTGGATGACACAAACAAGCGAATGAGCCAACGTGATCTCCAATGGGTGGGGGTGATCATCTCAGAATGACCTCGAGCGTTAACATTGGCGAGCTTGAAGAGCCACATGGAAAACTTCAATCGTTTTCCAGCTGCTCGCCTTTGCCAACTCCCAGACCCACAGAAACCAACGCATGCCAAGATCAAAGCAACACGGTGCTGCACAACGATCGCTGACCTTCTTTGAGTTGACGTAGCTGCGGTCTTGCGTCTTGAGCACGCGGAGCTCGCTTTGGTTGAGGTGGTGCGCGTCCGTCTTTGCCTTGCGCTCAATCCGCGCAGCACTCATGCCACCACGCTTGCCGCCCTGCTGGTACTCGGACGAGTGCATGTTGTCGTTGCGACGGGCCTTGTGCACGCCGCGGTCGGTCGACGACTTGATCATGCCAAAGTAGAACTCGTCGGGGTTGCGCGTGTTGGCCTTCTGCTGCAGCGCACGCAGCCGCCGCTCCTTGGAGTGGAAATCAGCAGCTCGCAGCTTGTAGTCTTTCTTCTTTTCAAGCAGGCCAAACCGAGCGCGGTCGGCCGGCTGAGACCGCTCCTTGTGCGTCCGGCGAAGCCCCTTGTTGGCCTTCTTGAATGCTCCCTCGCCAGCCATATCAATGAAAAAGTTTCTGAGAAGAATGTGAAATTGAAAAAAAAGAAAAAAAAAGGGCGAAATAGAGACTGAGAAACTTGGATTGGATGGGTGTGGGATTCAACTACATCCATACTGCGCATTTTATCGGGGGCTAAACAACCTTGCACACAAACACACACGCACACACCAGCACAAGCACAATCAAAACAAAGCACCATAGAAGGTCCCCGCAAACCCCCACCCCCCAACGCACAAACGCCAACTCAGACAGAAAGTGCAGCGACGTCAATTGTAAGTCGGATTGGCATTGGCAACTGTGGCATACGCTGTGGCACCGCCCTTTGACGGCAACGCAGTAGATTTGGCCGTCACTGCGGGTTCTGCGTAGGTGACAGTGCCCATTGCACCGCCCGGAACGGTGTAAGTCACATGGCCTTCTCCCGGTTGGGCGTACGTGGTGTCTGTCGACAGCGGTTCGTAAACGGGGTTTTGCCCGACGGACATTGTCGCGTACGTGTGAGAGGAGCTGGGCTGGACAGGAGGATTGCTAGGCTTGCTGCTGACGCCTTGGCCCTTGCTGCCGCCGATCGGGTTTGCGTAGATTGGCGTTGCGTTGGATGTCGTCGGACGGGACTTGCGAGCCGGCTTGGGTTTGGAGGAGGGGCGGGTACGGTGACGCATGATCAACGCGAGAATCAAAAGTAGCAACAGAAGGGCACCAACAACGGCGCCGATGATGGGATAGATGGAGGAGTTGTCATCGTTGCCAGTTGGAGCGACGGTGCAAGTACCATTCTCCAACCTAAAGCCAAGGTAGCACACCGAGCAGTTGGAAGACGAGGAGCAATACAGGCAGTTGCTGCTGCAACACGAAGCAGCGCCCTGAGCAAAACAGGTTGCGCACAAAGCGTGGCAGGCTGCGAGCACGTTCGTGTCAGCACAGTGTTCCATTTCCAACTCTGAAAACCAGTCAGTTTATCTGGCATTTGACGCGCGGGCTAATACTTACGCTTGGGATTGTAGTAGTCTCCGTACGTACTGGGCGGAGCGTTCGGACCGGGGAACGGGTTGCCGTGAAGGGAGGTAGTGTTTGACAACCGAGTCAGACCTTTGAACAAGCCAGGGGGCAGGGTTCTCAACCCGTTGTTGCTCAGATCGATGATAGCGAGAGTCAAGCCTTTAAAGAGATCTGCTGGGAGGCTACTGAGCCCCGGATTGCAACACATAGAGCTGTAGCACGATTCAAATCAGTGAGCCCGCAAAGCGCCGGCAGCGCGAAGCCAGCTACATGAACTCGGAAAAGTGATACGTACAGAGAAGACATTACAGTGAGCCCGGAAAAGGCTTGACTGGAGACTGCCGTGATGATTCCTTCGGAACCAAAAGTTCTGCGGTTGGTGACACAGACCAGAAAACAGGATTAGGACGAAAGCATGTCCAGCTGGGTACAATCTCTCCACTCTTCGCTTCTTCAAAACGGTCGACGTACAGCGATTGCAGCTGAGAAAGTCCTTCAAAGGCGTGAGCAGGAAGAACACCGACTTTGGATCTGCTCATGTCACTAACAAACAGAGGGAGCATAGCTGGTGGTCAGTGAAAACTGCTGTACACGACTCAGCTCCGAGTCTATCAGCTTACAGCATATGAAGCTCGGGAAGTTGGGCAAACAGTGACGAAGTAGCGCCACCGAACTGTGTGATTCCCAGAGATCTTGGTCTCCAGACGGTGAGAATGCGATTTGGCTTTCGTAACACTTTGAAGCAGCATCCAATCCTTACAATTGAGTGAGCAACGGAAGCCCAGCTAAAGCATTACCAGCAATGCTGGCACTTGGTGTCAGGTCCAACACCCTACAATGAAGCCAAGTTAGTTGCACAGCACATCTCTTATCACCGCCTCAAAGATGAAGCAGGGCTGTACATCGATGTCAGCGTGGGCAAGTTTGCAAAGGAGTTCAATCCAGAAATCGGTCCCGCGAGCGAGCTACAATTGTCAACAGTCGGAAAGTGAGTTGGCAGAACTTCCCTCATAGCAGACAAACAAACAAACACACAAACAAACAAACGCACAAACAAACGCACAAACAAACACTCAAACAAACACACAAACCAACAAACAACCAATACGTCAACAGCTCGTACAAGCTTGTCAGAGACGGCAGGGTCGAAAAGGCGTTCGTGGCGACTGTGATGGAAGGCGCATCCAACGACCTACAAGGGCGGAACGCAGCAACAATGTGGTAAACCGACAACTGGAGAAGGCGAGGTGCGGTCTCTCCACATACAAGACCTGAAGACCAGCAAGGCCATCGAACAAACTGGTCGGGACGTGCGTGTGCAGGTTCAATTTCCTAAACGAAAAAACAATGTGAGACTTGATCGAACGTGAACCAGCCTCAATCACCTTACACTGATGTCAAGAGAGAAAGAGCATTAAAAGCTTGTGCATGCACACTAGTGACTGCTGCATGTGTCACCGTTCTGTCAAAAGACCAGGGGATTTTTCAAGTGAGCCAATGCCCTTCTTTTGCTCGCGTTTACAGTCCTGAGCGCTTACATCTTAAGGAGGGATGTCAGCCCGTTAAACGCATTTGCGGGGATGCTTGTCAATTGCGGCGCCCCGTCAATTGTTCTGCCAAAGTGAGCAGTGCAAAAGTCAGCTTGCATTCGGCAGCCTTGCACACGGATCATGGCAAGGACGTACAAGGAAGATAGCGTGCCAAGACTTGCGAAAGCCGCCGCAGGCAGTGACGTCAAGGGCGAGTTGATGATACCACTGGTTGCCCCAAACCGAGTGAAACGAGTGAGCAGGGTTTCAAGTGCCGCCGACACGAAGCCAACGAGCCTTACATGCGAGACAAGGCCGTCAGCTCGTTGAACAATTGGCCGGAAATCGAATCGAGAGCTGCGACCGAAAGGCCCCTACGCAGCGCGGAATGTTGTTTTCCAGTGAGTTATTTATCAAACAGCAAGCCCCCCCTCCCTCCCGTGTAATTTCCGCAAATCCTTAGAACGAACAGTGAAGTCAGCTGACTCAGCCCGACGAAACTCATGCTTGACACAGTTACGCCGGGAAGATACGAAAAGTCTCTACCAGAAGGCAAAACGCACCCGCATGAGCTTGAGACAGTGTGGCTGATCTCAAGGCAAGAATGATTACAAGTTTTGCAGCGACGTAAGGCCAGTGAATGCGTTGTCTGCCACGGATTCAATCGGGTTGTCCCGCAACATGCTACCAAGGGCCGTCAAGGAAAAGTCAGTTGCACAATCTTGCACACACAGTCAACCGTTGAATCGCACTTACAGAGTTACCAGGGAACTCATTCCCGGAAACGCGCTCGAGGGCAAGGTCGTGATGGCACAGCCCGTAAGGTGTCTGAAAGGGGAACTCTAGTCAGCAACGGACTGCCACTGCTAAACGTATCAAACCGATTCCAGCTTACAAGGTGGTCAGCGTTGTCGTCAAGTCATTCAAGAATGCCTGCGGAAGCGATGTGAAGGGCAGCCCGGACAGATCGCTACAAGGTCAAGTTAGCGAGCTGGCAGCATTGATCTCACACAAACCGGGCTGTTGCGTACAGTGTTTGCAAAAGATTCAGGTTTGCGAAAGGGTTAGCAGGAATGTCCGTAATTGGGTTGCCAGCCAGGGATCTGGGGTTCAAAGCAGGATGTGAGACAGGTGGTCACAGCATGCGCGACGTTGTGCAGTTTGGTGCTCACAGAGTCAGCAACGAAGCAGGAAACAAGCTACTGGAAATCGCCGTGAGTTTGCTGTTGGCAATGTTCCTGTTCAAAAGATTGTGAGAAAACTCGACGGTCCAAGGAACACACAGCTCAAAACTAGTCGGACTGCTGCCATACAAACTTTCCAATTTATCCAACAATTCCAACTCGTTCCCGACGATGGTGGAGAGTTGCGTGTTGCTCAGGGAACTGTTCAAACAAAGTGTCAGGAACTGGACTTTTACCACGAACACTTTGGCATTCAGAATACCGTACAAGGATGTGAGAGCGGACTTATCCAAGGATGCAAAGGCACCGGACGGGAGGCGTGTCAGCGACGAACCGGAAAAATCGCTGCCAGCGGTCAGTTGTTTGTGAGCGTATGAGCTACTCGCCAAGTGCTGGTGACAAGTTCTTTACAGTTTTCGAAGCTGAGAAAGTTCCGCGAACAGTTGATTAGTGATGGTACCGATCTCGCTCACCGAGAGGTGGCTGAAAAAAAAAAAACAAAACAAAAACAAAAACATGAATCGGTTAGCGCATCCAACAGGACTTGGATCCACCACAACCAGCATCCCATACAGTGTGGTGACAGACGAAAGTCCTTCAAAAGCGTTGGCGGCAACGCTCGCGGTAGCTGTAAAGCCAAGTTCGCTACACAACAGGGACCTCGGGTCAGTATGAGCAAATAGAAACGAACGGAAACGAGTGTTTTTCGTACATGTCGGTCGCGGCAAGTCCCTGAAAGGCGTTCGACTGCAACTCCTCGAGTGTCAGTGGGAGATTGCTACAAGCAATGCAAAGAGATTAAGCAATCGGAATGCTCTCAGATGTTCCGCAAACGAGGACGGCAACCAAACCAAACCAAACCAACCCAAACCAACCCAAACGACACCAGAGTCTTACAGGGTGATCAGCTGGGTCAGCTGCGCGAACGCCGAGCTTGGGATGGATGTAATGCTGGTGTTGCTCAACTTCCTGGATATTATGATTGGTGAGAGGAGCCTCCTGGCACAAACCATCCAACTCATCAAACAGCAAACTTGACGCACAAGACTTCCAAGTCGGTGAAATGGTCGAACGCATTCGACGGGATTGAACTGATGCTGGTGCCGCTCAGATCGCTGCAAAAATCGAGCTTCGAGTCAGCGACAGACGGGCGCTCATTTCGACGGTGCAACCGAGAACCAAAAGAACGACGCAAAACGGTGACTCACAGGGTCCGAATTGGAGACGGCGAGAGCATCGACGGGAAAATTGCAACGCCGGGTTTGCAGTTTTCGATGGTTTCCTCTCGACATTTGCACACGGAGCACGGATGCAGCGCGAGAGCGCCAGGTGAAAGCAGCGTTGTGCATCCGAGCACAACCACCAGCAGCTGCACAAGGAGAAGCGTTGCTCGAGGATGACGGATCGAGCAGCGCATCATGATCTACACGAAAAACAACAAAACAACAAAAAAACACCAAAACAAAAACAACCACCAAAATTGGAAATTTTGAATTAGATCCACAACGAATCTTTTTGTTTTAAAATTTGTGAATGGAAGCGTCGTCCCGCGCACTGTGGTCATCACAGTTGCTGTGGTTCAATGGTGCTGCTGTCATTCGTTGCTCGCGCGAGAAGTGCCCAAATTGGGGGTCGCAGAGGTTGCGAGTTCGTGGGCACGGGGGTGAGTCGCTTTTTTTTTTTTTTGATTGCTGGGCTGACTCGATTGCCGTTGTCGCCTGCCTGACAGAGCGCGCATTTTTAGGGATTCAGGCACCAAGCCCCTGCATCGAGCGGTCCACTATTATCAACGAGTCAGGTACGAGACGAAAGCAGGTGTGTACAGGACGCCCTGCCCTGGGCTGAACCTGCCTCCGTTCGATTTTCCTCTCGCGATGACCATTTGTTTTTCCCTTGTTGTTTGGCACCTCCGCCATTTTTTTGTTTTTTCCTCCTTCCACGCTTTTTTCAGGGTCATTCGTCAACGCCGCGTCTCTTCGCGTCGCCCAGCTCATAAAATGGATCGATATTTCAACAACCACTTTCCGCAAGGCTCGAATCACGAGCGACGCCCAGCAATCAGCGACAATAGCAGCCGGATGCGTTGCTAGGCTCGATCATGAGACACAAATGCTGGATAACGACCGACGGATCGCTTTTTCATTCGCGATTGTTTTTTTTTTGTTTGTATTGTTTGGTACCTTTCGGTGGATTGTGAAGTGAGCCACGGAAACAAAATGCGGAACACGGAAAAGGAAAGAGGAAAACGAAAACGACAAAACAAAGCATTGACTTTCCAACTTTGGACAAAATTCGAGCCTCTGAGATCTGAAGTGTCTGTGAACAAGATCCGAACAACCTACTCTTGTTTAGGACCACCCCCGTGTACGATGCGCACATTCGAAAAAACTCGATCAGAGAATCGAGTCGCACCAGTTCCACCCCACACTTCCCCCGAAGGTTTCGACTGGGTGCCAACGAGCTGCATCGCGAGACTCATCAAATGGAAATCGGTTGGAGGTTAACGCCCCTGTTCGTCGATCAGGGCGTCAACGAACGTGCGTGGGTGAAGGAGCTCTGACCCGAGGCACGACGAAACCGAGAAACGACGGACATCCGGAAGGAAGTGAGACTAGACTCTCTTGTTCCACGAGGACGTCGGCAAACGCGTCCTGCTCTATGGCGTTACCAGCCCGTCTCTACAAGCCAAGTACGCTCGATGTATGCAGGGGTGTTGTTGCGAGCAGAAAAGCCAACACTCAGCTTCGGACCTCTCGACTTCTGGACAGGGAGGTCGCGTGTGCCAACCGTGCTCAAAGCGTGCTTGCAAGCCACGGTGCTTATGCTGCCAACATTTGTCAGCTGCTCAATGGCGCGGTCAATACAATCCATCTCAGGCCGAACGAAGTTTGCAGAAGTAATCGGTGTGACTTTTCAACGCCGAGTCGTCTTGTGCTGTCCCTCGCCGTCCTGCATGCATGATACTCCATTGGACATTGTTCGCCCTTGCGCAGGCAACTATATTCTTGCAGTTCGTGTGGCGCGTTTGTCTTTCTGCGTTGATCATCCCATTTCAGTGCAGCGCTCTCCAACATCAGCCTTGACCCCATTTCACCACTGTACGAACAGCATCACTCCACTTTTCACTTTAGTGTATCTTTTATTTTTTTCTTGTTATTGTTTTCGTTGGGGGGACAAACGCGGGTTGCTTAGGCGTACTTGGACAATCGCGCAACTCAACTTGTTCCCACCTTCCACAATGTCGGACGTCTCATCGCGGCTGCTCACCATTCGTGAGGCTGCGCATGTGTTTCTACTCAAGACATCCAGCCGCGCACCCAGTGGCGATGACGATGGCGCACCCCTCGGTGGCGGCGCTGCTGCTGCTGCTGCTGCTGCGACTGGACCGTCGTCCGCCCATCCAGCAGCAAGCTCCACTCCAGCGGCCGCCAGCGCCAGCACGCCGAGCCAGTCGTCGCGATCCGAGCGCGCTGCGTGGCTTGTCGACCATCTGCACCAAGTTGTGCGTCCAACTCAGGTAAACACTGTCACACAGCGCACGATGAAGCGAGATCTCGCCCTTTTGTTGAGCGCGCGGGAAGAAGCGAAGTGAGATGAGATGCAAAGCGGATTGAGCGACGATCCTGTCTGGCTTGGGGCGTTCGGCGGTCGAAAAGAAAGGTCTGCACATGTGTGTATGTGTAGTGCTACGCACCACTGGCACGGCCGTAGGAACAGCGGGAGTCGCTTCTGCTGCGAGAAAGGGGGCTTTTCATCCAATGCAATGGACTCTCCACTCAAGTCGTGCTGCTGCTGCTGCTGCATCCCCACTCACTCTTCGCTTTTCGGTTGGCTGATCTCTCTGCTCGGGTTGAAATGCCGTTGACAGACCTTGCCGCATCAGTTGGCGCATGTCTGCTGGAAATCCACGCCGTCGCGCGTTCAAGACGAACAGGGCGACCGGCCAATCCCCGCGTCGAAAGACAACTATATCGTGCTCTCCGTGATACCCAAGCACGAATCTCCAAGTAGTAGCAACGCGAACGCACAACAGCAGCAGCCGACACAGTCGAGCGGCGACGCTCCGAACATGCTGCTCTCTGCTGCCTTTCAATCGCGACATCGAGAAGCCCTCCAGCAACAGCAAGCTGGGCTGGCCACCAATGAAGACTTGCAGAGTCACACCTCGTCTTCGTCGTCATGGGCATCTCAACTGCAATCGCAACCGTGCGTGGTGGTGCCCGACACCAAGGTCACATTTCTCTCTTCAAGCTATCGCCTGGTGTTATCCGTGGATGTCTCGGTTTCGATGGCGACAACCGACGGCGGTTCAGGGTCGGTCGTCTTTGAAGAGCTCTATCGCTCCATTGACGAGTCACTGCAGGGTTTGGCGGCTCCATTCCTCGTGCCTGGAACAGATCTTGTCGTGGCCCCCGAAATTTTCCTCTCGGTCATCGCCCAGTCGCCATTCCTTGCGTCCACCATCAATCCGCCCAGTCACGCGCAAACTCATGCCCTCAACCAGTACATGACGACGACGGGCTTGTCAGCGCGCCCCGGTGCGCCTTCAGCGCAGGCGCCCACTTTTGGCGTGAATCCAGCGAGGCCGTCATCCACAACCGCTTCCATTACAGATCCGATTCCTCCGGTTAAAGTCCTGGTCCATGGCGTGCGCATCACCCAAAAGAACGCTCGTCACGTGTCAGCACACATCAAGAAACGGCTCATGCAGTTCGAATCCCGCTTGGCCTCGTTCACTGCTGCCCTCACCCTCCCACAGCCTGGATCTGGGCCACCGAGCAATCTCACAACATTGCTTGCCAGCTCGTCCACCACACCATCGACTCTCGCCCCCTCGGTCAAAGGGGCGGTTGCAACTGCAACCATGAAGAATCGCGCCACTTCTCCAGGGGCCAATCAAGGGCCTGCAGCGTCAACAGCTGGGCCAAGCTCCGTCATGAACCCTGCGCCACCGCCTCCTTCATCCTCCTTTTCGCCGTTTCTCTCACAACTCATGCCTGCCGACACGGGTTTTGCCAATACCCTTCAAAATGCCATTTTCGCACTCAATCTGTTACCGTCACATGCCACCCCTGCCGTTATTGTGCTGACTGACGGCGCTGTCACTCTGCCGGAGGGCAACTCTGCCCTGGACAATGTCTTGACGCTTTTCGGTCGGCGCGATGTCGCGTGCTCGCTCGTGCACGTTTCTTCCGCTTATCGGCCAGGGTGTAGCTTTGGACTTGTTTCCAACGCTGAAGTTTTGAATTTTGTAGCAGCTTCCACGGGTGGCAGCTTCTTGTACAGCAAGGACATTCTTAGTGGCGGGCGCGCACTCAACCAGGGCCAGCCTTCCGCCCCGCCGCTGTTTGTTTCCCTCGCCCCTTCTGCTACACCATCGCAAGATTATACCTCTGCTGATTCTGGGAGCAGCCAGCGCGTATTTTCGGCTTCAGTCGGCAGCTCTAGCGCCAGCAGTCCGCGTGGCAGCAGCACTGGCACCCCGAGTTCTCCTCTTGGCGGCAAAGGCTTTGCACTCGAGACGACTACTACCGCGCCACCCCAAACTTCCCCGCAAGCGGCCGATCGTCCCCTGATGATGAACATCTTTCATGACTCGTGGCTCTGCCAGCACCTTCATCTTGGCCATGATCGGTTGCTTGAAGAGCAGGTGCTGCCGGTTGTGTCCTTTCTCAGCTCTGGCGGACGCACAACAGGCTACGGTCCGTTGCTACCGCTTCCTGCACTCGCGACCGTCCAATCCACCTCAAAGTCGCCCGTAAACGCTTCATTCCCGGCCTACTTTGCGCACAGACAGTCAGCACCGACTGGACCGGCTTCGTCGGCGTGGACACAAGTTATTCACCAGCTCTGGCGTGAGCTCGTTCCCGCCGTGCCGAGACCACTATCGCGCCAGGACATTTCGCCCGAGGTCCTCGTCAAGCCAACCTCTGTTCTCCAGCTTTACTTTGCGGTTGATGGCGGCTTTCCCTGGTCTGCGAACGCTCCGCCCTGCGTTCCTGTTCTCCGTCGCCTGGTCACGGGGAAGGAGTATACACTGGCCTGCGGAGGCATTGGCTGCGCCGTGTCCATGCGCCTTCGCGAGGGCTTTACCTTGCGCGAAATCAAAACCACGCCCGTGATTGTCGCGACCCAAAATGCGCAACAAGCTGCTGCTGCCAGCAGTGGCGGCTTTCCGTCTTCGCTCCCAAACACGACTGGCATCCAGCAGCACGGGAAGGCGTGGATTCCTTCTTCCGCACGCCTCGTTTTGCCCTGGAAACAAAACGTCACTCTCGAGTACAACATTGAGGCCTTGTGGACGCCGCAGGCGTTGACCCAGTTTATTCGCCACTCGTCGGCTCCACATCCCGAGGACGCACCGCCGCCACTTGTTAGCAGCTCTGCGGCGCCAGTGTCTTGCAGGATTTTGCCCTCCATCTTCCAACCCATGGACATGTGCCAAGTTCGTGTCACGCTGACAGTGGTTGCTCCTTACTCTTTCCACCGACACTTGAGCAAGGTCAAGGAGCTGACCGCACAGCCTCCCGCCTCAGTATCTCCGCTTGCCGGCGCTGCGATTAAACTCAGTCAATTCATTAACTTGTTGGCCGACACGGATCGATTGTTTGGGTCGTTCCATGCCTTTTCGCTCAATCAGTCCTTCCACTGCTTGCCGCGGCCCTCCATGCTTGCCCTGTTTGACCAAACGCCGCAACTGTCCACTGCCTCTGCGTCGTCGGCGGCCCCTGCGGCGCCTGCTGCATCGGCCGACCAATCCACGAAGGACTCGCGTGGCACCTCGCTGGCTGCTGTCGGTGCGCTCGCTGAGCAGCAATTCCACGCGCCTTCAGCCCAGTCCGGTACCTCGCTGACCTCGCTGACATCGACACCGATTGTCTTGCTGCCATTCTCTGCGTTGAGTATGGCTTTTGACGATTCAGATGTCGACAGCAGCAATGCACCAGCCGCAGCCTCCGCCGCTGCCGCAGCCGTTGCCGCAGGTGGAGCGCCGTTGCAGCCTGACATCACCACCGAGCCACAAACAGGCGCTAGCTCCAATTCTGCTGGGATTGCATCGCCGAGCTTGACAAGCACGACCCCGGCAGCATCGACACAGTCCGTCCCGTCGACCTCAGCAACCACTTCGTCCGTCTTGCGACATCAAGCGATTGTTCCTGCTCTGCACGAGTCCCTCTTTCTTTCGTATTGGAAGCAAGTTGCTGCGTTTGGCACCAGCACATGGGGACGCTGGCTCGATGTGCATCGCATCACGACCATTTTGGTGGCCGATGCCTTTTTAGATGGAACCTTTAGCTCGCCGACGTCCAAATCCGTTGTGAATATGCGGCCCCGTTTTGGTCGCTCCACGAGCGCGCTGCTTCAATTCCTCCGCGAGTGGTGTTCCTTCGTGCTCGTCGCCAACACCTCGTTTGTCCGATTTCTGCGCAAAACCCGGCATACGAACACGAGGGACTCCCCTGACACGGATCCCAACCACCCAGACAACAAGTTCGATGCGTTTTGCCTGCTCCGTCTGTCCTGGGAAAGCCCTTGCCTCGTGGTTATCACGATCGGATTTTTCAACACCAATCTGACAGTTCGGAATGCAGTTTTAACCGACATGGAGAATGCGATGCGCCATCTTTCGCTCGTTTCCGACACGATCGGCAGCACCGATGCCAGCAAGCGCAGTACACCGTATGGGCGCCCTTCCGACTCTTCCACGCGCAGCGGCAGTTCCAACGACTTGACCAAATCACCGGCAATCGCCAGTCGCAAGCGCAAACACAAGCACAAAAAGTCCAAGCAGCGGCAGGACTCTACCACAGACCCTGTCCATGATTCCGCCCCCGAGGACAGCGGTGTCGCTCATTTACGCCTGGCTGCCAATGCCGATTCTCTGAACAGGTCGCTTCAAGGTGCCAGTGATGACGAGACCAGCAGTGGCGAGGAGGATGATGAGGGCTTGTCTCTTGCTCGCGATCGACGTGACTCCAGCAATGCACGTAGCGAAGGCTCTGATGGCTCTGGTTCTTCCACTGCAGGAAACGAAACGGATTCAGAATCTGAGACGACTCGGTCACTCCGCTCTCCCTCTCATAGTGGAGCTCCAACGCCGCGATCAGATACCACCGGGACTGGTCGTCACGCCGTGGATGAGGAAGAGCTAAAATCACTTCAATTCGCCCCGGTTATGCACCTCGTCTCCAAACCGCTGCGAGAGTTGGTGGTATTCCATGATCTCGAGGCGCAACAGCCACCAAGAGATGCGATCGGGACGGGCGGCCGTTTGCAGCCGGCATCGTCCAGCGTTGAGCTTCGTGGAAATGCAGCAGCAGCAGGTGTTCGCCCGTCGGCTTTGCCGGGCGACAAGCCATCGTCGCCAGTCTCGCGTGTCGCACCCTCGCCATCTGCACCAAGTATGAATGGCGGGGGTGTCTCGCAATCCAGCATGGCTTTCTCGCAGTCCCTGTCCCAGTCAGCATCGAATCCGAGTCTCGCAGGCTCTGGGCCAAAGGTGCCTCGAAAAACTCCCCTTCCGCTCTTGGGCTCGCACTTTGTTCGCCGGCGCTTCATGTGGGCAGTAACGTGCTTGCCCACGTCTGTAACAGCTACAAAGTCGTCCGCCTTACAAGCATCTCCCCGCTCGTCCACCTTGGGCCATCCTGCATCGAGGCCGGCCGCGGTTCGACCGCCAATCTTTTCTGGCGCAAGTCCCTCGACGAGTCCAGGGCTGGGAGCCAAAATGCCAAACATGCGTCCCCTCTCCTTGGACGGGCAGTTTGCTGACGCTGCCTTCTCTTCGCGTGGTCCAGCGGCCGATTCCACCGCTGTCACTTGTCACTCCATGAGCACCCCAGCGTTGATCGTGGAAGCTCTCGTGCGTGCGCGCCTCGAGGAAGGGTTTGTCGTCGTTGTGTCTGACTCGGCTTCCCTGACCATGGTGCGTGAGCTCACTCAGCTTGTGCCGACGTCGATGCCTCTCGTGAGTCGCGCAAAAGACGAGCACATGGCCCTCGTTCGGGATGCTCAAGCTTCTTCGACATCTATCGAGTATCGAATGCTTCCGTTCCTGCTCCAGTATGTGGTCTTCCTCAACCGAACGAGTCACGAAACTCGTGTGATTACCGAGCTGTGGATGGAGCCGCAGGCTGGTTTTGCCTGGCGAGTCCCGGAAACGATTGCGTTGTCTGCCGAGTTGCCACCGTTCAACGGCAGCACGCCTCATGGCGCCGCTCACAGTAGTACCAGCAAGGCCGCCGCGGTGGTCGCCGCACCGTCTCACGAGCAGCTTGCGCAACTTTTCGCCGCGCACGATAAGAATCTTATTTCAGCGATTGCTACCTTTGATCACATTATTTCCGTCGGCCGAGGCGTTGCCCGAATGCCTCATGCGTCAGCCGCTGGGCAATCACAATCCATCTTGCCGGGATTCGCGCCCAGCCAGCAACTCAGTGTGCCAATCACCCAACTGCACACGGGCTACCAGCATCTTGCGTCCCAGCCTCTCGTCTCCTTTCCAAGCACCCTGCAGTACTCTCAGACTGCAATCACCTTGGCATCGGCTCCAAGTCACAAATTTACGCTGTTGCCTCCGCAGTACGAGCACTCTTGGGATTTACAGGCAGATTTGCAGCTAGTCCCGTTCACCTTCCGGCCAGCCCTGCTCATGAGCCATTTGTATGACGCAGTGCGAACCTTCTCGTGGTTTCAGCCCCAAGGACAGACCGGAGGTGAAGCTGGCGATCTGATCGCTGGAGCGACGGCTCTGTTGAGCCCCTCCGCCGGTGTTCACGGACTTGCGACTCCGAATGATGCCCAAGGGAAGATGGCGCAGGCCGGACCCTTGACTCTCACACCATCGGTGCTTGCTACGTTCAACTCGAGCACGGCGCCGCTTCCTAGCTCTGCCTCACATTCACACTCGGCATTTTTCAACGTTTCAGAAGTAACAACTCCGGCTGCAGTGCCAGTTGGCCCGCACCCGCTGGACTTGTTGGCTTCCTCACAAGCCTATGACACAAATTTGGCCAATTCCTTGCTGTTCGCACTGATGGAGCGGTCTCTGTTCTCGTTGAGCGATGCCGAGCTTTCGCTGCAGCCGCACGACCAACAGGCCTTGCTCAATATGCTGCTCGAGCCTCTTCGCGTTGCCAGTCTGACGACGCAACCGCTGCCCACGTCTCTGACAGCACCTGCGTCGCCGTTTTGCCGTGTCTTTTTCAAAATGGTCGAAGGGGGCCATTTGTTGTTCTCCCTCACCCCCTCTTGGGAATGGCAAAATGCCCTGGCATTGTACTCTGCTCGTGCATCCCTTCCAGCCAGCTTCCTGGCAGCACAGCCGTCCGGCCTCAACGTGCACATGTTCCAGTGCGCCAGAGAAGCCTTGCTCAGCTCTCCGACTGCCAGCTTTGACCTTGTTGCGGCCCTCGGCGCAGCGACTCCATTGCCGCCTCGAAGCCCGCTCTCGACGCAACCTCCACCACTGCCAAGCCACGTCTCGGCTCGTCGCAGAGTGCCGCTAGAGCTTGCGCGGGAGACGGCTAAAACCTGTTACTTGCTCGATCAGCTCCACTCTCGCGACATTGTCACAGCCATGTACTATGCACTGCAGCTTGGCGTGAGCGTTTCCAACCGCGACTTTTTGAACGCCATGGATGGGTGCGAGGAGTCGTACGAGGACATGGACATTACCCAGTTTGTGCTTGCCTCGCAGCTGGCAGTGGATCGCGCCGTGCTGGACGAAGCAACCAAGCACGGTCCTGCGAATTCCGAGGCGGCGAGTTTAGCAGCAGCTGCTGCTCTTCAAAAGAGCATGAAGGAGCGGTTTGAGGCGATCGTTGGACAACACTTCCGCAAGGTGCCCAACTGCGGCGAATACTACTACTTTGCGTTGCCGGATCTCATGCAGCTGCGCAGCACCCTCCAGGCTCGTCAGCGGGAGTTCCGAATTCAACAGCAGCAGCAGCAGCAACAACAACAACAACAGCGACAGCCACAGACTCAGGCACAGACACAGACACAGGCACAACCGCCTTCGCTTTTGTCAAAGCTCACTACAAAGGAGCAAGTTGTGGCTTCCGGAAGCTCCACTTCAGCCTCGTCAGCAGCCACTCCCACCCTTGTGGAAACTTTCCCTCAGGCTGGATTTGATGCTATTGACGCTGCATTCTTTGCAAATCTCGATTGGCTGCACTTTTTGCCCGAAACTCTGCTTCTCAACGATACCCAGCCGCTGTTTATTCGGATGGAGTGCTCAGTCCGCCGCTCGCGAACGGCAACGCAGAGCTCGTTTTACGCCGACGTTCCGATTGATACCATACCCACGACGTTCGCCGAGCTCGTTGAAGACGAGCGTCAGGGCGCCAAGCTTTTGGAGGGCTTGCGCGTCGTGGCAGAAAATGCCTCCGTGTCCTTCCGCTCTACATCCGAGGAAGCCTCGGCTACGGTTGCTGCCGACCCGCTGGCAGGCCTGTCAGTTACTCTCCATATCATTTGCCTGACGCTGCCCGCCGAGCTGGACGACGAGGCATCTCTTCTCTTCAACCCGGCGGACATTGCGACCTCGCTCCGCAGCGGCAGCGATGCAGTCTTCCACGACGTGGATGATCCATTTGCCGACTGGAGCGACTCCCGCTTTGGTCGCTCTGCTCCGACAACACCCGATGTGGAATTTGGCCCTCCCGATTTGCGATGGCAAATGGATGCACGGGGCGGCAGCAGGCGTCCCAACAAGAAGGCCCAGCAAGGAAGGTCGGCCGCGTCCTCGAGATCGAGCTCGGTGGGCGCTCGTCAGCACCGCCGGCGTCTTGGTCGTGGGAAGCATGGTGGTGCTGCTGGCACACGGCAGCTTGCTTCCCCGACGAATCGTTCTGCCGATGCCACCGCCTCGGCTTCGAGCAGCGATGAAGACGATGACGAAGCTGCCAGCGAGGAGGCCGATAGGAGCAACAACGACCTTGCTGAAAGCGGCCAAGACGACGAAGAGCGCTCGGATGGCGGCGCGTCGTTCGACACGACAAGCAGCATCCTTGGCGACAGTGCGCGAGGGGGTCGACGCAATCAACTTGGACCTCGCCGCACTGGCCGCGCTGGTGCTCATCATCTGTTGGCGCAGAACGCGGGACCAGAAGACGGCAGCGACCGCAGCTCCGATGCCGGCAACGACAACGAGGATGATGATGATGATGATGCTGATGACGATGATGACGACGACGATAGCCTCGCTCTGGACGACGATGTGCAACTCGTTCGTGATGCAGGCAAGCTGCTGGGTCCGGTGCACCGCAACGCCTTGACCGAGACATGCGAGGCCATCCAGTGGTTTATTTCGGACGAGCTTGTATCTGCCCTCCGCTTTTCATCCAAGGTGGATTCATCGACGTTGGATGCCGTTGTCACTCACGTGCTCAAGCCGGCACCCGCCACCTGCAACCCCCTGGCGTGTTTCAAAGATCTGCAGCTGTCCTTTGTTCAAGAGGCCTTCAGCTCGGAGCTCTTTGCCGTTGCCTTCCATCACTTGCAGTTGATGGGGCTGAGAGTTGAAACTCACGGGCAGCTCGGCTTCTTCACATTCAATCCAAGCCAAGCCCTGCCTCGGACGGATGCTTCTGATTCTCCAGCTGCTGTTGTCGCGATGACACCTCAATTGCTGTCCATGTCGAGCCATATTCCCAATCTTGACCCCTCGACGCTGAAGGGCTCTTTCGACGAGCTCGAAGCGCGCTTGGTGGCTGCTCCTGACGATGAAGCCACAGCAGCTTCAACGACACCCGGTGGCGCGCTACCGCCCACCACCCCTCGCCGTCACTTTGCCGACACCCGACAGGACTCCACGTCGAGTACCGGCAACGCGCCCGATGCTTTCACTTCCGGAGCAATTTTGGGTCTGGAAAAGACCCAGAACGAGGACGCACGCACTGTGGCCCAAATCGTCGCGGATGCTGCTCCCACCGGGGTTGTGCCCTTTTGGCTTATTGTGTACGTTGATCATGCGAGAGTGCGGTACTTTTTCCACGTCCGAGACAGTCACACCGCCGGGACCGGCTCTTATTACCAGCTGTTCGATCAGCTGTCTGGGCTGGTCGAGGAAGCGTGCAAGCGTGTCAATCAGGTGCTTCTGTTGCGCCAGCTTCATGAAACCCGCACCTGCTCTCCGTTCCTGGTGCCCGCCGCGCAAAGTCTCACGGAAGAGCGAATTGCCGACTCAATGGATGTCGCCTTCACGAGAAGTGGCGAGCGCGGCGGCGTCTTCCGTGACGCCCAGTTCCAATGCCAGTGTGTTTGGCGGGCTCACATTCCTTTGCATCGCCGCCTCAAGTCCGATCAGGCGCTGCGCGCTTTGAAGGGAGTGCTAGATCCTTTTGCCGTGTCCAATCGACCCAACATTTACGTCTATCAGGAGAAAAGTGGCGCGGTCTTTTACTTCCGCCTCGACGAGTCTGCCTGCACGACAGAGGGTAACTCGTTGGTGGTCACGCATCGTCAGCCGATCGAGGCCTCGGAAACTCCTACCCAACCCCGCATGACTCGCTCTGGCTCGGTCGGCTCGCTGGCCGACGATCTGGCGACTGCTCAACCATCCTTGCAGCCCGCGGGCGCGAACGGTCGACGAGAGTCGAACACTCCCCTGAAAGTCCCTCGCGAGAGCATCATGCTGCAGGTGTTTGGCATCTCGGACGCTGGCGAGGAGATTACAGTGCAATTTGTTGAGCTCCTCAAGAGCCGACTGAGCGCCGTCACGCTCAACCTCATCTCAACGCTCGTGTCGCGCAATGTCACCATCAAACTCACGCCAGAAGACTTTGAGTTTTTGAGGCAGCCCAACGAAGAGCCATCGCGCACCGTGTGTCTCTCCGTCCCAGCATTTGTTGACAATCACGCAGCCTTCTTGGCCTATCTCCGCCTGAATTTGTTGCAATGGGTGCATGCGCTGAGCGTCATTGAGGCGACAGACGCTGCAGCTGGTTCAGCGGCGTCCTCTTCGCAGGCTCAGCTGAGTCGCGCATCGTCCCCTTTCCCTCTTCACGTTTCGGCGTCTAGTCAGGCAGCCACAGGTGCTACTATCAGCATCGACACAGTCAGCGCGGGCGGAGGTGCCCAGCACTCCACCGACAGCGTCAGCTTGGCTGCGAGCAATCCCGATCCGACCGCGGCTGCATTCAACTTGAGCGATTTTGTGTTCTTGTACAACTGCCTGGGCGCGGCGGCCACCCCAACTCCGCTCGCCACAACGGTCGGTCAAGGAATGGCCTGCATCTACTTGCAGCCGCTGGACAAGGTTTCCGGCGAGGCGCTTCGCTCCGTCCCCATTGGCGCTCCGTTTGCAGATACGACGTTTGACATTCATACAATGGATGTGTCGCTGTTGCATTGCGATCGCTACACTTTCCCTTCTGCGTCCGAGGCGAGCGTCGATTCCAACCAAGCGCAACATCCACCACCAACCGCGCCAGGGCTTGTCCTGTCGTTTAGGCTCTTCACTCGTGGAGCGGTCAACCCGGACGCGCTGCTTGATCGCATTACCACTTCGCTCAACCAAACCCTGTGCGACTTTATCTTGGAGCAGCGCATGCTCGTTCGACCCTCATCCACCCCGATGACCATTGTGGGCGAAGCGTTGGGTACCGATGGTGCTTCCACTTCTACATCCACTT